TAGGTTTTTGGGTTCTTGGGATGGTCTAAAGGGATTTGGGGGACTCCAGTAACGGAAAGGTCGAAAAAGCGGATTTAATGGGTTTTTCAAAATTGATGGGGATTTTTCCCCGAATCCGGGGGTTTGAAACCCATTTATTTTTCCCCGGGATTTTTTCAAAATTCCATGACAATAACCCATGAAAAGAATGAGGGACTTTTTGCGGACCAATAGTCGATTCCCCCGTGTTAAATAAAAATGAACAAGGTTCGCAAATTACTTTTTTTTCCCCCCCCCCCCCCCCCCCCCCCCAAGTCATCATTGCTCTTCTCCGACTATCCTTCCTTTTTCCGACGTCCACTTGGGGCACACCCCTAGTTCACTTGGGGCACAACCTGCCACAACACGTGGCCAGGAACACATAGGCCTCGGGGTTTCACTAACCCCGACCACGCGTCAGATATGAACTCGCCACTGATCGGAATTTCAGTAACGCCGAACTCCACCACAACGACGCGACATGTCTGCTCGCTACCTACCAACCTGTCCTCACCACCACTAATCTCTTTATCGTCATTCTACCAGTAAACTCACGCTCTTTTTCACACACACGGTCTCTACTCGTCTCAAGGATCATTTTGATACTCTTCTCACTCGTTTACGACTATTTTTCACCCACTTCTGGCCCTTCGCTTCTTCAACTGCGCCCTCCCTGACTACCACCAATCAAATTGCTATAACTTCTGACCGAGCAATTGTGGTATTCTCTCGTCTTCTCGACACTGCTCTACTGCTCTCTGCGAGTCCGTGAGTACTTGTTTCATCATCAGAAGTGAAAATCTGACTTCAATAGGCCATCTCGCCATCATCATCCTCGCCACCAAACCCCTCTCGAGAGATTTTTTTTTTACTCTTCAACAACACATCTTCAGCCTTGGTGAATAACTCGACACTGTTCTCCTGTTCGTCCTGAGCTGTGAGTACTTGTTTTATCATCAGAAGTGAAATGCTGACTTCAATAGGCCTCCTCAACCTCAAAATCCTCGCCACCGAACTCCTCGAAAAAACTTTTTTCCTGCGATAACACATATGCAGCGACACTGATCCCTGGTTCTTCCTGAGCTGTGAGTAGTTGTTTTACTACTATCAGAAGTGAAATGCTGACTTCAATAGGCCTACTTAACATCATCATCCTCGCCACCGAACTCTTCGAAAAATCTTTTTTCCTGCGATAACACATCTTCAGCCTCTATCGATAACTCGACGCTGTTCTCCTGGCCTCTGCGAGTCTGTGAGTACTCTTCTCATCGAAAAATGTAAAAATCTGACTTTTACAGGATCTTGTCATCATCATCATTTTCGCCACCGACATCCTGGCAAAAAACTTTTTTAATTCTTCAACAACACCACCCCCGGGGTTCTAATTTGTCGACATGTATTCTGCTGGTCTCGGGCTACGAGTGAGTACCATTTTTACTGCATGAAGTAGTCATTCTGATGAGTTAGATGTCATCACCGATTCTTATCCAATCATCACCACCCTCTTCACCAATTCTGGATCGTTTTTCACGGTCCCCTTCTATAAAATACAGTCCTCGCCACTCTCGATCTCCTTCTATCGTACCAGAAACTCAGCAACATCGTCCTCAAGATCATGACAATGATTCATTGGACGAATTACTTGAAAATCTTGGTATTACCCCTCGCGAAGAACCAGGGTTTGATGCTGTGGCTCACCACATCCACCCCCCCCTCGATCTCGAACCTCAACCTACCATGGAAGCTGCTCGACTACATACTCAGCAGGTTGCCATGGGACATACTGTCTGCATCGTCACCAAACGCAGTATAAAAGACAAGGGGAGGCTTGAACTTCAGTGTGTTCATGGGGGGGATGGTCGGTCACATCGAACCAGTGATTTTGAAGAGGTTAGAAAGCGACCCCGAACCACCAAGCAAAGTAACTGTCCCTTCTCTATCATTTGGCGAAGGGAGACTAAGAAGATTGCTCAACAGGCCAACCGTGCGCCCCTCTGGATCCCCTACACCATCGAAAATTCTCATAATCATGAACCATTGCCACTCCTCTATTACTCTTTTATCCGTCAGGCTAGTCGGTCTCCTGAAGTTCTTCAGTTCATCAGACATCTCCTCGAAAGTGAACACACCCTTCGAAGTGTTGTTTTAGCCGTTCAGCTTCATTTTGGTGACAAAGTCTCCCTCACCAGGAAAGACGTCGAAAATATTCGATTTTCTCATGAAAAGGCCCTTCGACAAGGCCTCTCTGCTACCGAAGCAGCTATTACACGTCTCACCGACAATAACGATCTTTTTAAAGCGTTCACCAACAGTAAAAAAGAACTTTGTGGACTCGTCTTTACCACTCCGTCAGCCAGAGCTATGACACATTCCTATCCTACAGTCCTTTTCATGGATTGTACATACAGAACCAATCGATATTGTCTTCCAATGCTTCACATTGCTGGATGTACTGCTACGAATCAAACCTACACCTCTGCAATTGCGTTTTTAAGTCGAGAAGTGACTGAATGGTACTCCCTGGCCATCGAGGCCTATCTCCAACTCATTGGGCCTATCAACAATGATATCAAAGTTATCGTATGTGATCGTGAAATCGCTTTACACAACGCTCTGTCTATCCACCTACCTCATGTCCACCTTAATTATTGTCGGTGGCACATTCGCGAAAACATCAAGGTCAACTGTCGAAAACATTTTTCGTCCCTTTATAAAGAGGAATGGGTGGAGAAGTTATCTGAATTTGGTGATCATTTTCAGAACAATATCTGTAAAGCAAAGTCTGAAGAGTCATTAGATAAAGCTCTGTCATCAATGCAGACTCGGTGGGGACATGAACAGTTGGATGGTGCGAGGGCTTATGTGAGACAATTGGTGGATGAACATAAGACACACTTTGTCTCTGCTTTTATCGATAAATACCCTCATCTTGGACAGACAGCAAACTCTCGACTTGAAGGAAATCATAATGCATTCAAGAACTGTCTCAAAAATGCGTATAGCGACTTCTATGGATTACTGCGAGTTGCTCAACGGTTCTTCGACGATCAATGTGATACAATATTACACAAGATGGCTCATGACCGACTCGTACAGGATACCACCATCAACTCTGTCTTTTATAATGTCAAGAATCGAGTCTCTCAATGGTCAATTTTCCTCATGAAAAAGCAGTATGATAAAGCAAGCAGTGGCAAGGTCGAAAATGATGATGAGAGTAACCTGTATTCGACATCCATGGGCCTCCCTTCTGCTCTGCAGATAAAAGAAGTACTAGAAAGAGATGGTACCATTGCTCTTGGTCCTCTCCATCGTCATTGGCGTCTCCTTAACCCCATGTCCTGGCCAGACACGATCAAACAGGCCACTGCAAAAGTTAGTGGAGATGTTAGTGGGGTTCATCCACTGCTAGGGCCTGAGTGGGATGTCGACAATGATACGAATCGAATTCGAGATCCCCACCTTCGAAGAAACCGGTTGGTATTAGCCAAGAAGAACCTCAAGAACCTCACCACCACTCAGATCGATCTGACCACCATCGAAGACGACGATCTACCTGCTGATAATCCCTACTTTTTACCTCCTTCTCCTACTCTTCCTCCTTCTCCTAAAAGAGGGGTAAAATCGAATTCTACACAGCTCGCAGATGATGTCTCTCACACTGGCCGTCTCCACACTCAGTCAGAGAAATTCCTTGGTGTCAAGAAAAAGGCAAATCGTCCCTGTCCCCTGTGTGGTTCAAGAAGTCATGGTCCTAAGAAGTGTAAAAGGGCTAATGAACATCGAGAGAGGGATCCTGAGGCCTATGATCGCGAGGTAAAGGCGTATGATGCTGGAGAAACGACCTGGACAGAGGGATCAGTAATGGGGACTAATGCTGCTCTTGAGAAGAAGATCTCGAGTCTTCAGGAGATGGTTTCCGGCCTGGCTAAGAGTATTGAGGACAGAGATAAAAGGGAGAAGGAAAATCGGCCTGTAGTAGTGAGGACAGAGGACAGGATGGTGAGGACAGGAGAAATGATCACTAGGACAGGTTATTTGGTGGGTTTCTCATATGATAATGACATTTCTCCTTCCCTCCTTCTCCCCCTCACTGTCCTACAGTCATTCCTGGCTATATTGCTCTGTCTCTGTCTATATTGGCCTCACGATTTCGAAAATTTTCACTCTTCTCTTAGTCTCTTACTTCTAAAAGTTTCCTGCAAGCTGATTGGTCCAGGAGACACCAGGAAACGGCCAATATCAACCGAATGTGAGTCTCTAATACTGCATTATCGGCTGTATCCGATGGGGGGTCTCTAATGAACAGGTACCCCCATTTTTCGACATTTATCCTCTTGAGGAGAGGTACCTACCACCCCCCCCTCTTCCACCTACTCTCCCTCCTCTATCCTCTCAATATTGGCCTCCCTATCCCTCCCAGGGCTCTTCTAGACATCCCTATGGCTCATATTATCCTCCTGGACACTGATAGTATGAAGAATGCATGGACAATGAGCGGAAATGACATGGTATAGCTAATAATGACATTGACGATGTAAGAGAAGAGTGAGCAATCAGAGGTCGCGGGGTTAGTGAAACCCCGAGGCCTATGTGTTCCTGGCCACGTGTTGTGGCAGGTTGTGCCCCAAGTGAACTAGGGGTGTGCCCCAAGTGGACGTCCTTTTTCCCTTTAGGACGGTAGGTATATGACCATTCAATATGAAAACAGAAAAGTTTGACTGACTCAACTAAGAAATGGCACAAGGTTTAGCATCTACCCGTATACCTAGAAACAAACTTTTCCTAACTACCAAATTTTATCCTTCCGGTCCTCCTCAACCAGCCAAAGAAGTGACGGATGGTTTACGTACAAGTCTCAAGAAACTTGATCAATTCGGTGGGAAAGGTTATATAGATTTAGTTTTGATTCATGCTCCTTATGGTGGTTCTGAAGGTAGAGCTCGACATTGGGAAGGATTGGTTATGTCACGAACTACATCGTAACATCCCTGACAACCACCATCACCGACCCTCCTTTCACCATCACCAACCTCCACTCGAACCACTGAGACCAACTACGACGAAGTTACGAGAACCAAAGGGGGGATTTGTCACGATAACCCCGCCTAGCGGAGAACTACGGCGAAGTTAGTGGAAGGCAGCCGAGGGAGGGCAGGACAAGGGAAGTTAGGCGAAGTTAGCCGCAGTTCATCGACGATCATCTTATCAGTTTACCACTCGACGAATCACTACGGCAAAGTTAGCCGTAGTTCCTCGACGAGTACCCTGTCTTAGTGAGACAACGACGCCCCACTACGACGTAGTTAGCCGAGGTTTGTCGACCGTCGGTCAGTAGAGAAGAAGAAACGATGTTTGTGACAGTATCAAGGATCGCTATTACCGACGACCCGTGCAAACCTCGGAGAAGTTCGAGATTGTATGCAGCCAGAGAGGAGAATTACAAGAAGTATGAGTAGACCGGGAGAAACAGTAGAGGAGACGGAGAGGAGGATGTTAGAGGAATTAAGACAAAGCTTGGGACCATTGCCTGGTGCAATTGATACCCCCGAAGGATCAACTCAAGGCGATGATTTCTATCCACCCCTACCTTTTGAACCACCTCCCCAGCAGACCGGACTACCAGAACCACCAGCGGTGAGGACAGGTTCCGAAGGTTCGGGACAGACCCCACGACCAAGGGAAGGGAACACAGGAGGTAGGCTAAGTTCGGCCGGGAGCGAAGTAGTAGGAGGAGCTGAGGAGGAGGCCACAACGCAGAAGATGATGCTGGCGATAATGAACATGATGATGGAGATGAATAAGGATATGATAGCAGAAAGGAAACGTCGAGAGGAGCAGGAGAAGAAGAAGGAACTGGAGACGGTTGGGGGAATAGTCGAGGGGATCTCGGAGGGAGTACGGCTCGCCATTGGAAGGCAGGCTTCGGCGACCCCAGGAGTTGCTGAGATGAGTGGAGGGATAAAGCTTCCCCTCCCAGACCTGTGGAGGGGCGAGAGGTCAAAGCTCACGGCATTCATCTCAGAATGTGAAGTTCATTTCGAGATCAACACCCGCAAGTTCCCCACCGACCGAGTAAAAATCTTTTTCATGATTTCCCATCTACGTGATACTCCTCTTCTTGCCGTCCAACCGAGCTCGAAGAGCTGAGCCCGGAGGAACAAGACGAGTTGTTCCAGGTAGTTCCTGAACAATACCACCAGTACATTGACGTGTTTAATCCGAAGAAGGGAGGAGAGACCCTTCCCCCTTCGAGGTTGTCACGGCCGTCGAGCAACTACTTTCTAATAGACCGACGGTCGACGAACCTCGGCTAACTTCACGCTCTGAGTCGATGTCTCACCCAACCAGGAGGGCGCAAACGTCGAAAGGAGTGTAACTACGGCGTACTTCGGCGTAGTTACTCTAACTAGGGTGTTGTTCTACTGATGGCGATGTATCTCGATTTATAGCTATCTCTATCTGTCTTTTACTACTGACAACAATCAAGGATCGCTGAAGAACTTCAGCGATCTTCTCAGCTAATATGACCTATCCCTCCTAGACGTTCATCCAACCCTCCCGCGCTTTGACGTACTTCAACGCACTTCGTCCAACTTCCCAAACCCCGGCCATCCTCCTCCTCCTTCGACTAAGTCCGCCTAATATCGCCGCACTTCTGCTCCCATTGTCCCTACCTAGCCTAACTCCGCCTAACTTCGCCGCACTTCTGCTCCCATTGTCCCTATCTACCCTAACTTCATCTAACTTCGCCGTACTTGGTCTCAGAGGTCCTGAGTTACGTGTAGAGTAAAAAGGTTTGAGTCGTGATGGGGTTTTGATGGTCAAAGGAGGGTCGTTGTTGGTGGAATAATCGAGGTGTCACGACGTAGTTCGTGACAGAGGTCCTACGATTTGAAGTTTGAGCTTAAGGAGGGGGCGAACCTGAAGGTCGCCTCCCTCTATGCTCAAGGAGAAGATCAGAGACGCGCGCTGAGAGACATACTAGATCGCGAAATCGCCGCTGGCCGAATTCGAGCCAGTAACTCGCCGTACGGCTCACCGATGTTTATGATACCGAAGAAAGCCGAGGGACAATGGCGAATGGTTATCGACTACCGAAAACTGAACGAAGCGACCATACCAGACGCCTACCCCCTCCCATAAATAGGCCTTTTCGTCGCAGTGGTTTAGATCACTGTTCCGTTGGGCACTGTTATATCGTGCATATGCTGGTCAGTATGTCTCGTGACAGATTAATCGGCGGTTACGGGTAGGATCCTGGGTTCGACTCCCCGGACGGCGCCGGGGGTAACCCAGGCCCTACTTGGAAAACCTCCCTCTCGGAGTAAGTTTTCGGTCTATCGTACCCTTCCCAAGTGTGGGGGCCCAAGCGGGGTCCCCTTGTCGGGGCCCCAAAGCGGGGGCCCAAGAGAGTGCATAATGTCACAAAGTGTGTGACAAGTCGAGCGAAAGTCGGGGAAGGGTATTTAACCAGCGATCGGCGGTAGTGTTAACCGCCGATTAATAGGCCTTTTCGTCGCAGTGGTTTAGATCACTGTTCCGTTGGGCACTGTTATATCGTGCATATGCTGGTCAGTATGTCTCGTGACAGGTTAATGCTCAAAAAGAAGGATGGGTAAAGGATATTGGGGTTTCGAATTTGTGAGTTCTGAGTTCTCCAACTTTGACTTGTTTCCATTTCTACGTCTTATTCGCTATTACCTTCTCCATCATCTTCTTCTCTCCCACTCACATTTTTTACCCAACTTGATCTCCCTTCCTTCATCATTCCGTCGAGCCAACAAGGAGAGATGTCACCTCCGAATCATTTTGATAAAACATGAATTTTGAGAGATAAAATATATGTGCTAACGTCTTCAAGCGGTGTAAAACATTTGAAAGAATTACCAGGTCCTACACCTGCAATCAACCAAATCGAACTTCATCCATGGTGTCAACAACGTGATATCGTTTCTTACTGTCAACAAAACGGTGTCATAGTCCAAGCTTATTGTCCTCTGGTCCGAGCGGACAAGAAACGTTTAGAAGATCCAGTAGTTACCAAGATCGCAGAAAAGCATGGGAAACAAGGGTCGCATGTGATTTTGAGGTGGAGTTTACAAAAAGGGTAAGTCGTCTTTCCTTTTGTTTTTTGCCGACTTTTCCCCAATCCCGCTCAACTAATCGTTGAAATGGATTGGTAAGAGTACGAGTAATGTTGAATACCTCGCTGATATCCAGTTTCGTACCTCTTCCTAAAAGTGTCACACCGTCAAGGATCAAGTCCAACGCTGATTTATACGACTTTGTTTTAGATGAAGAGGATATGAAAGAACTTGATAGTCTAGATGAAGGTGCTGCAGGAGCTTGCAGTTGGAACCCTGTCAACGAAGAGTGATTTGCCGAATCAATAGTCGTGGTTGATGAAAGAATATGTTGAAGTATCAGAACTAGTATGATGCAATTTGTTCTAAGTGCGAGTGCTCTCATACTCTCATGCCGTCATGACTTTTAGATCACTTGGAACAACGTAGCACTCATAGTCCTTACATGATCTTATTATTCCTTCCATTGCGATAGATACAGATTCTGACCAATGCCTTTTCCTAAACTCCCCTCCGGTTCATTTTCTCAGATGCGGTGGAAGGGGCGGAGGACCCATAGGTGTAGCATAAGTATGTGTGCTTGGTCCAGCAGCTTCGACATCAGCCCATATCCGTCACTGTCCACTGACAAGAAATCAGACTTACCCGGTGTCTCAGCTTCTGTCCGACGACTTTGCCCATTGACACGAAGACCATCAGTAAAAGTTCCCGAGGTTGACGCCGCAGATGGTCCATCACGATGTAGGTTAAAACTTGTAGCATGTGGTAAGGGAGTAGATGTTTGAAATCTTTCTTGATCAAACCGATAGTGTCTAAATATCAGCTCCGTACAAGTTACCTCTAGCTGAGTCTCATGAGAAAGAACTATCACATACTCACTGAAGAGCATTGGATATGTTATTCCTCGGAAGTCGATTCAGACCTGGAGGAACAGTACTCGAACGTGGAAGTACCGTTCGTGTTCCTAATACACTTGGCATAGGTGTAGAATTTCCATTACTTCGAATGTGGTGTCCTACAGAAGCGGGAGTCAAGAATCTACATTATCAGTACTTACAGTAAATACACTTCATAGCGAGACACTCACCGTTTAGGTGTATAAGCGATGGAAACACGTTGTCTCTTGTTTGATTCACCCGTGTCGTATGTCTCCCCTTCAAGAGACTCATCGGCTTCTTCCACAGTAGCTAATCGAGAAGCTTGGACAAATGGAGTTCCATTGTTATACTGAGTAACTAAATGTTTGTTCACAATTGATTGCAATTCGTCTTTCTCTCTGACCTGTCAGCGTCAAGCATGTGGATTTGAGAGATCACATCAGGATATCACTCACTTCTTGACTTTCTCAAGCTCCTTTTGAACCGCGGCCAATGTCAACATATGCGATTGAGTTGACTTCATGAGCTCCTACGAATCAGCTGAAGGCCAATGACGTGTGATTGACGAACAGCTTGATGGACCGTCTCTTTTCGTAATTTTCGAACTTGTCTTTCGAGTTGAGAATTTTGATACTGGTCCGTCAGCACCGATCTCACATCGAGAAGCAGAACAGAAGGATGCTAAGGATCGAGTATTGAGACTCACACGTAGTTGATCTGACCGCAATTTAGCACTTTTCAACGCTTGATCCGCACTTGCTAAATCCCGTTCCATGGCTCGAAACAGGCCTGAAGAATTACTAAACCATCCTAGCATGATCTGTGGTTCCTATGACATGAGCTTGACTCTCCTTTTCACTTGTGATTAGGTTCTCAGCGACTGAAGATAGCCCCTTCGATGAGAATTTGAGGAAGAGGATACTTCTCACTTACTTGTGCATGAATAGAGAAAACCTTTATTCCCTGTTTCTTACAATAAGTGCACACTCCTTTCTTATCTCCCTCATCAGCTTTTTGTCATCTTCCGATGCGACATACTTTCATGAGTTTTATCATCACATAGGACATGGTAGCAATCAGTCATCCAAAATCGTCTCCCATCGCCAGGTAAAAGAGGAGCATCACTATTGTCAGCTCTTTTTCGTACGTCACATTTGCCGACTTCACTTTGCATGGGTCGGCCTCAAATTGCACTGATCCGCCTCCAGTTGCACTGAACCATTGTTTCAATCACGAAGGTTGAATATTGGACGAGGGAAGTAAGAGGAGAAGCTCACCACAACCAACAAGTCACATACTGCGCAAAAGCCCAAGTATCATCCCCCTTGTGAGCACTGGCAGGGGTGACAGGTAAACTTTGAGCGGTCGAAGTGGAAGGTTCGGGTCCTCCAAATTCTTCTCCTGTCGCACTTGGTCCCGCGGGTATTCCTGCAGGAGGCGGCATGAGTGTGAGATGGTGAGTGAGCTACCCAGGAGGAGCTGTAGTCAGCAGAAGGATGTGGTGTGTGTGAGGAATGAGTGAGAGTGAGTGTACCGAAGCGAAGGGTATGAGTCGTAAGTGTAGTCAGACTGTTTGTTGGCTTTTCCGGAACGTTCAGTGTGTAGACGTCCAGAGCGTATAAGTTGCCTTGAGGTGTTGTTGTACGATGTCAGATCATCAGTCTCCTCTCGAGTATAGAGTGTGAGGTATTCAGTGTGGAATGGCGAGTGAAGATGGAGAAGAATTGAGAATTTGTGGGGAGGGGGGAGAGATGACGAGCTGATGTACATAGGTCTGTGCGTCGATATTACGTAGGGTGGCAAACCTCGCTTGTGATGAAATCAGTCGCGTCTGTAAAGTCACCCCCGCCACATTGTATGCATAACGAACAAGGCCTTCCTGGACACTCACCACATATGTACTTGACACCAGAGGACGCATCATCTATATTGCTGCCAGTTCTTTCCCAGACGGAGGATGATCAAACACCACTTCTCCGGTCGGTGGGCCTGGAGCAGTCTCCACCGCGGGCACCTCCATCGTCAAAGCTTCCACTTTATCTTGCAACTCTGAGATCCCTTGTTCTTTCTTCTCTTCCGGCTCCTTGGCTCGATGTTCAGCAACGATGGTCTGAGCTTCACTCGTACTCGGGTCGACTTTGTCAACTATGCCAGCAGTAGCCTGTGGGCTTTTGGTCATTTGCCCTGAGGCTACGGCATCTGGCGTAGGAGCATACCCCTCGAGGGCGGCAGCGATCCCGTTACCCAATGGCGGGATCCAAGATTTGCCCTCTTTGTCGATACGAGTACCGTCTTCGGCCTGCTGATCAGTTTTGTTTGTCTTTGTCCTTGTATACGTACAAGGCAACAGAACCTAAACTATCAGCACTTTCCATGGGGAGGGAAATGAACTCACTCTGTCAATGTCTTCCAATATATATCATGATCAAAGACAAAGTTATGTTCACCCCCAAACTCGTAGTCCAATTGAGAAGGGGGGACTAGTTCAGTGAGTTTGGGATTAAAGCGGATCTGACCGTCAGTCAAATCTGAACAAAATCGTGAGGAAGCTCTTACCTTGTCCCGAGTGATAGGATCCAGAAAAGGCGATATTCCAGTGAAGAACGCATTCACCCACCAGCTTGTTCTGTTAGCGTATTTGATTCTCGAGGTGATTAACTCACGGCATATTCACGACTAATCCTCTGCCCAATCCTATGTCCAGTCAGCTAACGTACTGAGCTACGCTCCGGTTGCGACTCACTTTCGACATAATGATTCTGTAAGATATTCAATACACTTCTGCCTTTTCCGATGGAAGGCATTGTGGAAGATGTGGCGGATTTGTACTGTTATTTAGTGTAGGTAAACATCAAACCGTCAGACAGCTCACATCGACGATGATGGTCACCTGATCTTGCCCTGGTGGACAAAGATCAATAGCTCGTTCTCTGGAAACGTCAGCATTTCATCTGAAGCACTCAACAGACAAAGAAGACAAAAACTCGAGATAGACTTTGGAGACACATACAGATGATAAATCATATGCCTGATTTGACGAGGAGACGTTTCCGTGTTCTCTCTCCCAGGACGAAGATATAAAACTGGTCGACCATCCATATCGAAACCCTTCAATATTCTGTTAAGTCAGCATGCCATCAAAATGCTTCATGATGATTGACTAGGCGCAGAAAACTCCTCAGAAGACACTTACATCTTACCCGTCTCCGCTTCGACCTTTACATCTCCCGGTTGCATGAGTTCCGGCTTATACTCTCTCCTCCACTCAATGGTGCCTTTGATACGTTTCTTAGCATCGTCCATCTTCCACTTTGCAGCTCGACAGTACCGCGGGTGACAACCTGGGTCATCGAGGAACCGTTTCTCCCATAGATAATAGGAGTCCGATTCGGGTAGTAAAAGGGTCTTGGTGTACTACAACATCAGGACCAACCTGCGACTCGGGTATGTAAGATCTAGACTCACCTCTCTCAGCTCTTGAATCTGGCATGTCAGCAGGAGTCTTCATTATCTACTAAAGTGAAAGAGCACACCTTTTGCAGTTGGTCCGGGGTATATTCCCATTTCTTCTTCGGTTTCGATTCCTCAGGAGGGGTGACGATGACTTCGCTTGTCTCTGGTGGAGCGGGGGCTTGTTCCTTGATAGAGGATGCGCGAGATGATGAAGCCGAGCTTTTGGTGGAAAGACTTGAGAAGATGGAAGACATGGTGTCTTATTGTACCGACAAACAACAGAGGACTCTATCAAGTGTATATGGAGTAGGATCTGAATACAAGAGATTGAGAGAAAAGTGAGGAAGAAATGTGTTCGTCATCGACGGCCGAAGGATTTGAATCAAACTCACTCTGGTGTCATGGTGCCTGAAAGGAACCAACCCCACAATTTGTTGATAAGCGAGCCAGGCCTTACATGATGTGGCATTTCGTCAAGAAACTACTCCTTCTCACCTCGGACACTTTCCCTTCCCTTCTTTCTTCCTACGACAAACCATCATGTCAATCGAGAACCTTGAGAACCTTACTATCGACGATGCTGAAGCTGGGGGTCTTGCCGGTGAAGTTTCGAGAGGAGAACGTAAAGCTCGTAAATTACTAGAAGGTCTCGGTCTGAAAAAAGTTCAAGGCATTCAACGAGTGGTTGTCCGTCGACCTAAGGGAGTTTTACTCGTCATCGCTCAACCCGAAGTGTTCAAGAGTCCCGGTAGCGATTGTTACATTGTCTTCGGCGAGGCTAAGGTGGAGGACCCGGCGAGCGCTGCTCAGATGAGCGCTCAAGCTCAGTTGGCAGCGAGCACCAATGCGGCGCAGAAAGCACATCAGCAGGGTGGATTCAAGGAGGGGATCCCTAAGGAATTGGCTGATTTGGTAGGAGAAGATGAGTGAGTAAAATCCATACTCTACTTGATATCACGTATGCTGACCATGTCTCTCTACTTCTACGATAACACTGCCCTACCCCATCAATCTCGCCCACACTTATCACTTATCACTTCCCACCGTACCTTTGTCCCACGAACCGAAACTTCAAACCCCTTGCTCCTTTCGCCCCCATATCCATTGTCAAACCTTTGACATCAAACTTATCTGACTCATCTCTGCGTCATCATTCCTTCGACCTAACAACCTTACCACGCATCCCTTCTCTAACTCTTTCGTATTGGATGATGTGATCATGTAATGTTCTTTCCCCTCACAGCGCACCGGATCTCGTCGCAGCCGATGGGAAAGCTGCAAACGGCAAAGAAGCCGATACCTCAGACGTCAAGGTGGATGAGGACGACGTCAGCTTGGTAGTAGCGCAAACGGGATGTACTCCGGAGAAAGCGAGGGAGGCATTGAAGGCTGAAGGTGGTGATCTGATCAATGCGAGTGAGTAATCTTTTCTTCACTTCATCTAATCGTCATCTACCATTCCCTTTGACTGTTAGCTCTGAAGCTTCTTGAATGCAGGGGTTCTGAATAGACTCGGGATCGTCAGCGTCAATGTTTTCCGAGAATAGGCTGACTCTCAGTCATGCGGCTCGGGTCGTAATCTCCGTCCACACCCATAGACATGAAGGGCCACAAAGACATGCAGCGGAGAAAGACGTCATTGTAAACAGCCACGATGCATCTGCGTACAGTCTCGAATATGATGATTCCATGCTTCAGATTTTATCGTCGTCAGGATACCAGCCTGCTTCCAGTCGTACCTAATCATGATTGTTGTTGTTGACTATGGAACTTTTCAATCAGCTCTGAGCAGCCTTTATCAACGAAGTAAAAGACTGACGATATCTTTTAATTGTCCGTTGGCCTCTTCAAATTGTCTCTCCAGGAATTTTGCCTGTTCATGAGCTTTATTCTTCACCCGAGGGTCGCGAATTCACCTTCTTAGTAAGATTTGTCAGGTCATCGTCCATTGTCTTCTCCAGGGTCGTTTGCTCGTTCTTGATCTCTGCACGGGGTTGTATCATGAACCTATACATTAGTTCTCCTTCATGTCCACATTCCTCATCCCTAAGAACGAACCATTAGGGGATATAGGAGGTATGAAAGGAACTCGTGAAGGGGAATGACAGATGAACTCGGAGGATCGCAGATTCAGTGGTTCAGTATCATTCAACATGTGAGATGATTATCACTAGGAGAGATAGAAGAAACAACTCACATTTTTCCCACACCCTTGTACATTTTACTAGGTTCGGGAACGGTAGCCAATTCTTTCATTGTGAGTTGTAAGATTCTACGTTCTTTCTCTTTACTTTGGATTTGAGCTCTGGCCACGGAGAGATTACGTTGAGAGTTTATCGCCTGATTGTGAGTTCTTTCTTCCAAGATTCGTATCATGACAACTGGGAGTGATCGCGTTCAAGGGGATAGAGTGCATCTCGTGAAGTCATGATTATGAGGACAAGGAGGGTGGTAGATGCGCTCACTTGAGAATGGATCTGTTCCAGTATCTATGTTGTCAGCGAGTTACCAGAGTAGTACATCGATGTAGCTTACCTTACGCAAAGTATCATCTGATAGATTTGACATGATGTCTGTATGTTCTTTCTTTTTCCATTACTTGTTCTTTGCTGAGAAGAGTAGTCCATGCGAAGATTGTCCTTGTCCTTGTACTGTAGCCTTCTGCCAACGTCTTGTATGCAACCGTGGGAAAATGTCCCTTTCGTGCCAGTTGTTGGGAATCCCAAAGGTCCAGAGACAAAAAGTTAGTCACGACCTTTCTCTCTCTCCTTTCTACACAACATCCACTGCTCTCTCAAAACATACTCAGAACTTCAAGGAGAGTTGTAAATCCATTATGTTGGAGCTACCAGTAGTATCTCTTGATGATTACCTTCGTGATCCCACTTCTGATTCAGGTAGGAAAGCCGCACAAGCTACGGCGGAAGCTTTGATCCTCACTGGTGCTGTTGTCGTGAGAGATTCGCGTGCTCCTAAACAAGCCAACGACAGATTTCTGGATCTATTTGAAGACTATTTTGCGCAAGACAGGGAGGAGTTGGAAAAAGATCTTCGACCCGAGGTGGGGTATCAGGTCGTGCGTCGCTTTGATTCATTCCACCTTGGCCACCTACACGATCACTCACTAACTACCCAACTCTGTCCCCCACGCCCGACTTCTCTTTCCATTAAAAGCCCACTCAATGCGTTCAGCGTACGAGAGGATAGTCTAAACTATCAGCTGATCTGCCAAGGGGTTGAGGGACAGAAAGTCGAGTGTTAACGATCAGGGCGTGACTCTCGAGAATACAGAACGGCCGAAGTGTTCGTCTGACGAGGAATGCCTCAGTGTCATCGCTATGCTGGAAGAAACACAAAGACCAGTAGACCTCAGTGGGCATGGTGCTGATCCAAAATGTCGGTATGTCGACTACTTCGTCTCTTGACGTGGAGTTCTCATATACCGGCTCCCTCGTGCAATGCGAGAGGGGATAAAACAGCAGTGGCCAGGGCCTGAAGCTGAGAAACAGATGGTTCCATCGAATGTCAGAAACGCCACCTTATCCTTCGGCCTTTCCAGTTTGCTCGGCTCCCAATGTCACTCCACGCGCTTTCCCCGACTGGGAAGTTCGTGTGAATGAGTGGGGAGGGTTCATGAAGCAAGCGTGAGTCTCCTCTTACTTGTTCTCTGCTGATGACAAGTGTGGAAGGAGTGACACGGATGCTCGCGGTAGGTCTGGGATTAGACGAGTTTGCTTTCCTTTCCGTAGGCAAATTTGGGTAGGTCTCTATCCGGTCGACTCACATGGGAATGTACTCATTTCAGGTCACATTTACTTGCGCCGACAGCCACCGATTTGGAGAAGTACGGAAAGCTCAACACGTGAGTATCACTCGTGTGTGACGTCCAGCTGATTTGTCAGTATCTTCGCTGGTTTCCATACCGACCTCAACTTCTTGACGATTCATGGGCAGTCCCGATATCCTGGCTGTGAGCTCACTGGTTCTTATTCTTGCCTGCCAATAGCTGAGAGCTAGTGCACATATGGGCAAGAAATAGTGGAAAGAGAATTTCTGTCCGAATTCCTCCGGAATGTCTACTGGTGCAAGCTGGAAAGCAACTGGAATGGGCTACTGGGGGATTGATCAAAGGCAAGCTTTTTGAATTGTATCATATACGCATCTGACATATAGCCGGGTTTCATGAAGTCGTATGCACGGAGGCGACCTTACAAGTGAGAATGTCTTCCGGAACCGATTTTCACTGACGGTACAGGCGATGGAGAGACGCAAGCGTGAATTTCCTGACCGACCTCTGAATCGTATCTCCTCCACTTTCGTAGGCCTATGGTAGCTCATTCCGTAATCAGTGTTGATGTGAACAGTTTTGGCATCTATCACCCGATCATCTTCTCCAGCCGGACCCGATCCTTTCCAAAATGGCAGAAGACCGATTTGGTCCACAGAAGGCCTATGGTGCTATGCTTGTAGGAGAACAAGTTCAACGGTGAGTCCATCACCCATCTCTTGTCCGTAAATGATAGAATAGAGAGTTGGGATTGATTGCTCTCATGCCTTCGAATTGAAATCTCATTACATTACTTTGACCCGGCTACTGCGTGGCGCGGCTGATTTATTTCCTTCGTTTTCTCGATCACTTTCTCTCGCTTGTATCGTCATTCCATCTCGTATTTATTACCTGTTGTATAAATAGGTGATTTGCATCGTGTTGTTCACTGTTTCCCTTCTTTCCTCTTTCAATTCAGATCTCTCGATCCTATTGATTGAAACTCGATCGTTCAGAGCCGAGAGGGCAGGGCTGTGACATCTCCAAACATACACTGATGGTACGTCCTCCGTTGCACCCCTTATGAACCTTTGACCGTTCTTACGTTGATGTATAGATCACCTTCTGGCAGTCTTTGATGTAGATTGTTTCTTCGTCTTCATTGTCAGTATTTGTTCTCTCCTTTTCTCATTTGGAGTTTCTTGAAACACAATCGGATCGTCACAGGTCATCATGCTCGCTTCTCCCCCACCATCCACCACCAAAGCCGACAAGACTACCCCTTCGCCACCGACAAAGTCTTTCGGCTCTCCATCACCTCTTCAACGAGGCCGTAGAAGTTCCGATTCCCCCCGTCTTAGAAGATTGGCACCAGCACCTCTCCGCATACCTCCCACACCTCCACCGTCACTCTCGAAACTACGCCATGTACGTCGAGAACCTGCGCCACCCCTCCCGCCTCTCACTCATCTTGGCTCTGCACCTCTTCGAACTGGACCAAAGAGGACTGGATCATCCCTCCGACCCAAAATAGAGGTTCCAGGACATGTGTTCACTTTCAAACCACTCGAGGATGATATCGAGAAAGAAATACAATCACTCCAATCGAGTGACAATGTCGCGAATCTGGAGCCAAATGCTTTCACCACTCCGGAAACCAATAAGAATCCAGAAGAATTTCCAGACGACAAGGTCGAGGTGTACGACTTTCAACCTCTTGAAGTCATCCCTGAGTTCGATGTGCCGTCTTCGCCGCTTGAAGCCAAAAATACCAATCTGTCATTATCGACCATTGGCCCAAAAGGTGCCGATAACAGCAACACACTCTCCTCTTCCCGCGCCGTTGATGACTCCAAGCAATATCCCTCTTCTGATCGTTTCGATGACGATCATCAAAACTCTTCCTTGCACCCTATCGATAAAATGTCTCCATGCCCTAAGCCGGCTGATTCATCGCTTGTGACAGGTGAATCAAATTGCTGCCCACATGCTGCCGGAGTTACAATGGAGGTGGAAATCGACATCTCAACCGCACACGCCAATCTTGGAGATCCCCTCGATATGTTATCCAGGAGTGGAGACGCCCTCCTTCCCCCGGAAGAATTCATGGCGCGTCATTCAATACCTCGTCCTGTGCTCGTCCAATTCCGAGACGTATTTGCTTTCTCCGAAGATGGTCAGCCTGTCGACACTGTTCCACCTGAGTCTCAACCGACGGCACTTACAGCCGACCTTCTCAGTGTCCGGGAGAACTTCGATGGGCCTAGTGATGTCTCTCGATTCGGAGGAACGTTTGGACCCGTCCAAATGAGCGAGTCACTCCGTAAAAGGTCGCATTCCAAAGGAAGCAGGGCCAGCATCGATTCGAAGATTTCCGATGCCGGGACTGAATGGACCTATTCTTTGTCTGCGTACGATCGCGACGAGTTGATACATGAACGTATGTTGTCTGATGATCGACCAGAGGTACCCAGAGTTCCCTCACAACATCTCAAAGAGTCCACACTTGACACTGTCTCTGGGGGTGTTTCTCGTACTGGTAGGTACGAACACGCTGCCAAATCTGCCCCTCTTCCACCCAACGAGGAGGACGTCCCAACCTTCACTGGACTAAGTGCACCTAATCGAAAACATGAACCTCCTCTAACCGCCCCACTTGATAAAAGCTTCGGTATAGGTCTAGGTCTTTCACATATGCGCAAACGGTCTTCGGGAATTGAAAAGGCTCTTGCGACAGCGAGAAGCGAAAGCTTGTATCCCCCATCGACTGCATCGCAGACTTCTTCAGGACAAGTGACACCTTCGTTGTATTCGATAGACCCACTCGACACGAGCTATTCGATGTCTTCCTCTGGATCTGGCTCAGGAGGTGTGCCACTGGCAAGGAATCTGGGCAGCCTCAGAGGTCGGAGTATCACGCATAGCTCGTCGTCTTCGAGATCTCAGGTCGCGGATTCTCTCCCTGCGTCGCCAGTTTCGTCAATACCGAGTATCCCAGAGGTGAGGATTGAGGGCAAGAAACGATCACCATCTCAAGCGGACTTGGCTCTGGCAGCCGTTGATAAGAATATGTCGATGGAACTGACTATTACTCAGGCAAGTTTTTGGTCATATCCGTAGCGCTCGGCTAACCAGGACAGGGAGAGCAAACCTGGCCACTCAAATTCAGATTCTTGAGGTCATGGAAACCAACGCATTTTCAGAATCTTGAAGAGTTGGATAAACAAAGAGCGATCTTGTATCAAGACCCACCGCCTCCTACTCAGCAGTTCAAAGAAACCGGAGCGTGGGAGTTTGGTCAGAATCCACGGAAGCGTGATAGATGGCGAGTCAAAGCGAGTGTAAGTCTCATATGGGTTGGGGATTTGAAGCATTGTTGACATAAACAGACTGTTGATGATCCGCCGGTGTTGAAGAAGATATCATCTGATAATCCTACCGTGGCCGACATCATGTCGAAAGAGGGTAATTTGCATGGTCGAGAACAAGGAATTTACGTGTTACGAGGTACGGAGAAGAATGGTGTGGAGTGGCAATTTGTCTATATGACAGCTCGTTATGCAGACCCTGAAACGGGTGAAGAGCTTAAACGTGAAAGGGTGAGTTCGACTTTGTTTCCTGGTCGACAAGACTGAGTGATCAGATGTTCACTCCTATTTCATTACATATTTCTCCCAACATCATCGACTGTCCCCCTCTGACACGCAAATCCGCTTGGGCGTTTGGAAAGTCTAGACGACTCGATGCTATCATGCTCCCACCTTACCGTACTGGTAAACCCCCACCTCGATCCCCCTGTCAACTCACAGAAGCCGTCATGCATGCTGCGGATCAAGCTGGTCAAGACGCCGCAATCGAGGACGAAGTCTATTTTGGAACCATGATGGACAAGAGTAAAATGCCTACGGACGTTCCTATGTCAGCAACGAGTGAAGCTATGCAAATGGCTTCGGGTTGGCCTCGACATGGAGATTCTCAATCCCCACATCCCACATTGAAATTCGCCATAACCAGTGTGGATAAAGAAGGATCAATATTTACGATCAAAAATAGAGGTAGATCCAATACTACTTCCACTTGGGCAGGAAGAGATCCATCACCTTCTGAATCTTCTTCAGTCAAAGAAGGAGGTTTGAAATTGATAACGAAAAAGTCTTTAAGTTCTTTGAAACAAATGTTCAGTCAAAAGAATACAACGGACGATTCAGAATCTGAAAGTGTGCCACCTTTACCTACTCCAAGTTCTACAACTTCATCAACATGGCACAGTTCTAATGGATCTGTCATTTCCACCTTTTCTGATCCGACTTCAAAAGGACCAAGGAGAGCTAGAGCAATGACTAGGACCGATGGATCTTTACATAATTCAGGTTCGAATAGTGCAAAATTACCAATTCGTGATCCACATCCATTCGCTACTCATATGATCCCATTACCACTACCAACTGCTCCTCTTCCCAACATGTCTGGAATGGTTCCAGGGGGTGGATCTGATCAACATCATCAACAACAACAATCACATCCTTCTGGGATTTCTGGGGTTTTGAGGAATATAGATCCTAATCGACCTGCTTCTACTTTGGGACATAGAGAATTGTCGAAAACATCTACGAAAAGTACTAGTAGTTTAAGATCTTTGAAAACGAATATGATCATTCGTCCAGATAGTCAACCTGGTCCTCATTCTCAGTCGAATTCAACATTATCACAATCACATCCTCCTACTCAATTACCTTCTCAGATATTATCTTCGGAAAGAGCACATCATGCTAGATGCGCAAGTAATCGTAGTATAACCTCCCGACCTCCATCTTCATTAGGAATAGGACAACCATCCTCTATGACATATGAACAAACAAGATTTTCAAGTAATATCAGTACAACATCTTCATCCACCACTTCCAATTCCACTTCCAACTCCAATTCTCAAATTTCAGATCATTCGAGAAATTCAAGTAATAACAGTACTGGTATGACAAATAATAAAAACCGACTTGGTCTTTCACGTCTTAGATCATCAACAAGACCAAATTCAACTTCTTCGATATCTTCTCAACCTACAACATGTATCCCTACACCTCCAACAAGTTGTACATCTATTCAATTCCCTAATAATCTTCAACAAACGAATGTTGATATTTCTCAATCTCATGGATCACGTAAATTCTGTCCTAATACACCGAAAACCATCAATATCAACGAAACGGTCAGATCACCTTCACCAACAAGTACAGTAACCCCAGGTCAAGTATTACTCACTCCTACTCCTATACGATTACAAGGAAGGGAATTTATACTCGCTCCTAGTTCTATAGAAAGGGCTTTGAATAGTGGAATGGGAGAAAGATTAGAAGTTCCTGATCAAGAAGAATTACATGCTATGGTAGTTACAGGTGGATTAACACCTGCACCTAGACGTCCGGTATATAGGAGAAGACCTAGTACCGCGGATCCGATCTTACAAAGGAGTCCAAAACGGGGAGAGTGAATCGAAATTTCTAAAATTCGATTTCACAACCAAGTCCAGGGTATGGGAATTGACCCATGCGTGATTGTAATTGCGGTGGTTTAGACCTGTGCGTTTGTTCTGGTAGATATGTACAAAGGAGGGGGAGGGGAAGACGACCGTTGTTGTTGTGCTTATGTTTGGTGTGCTTATGTTGGAGAGAGTTATATCACACTCTTTGTTTCTTATCATGTAGTATTGTACAAGTGGAAAATGAATATATGTTGTATGAGTCTTAACGAGTAGTGATGGCATGACATATGACGATACATGGATGATATTTACATGGTCTAATTTGATGGTTGATGTTTGATACATGGTCTAGTCGGTCTTCATTCCTTCGTTCCCTTTCACTGTGAAAATTAGTATTCAACACTCAATTATCCTATCACAACATATCCTACTCTTCGAACAGGTGAAATAGTTGAACGTAGGGCGTCGGTCGGTTATGTCGACCAGACAAGTTTCTTCGACCAGGACAGTCTCGATGTACGATGTAAAGTGATTACGGAAGAAATGTCAAGAACCCACCATTATCATAACCATATTCCATATTCAAACCTCACCTCTTACTGGTCCGTTTTCGTTTTCCTCTCTTACTACCTTCTATCATCGCATCGTCCTCTTTCTTCTCATCTTGCCCAATCTCCACACTATCTTGTTGAGTTAACGTCGAAGCTCTACGAGAATTCCTAGTGGAAACACTTCTCCTTCCTCTGATTCCGTTCCTTCTTCCCCTTGATCCGCCGTCTTGGTTACCTGTCACTGTTCCTATATCTATATCTGGGTGAATTGCTTCCACACTCGTTTCTCGTCTGAGACTTGAACCTCTGGCTCGTTTACAATTAGAAGAAGTGGGTTGATCGTCTTCTTCCTTCACATCTTCTCCATCCTTTTCATTGTCCAGCTTGTCATCAATCACCTCCTTCTCTTTCCCATGACCTTTCCCTTTCCCTCTTCTCCCTTCATTCTTCTTCTTGTCCTCCGGCACGACCCCTACCAGCTGAGTGACATGCAATCCCCAATCTAAATCCATATCCTTCTCCTCAGCTCGAGGATAAATCATCCCCCTCCATACTTCCATTTCCTCCTCTTCCCATTCATATTCCCTCAAATTGACCCATATCCCATCTATCAACTCTTCACCCAATGCTGTACCTCCGTGTTTCAGAGGAGAATAAAGACATGGTAATTGAAACGTATTGAAATGGACAGAATTGATGATTTCCGCTGAAAGAGATTTTCTTTTTTCGTCAATTTGTCCATTCTGACGTTGTTGCCCTTTGATTCGTCTTCTCTTCTGGAGAGGATGTTCGGTAGGTTTTACAAGGTGGTCTTTGGAAGAAGAAAGGGAAGGTGATGGGGAAGGAGAAGGAGAAGGAGAAGGAGAAGGAGAAGAAAGAGGTGATTCAGATCGAGTAGAACTAGGATGCGCAGCTGATTCGCAATTGGAAGTCGAATTTGGAGTGGGGAAAATTTGAGGTTTCGTTATCGGTCGTTTACGTGGAAGAGGAGATAGAGAGTGAGGTGTATTAGGTATAGATGGAGTCGGGGAGCACTACGTGTGTCAGTATTCACAATCTCTTCAGAGACGGAGCATGCACCTTTGAGCAAGGGAAAGGAGAAGAGAAAGAGAGAAAGAGAAAAAGAGGATAGAGGATAAAGAGAAAGAGGAGCGAAGTAGGCTCAAACTCACATTCTCATCCAGAATATCAAGGTTGTATAACTCACCCAGACGTTCCCAAATGAAAGATACCTCTGTCCATACCCCAGTGCGACGATGAATCTCCGATTGAAGTTGGATCATTGCGAAGTGTTTTGTCTTACCGACTATGAGTCAATTGACGTTGTACAAAGAAGTACCGAAGCAGTAGTCCAGTGATCAGGAGAATTAGAAGGATGAGAGAAGGGAAGGTACCCCACGTACCAGGTCTTACAATTGACAAACTTCTCAGCAGGGCCATCTCCCTGTATGATCAGCTTACTACCACCGAGTAGCTCGAGTGAACCAGAAGAAGAGCCCAAGGCAACTCACATCTCCAACTCGCTCACTGCACTCGCACCCGATGTCGACGCCACTTCTCTACTACTAGACGCCACTGACATGACTCGTGATATGAGGGCGACTTAGTCATGAGCTTGTCGTTTCTCTCTAGCATTCAGACGCCGGAGTGGGAGAGGGATGCAGAGTCAGTAGAAACTGGCAGGTGGAGGCGGAATGTGATCGGGAATGTGCCTGAAGTGACCGCCACACGTCATTTCAAACACGAGTCGACGTTTCTACTCCACGCAACTCGTACAGTGCGACCAAGGAATGCTTTGCATGAATCTCTCTCTATCGTCCCTCTCTCAATGAATAAGCGCATAATCAATCAATACCATAATATTTCTTGTCGTTGTCAAGAAAAGAGACAGAGCACCTTCAATAGCTGAGCTTAGACACGGTCACCCGTACCAATCGTCACCACGCTGAACCCAATCTTCTGCAGCGCCTTGCGATCCAACATCAAACGACCGCTATGCCGTCAGCTCTGGTCCGAGCCATTCAATGCGTCACACTCACTCAAACACGAACGCTGGTCGGGGACAATTGGCGTAAATCTTGGCCCAGTCCAGAGTCTTGAATTCGTCCCACTCGGTGCAGATTACAATCGCCTCGGCGTTGTGGCAAGCCTCGAGAGCAGACTCGCAAATGGTCATGTGAGGCTTGACTAAAGTGTCAGAGCGAGTATTGACGTGACAGTGAAACTACTCACTGGGCTCGGCGGGGATGGCACCGTAGCTGCATCGACGTCAGCGCATGGCAAAGAGGGCATGAACGAATCGACTCACTCCGTCAGGTCGAGCCAGATCTGAGACTCAGTCACCTGCGGGTCGTACACAGTGATACGAGCTTTTTCCGACAAAAAGTGATTGGCAATGGTAATGGCGGGAGATTCGCGGGCTGTCTATCAGCATACAATCATCCATCATAGCTTCGACTCACTGTCGCCAGTGTCCTTCTTGAACGCCCATCCGAGAATGGCGATCTTCTTACCAGTGATGCTGCGTGTAAGCTTGGATCATATCCAAAGCCGACAAGACCCACGTATTGAAGAGAGTGTCAACGACCTTGCGAGCAAAACGGCTCTTCTGGTGCTCGTTCTGTGGTCGTCAGCACAAGCCCCGGCTGAGAAGGTCACACTTACCATCTCGACGACAGCCCGCCAGTATCTGGCGACTTCGGGAAGATGAAGTGACTCCGAGAGGTACACCAAGTTGAGAATATCCTTCTGGAAGCAGGATCCTCCAAAGCCCTGGGCATCAGATTTGTTTCAGAGACCGCGAGAAAATGACTCACTACCGACGCTTTCAAGAATTTGGAACCCATACGCGAATCTTTACCGACGGCATAGGCGACTTCGTCAATGTTCGCACCCGTAGCCTCGCAGATGGCCGAGAGGGCGTTAACCGAGGAGATACGCTGGGCAAGCATGGCGTTGGCAGCGAGCTTGGACAGCTCAGAGGACCACAAGCCCACGGTGAGAATTCGCTCGCGTGGAACCCAGTTGGAGTAGACCGACATGAGTGCCTCACAGGCATCGAGACCTGATTGTGTCTGGAGAGACCCGATGAGTACACGGTCGGGAGCGAAGAGATCGGCGATGGCAGTTCCCTCAGCTAAGAATTCTGCCTGGTCAGCATGGCTGGGAGCATGGGGATACACTCACCGGGATTGGAAAGAATGTCGAAGGTGCAACCAGGTTTCGAGTTGGCTTCAAGGATAGTGCGCATAGATCTTTGCTGATGAGCTCTAAGGACACGTACATATATGCCTGAAGTTGACCCACTCTGCAGTGCGGCAGGGCACAGTGGATTTCTCCACGACGATCTTAGAAGAATTGGAGACTTCAGCGATACGACGGGTGGCGAGCTGGAGGTAGCTGTCCGTTAGACCGAGCTGTACGCCAATGCCGAGGCAATACTCACTTCAAATCGGCAGCGAATCCCGCACCGATACCAGTCTTCTTGGTGGGGGTGTTGACCGATACGAAGATGAGACTACAGTGTCAGCCTAGGACTCGGCGTAGATCGTATCTCAAACGTATTGGAGACATGGGACGCATGACTTACTCAGCCTCTGCAATGGCTTTGTCCACGTCGGTGCTGAAGAAGAGGTTCTTTCCTCTGGCAGCCTTGACGACGTCATCGAGACCAGGTTCGTAAATGGGTAAGTTGTCCGAGTTCCAAGCATCGATACGAGCCTGATTAAGATCGACGATAGTGACCTGAATGTTGGGACTAGAGGTGAGTACGATGATCTATGGCTTGGCACTGGCACGAGGTGAGACATGACGCCCAATTACACGTTTCTGGGGACATATTGATGCGTACTCCAGCGAGAAGCACAGATGCTTGATAGCACGCAGACAGCTGATAGAGATGTGTATGATATGGGTGCTTGATAGGGACAGACGCTCGGGGAGCTGTGATTGTGTAGTGAACATGTACCAGGTACGACAAAAAGAAGGCGAAAGGATGGGCAGGTGGAATGTGGGGTGGAATGCATAGGGATTCATTACCGCGTGTACGAGTGACTCACCACTTGAGCGCACTGTGATGGGTCAGCTCGTTCATGGCATAGCAAATATGCTCAAGAGAATTGGACTCACATTACAGCACAGGTAGGGCCGCCTGTGAGAAGATTTTGTCAGCTCTAGGTCAATATCACAGGCCGGATGAGAGCCGCCTCAGTCGAGAAGGCAGTGAAAAGAGGAGTCAGGACGTACCGACGTAACCAGCGCCGACTGTGTCATGTCAGCTTTTGTTATATTCGAGATGAAGAGAGTACAGCGGGACATTGAGCGGCAAAGAGCAAAGACGAGGCCGACGAGGGAAGAGGAAGAAGATGGTGGGAGATAGGGTGCGGGGCGCATATGACAAGAAGGAAAGAACATACTGCAGCAAATCTTCTTGACGGTGATAGGTGCCATGATGTATGTCTAAATATGTATGTCTAGTGGGTGAAAGTATGTAGAGGAAGTATAAAGATAAGGTATAAGTAGCCGAGGTGAAGAGGAAGAGTAGGTAGGTTTAGAAGAATGGAGAGACAGTTTGTGTGAGAACGAGATGGTGGGGTGAGGTGGATATCTAAGGTAAGCTTGAGGTGAGCTTCCAAGCCGCGGCATCATCAAAGGTTGTGGCATTAGCGGCTAGTGGCGGTTCATCGCGTCGTAATCCCTGAAACTTTGAGGGATCTTAAAAGGAACGTTGAAAGGGATTATCAAGGATCCGAACCGAATTCATCCCACTTTCGGTTTTCAAGCCACGTGGTACATTTCTCGATCTCTTTTTCTCTCTCCCTCTCTTCCTCGAAACCACGATCGATCATATTCTACTTCATACAGTACAAATGGCAAGTCGTTGAACATTTCTTCAAGCCCTTTCATCTCATTACTTACCGCAAGAGGATAACAAATTCAGAGCTCGGTGTACCGGGCAATCACAGTCACCGAGGAGCCGAATAAACAGGTCTAGACTCATAGGTGACGACGAAAGGAAGGGCTATAAAATTCCATTCGCGCCTATCAAAGGAAATTTGAACATCGTAACAGGCGTGCGAAAAACCCCATTATGACGTCGTCAGCATCACGCCTACCGATGGTGACAAGCGACCTCAAGACCAATATTAACAGCGGTTACTTCAACTTACGACTACCTTTCACCATGCCCAGTTCATTGCATAGGTTTGTCAGATATTACAATCGTAACTTCGATAAACGACCTATACCAACGTTAATCGTCACCAATGGGATATTAAGCACTGTGGCGGATGTTCTTGTGAGTGCGAATCGAGCTGAAGGTGTGGTTGCTGAAATGCAGGCTCAAGCGGCGGGGATGGTGGTTTGTCTTTTCTTCCTCTTCTTCCTATCCGCTCACCCTTTCTTAGCCCCCTCGAGCCCGATTTGACCAGAGCCTGTTGCTCATACTCATGCTCTATGGGATGAGAATGAGTATGGTGGGAAAATGAACACGTGTGGGGCAAAGCTCCCAAGGACCTAGCTATGAGCACTCAGTTTGAAAGAGAATGCGCCGGGAGGTTCAATTCGAGGCAGGAAGTGAGTGGACAATGCTCATCTTAGACCGCAAAACCTCCACCTGGAACACCCGGACCGAGTTATGATTTCGAACGTACATTACGATTCAGCGTGTATGGAATGGCCATGGGTCCTATCATCGGTGAGTGTTCCTCGTCTCATTCTCATTTAACTATCCTCCTGCTTTTCCGCCCAACTGACATTTCAAGCTATATCTGAACTTATAGATCAGCTGACATATATAGGAAGATGGTTGAGGTTGTTAGAGAGACAATTACCAGTCAGACAAGGGACGAAAGGGAATGGATTACAATTTGCCAAAAGAGTATTTGCCGATCAGGCCATCATGTAGGTTCAACCACTTCCTCCATGTCGTCTCTCCACGTTTGTGCGAAACGTTCAACTATGGATGTGCTATAGATATCGAACAGCAATGCTGATCTTCTAGGGCACCTATAGGGGTATGTCTCCAACTCTCTATCTAACCCAATATATCCATCGTTATCCCGCCCTACTGGCATCCCTTATCATCTCACTTGACCCTCGTTATATCCTTTCACTCCCCGTTGGAGCTATCGAACCGCCTTACGAATCACATTCAATCGGCGAAGATATTTTCCTCCGTGTCCAGAGACGGACTGCGAAAGCAACCAATGAGTCCAGGGAGTAGGAAGTAGGATACCAAAACACTTGAATATAGAGTAAAAGTCACTGATATCTTAGTTGATTCTATTCGTAGGATCTATGGGTCTAATGGAAGGTCGTGATCTTACAGGAGTGGGAGACAAGTTTCAAGAAATGTATTGGCGTGAGTTGTTTCTTTTTCAACATCCTCAAAATCAACCAAGTTCCGTCCATCTCTCACCCCTTGACGGAACTCCATGATCCTGTGAGAACCAACCCTTGATCATTTGATCCACTTGCACCTATCTTCTTCAATCCGATATCCTCTTCTCAAACTCGCTTCATGAAATATATGAGATGTTCAAATTTCACCGTAAACATTGAGAGGTGGAGACGAGTAGCTGATTCATAGCCGCTTTAATGGCAAATTGGAAAGTATGGCCTTTACTTCAAACCATCAATTTCACAGCTGTACCATTACCTTATCGTGTCCCATTTCAATCCACTTGTGGAATAGCTTGGACTTTGTATCTATCATTATTGAACGCTTCAAAAGGAGGTGAATCTTAAACCTTGTAATTTTATATATCACTTTATTCACAAGACGACAAACTTTATGCATTTTTTCCACGTATCATCATCTTTCTTTCTCGTATTTCGATTATAATATGAGTCTTATATAAATCGTTTGAAAATTTCTCTTTAACATAGCATTAACATCGTAATAGTTCATCAAAAAATTCTATAAACTTGTCATTTCCGGGATGATCAAAATGTCTCTTCTTCCTCATTGAGGAGAGGGACATTCTCAGCATTATGATCATGATGTTGATTTTCGTTCGAATAGTCAACATTGTGATGGATATCTTCCCCCGGGATTTGTCTTGTTGTTTCTTTATTTACCGCTTGAGCACTGGGGGTAATCAGGTCGGAGGAGGAAGGCTCATGCGATGATGGGACATGTTCCATGGCAGGAGTGGGAGCAGGGACAGTAGGTAAAGTAGGATTTATAGACCTATTTTCTAATTCAGATACAAGTCGTTTGATTGTCCTTATTTCCTCAGCTTATGACTTTTAAAAAATGGTGTACCAACCCTTCTAATTCTGCCACTTTTGCATTATGCGCTTCGTGTAATTTTGTCAATGACGATGGGGACATGGGTGGTGAGGTTATTGGTGGAGGTGTACGTGTTCTAGCCTGTTCGTCAGAACTTTTCCTCTCATAACTACAATGAGATGGAATAGAGGAAGAGTAAAAGGAAAGAAGCAGAAACTGAGAGCTGACGGCAAGTTGGGCAACGGCAGTGTTTTTAGCTACTCGTTCGTCCTATTTATCAGTATTCCTCACATGTGCCGAATATGTACACTTGACGATAGACACTCAGCGATGAACCAAAAGGGGCTGTCAGGTGAAAGGGACAAGAGCAGTCGACGGGTCATCTGGCAGAACAGATCAACTAAACATGGACCATCCAAACGGATCGAAGCGGATGAGTGAGGAGTTTACAGAAAAGAAAGATCACGTCACTGACCTGTAGCTCAGCTTTCACCGCTTTCAACTCCCTAAGCAACTCCACGATCTCTTCCTCATGCTCTCGTTTCACTCTATCCGCCTCTTCTGCCCTAGTCTCGGCCGAAGAAGACAGATCTTTCCCATGCTGCGACTGCATCTCCTCCAAAGTCTGTTGGAAATGATTCTTGTTCATCTCTAAAACCTGTCCCTCAGTCTCACTTTCTTTCACAGAACGGAGACTTACCGTCTTAGTCCCTTCCAACTCATCTCGCACACTCTCCAACTCCTTCAAAGCCTTCTTCAAATCCTCCTCAGCATCAGGACTCCTCTTGGCGACATCTGCTTCCAAATTCTCAGTGAGTCTCTCCAATCTATCCACCTCTTCCGTGAGTGACGAAACTAGTCCTGTCGCTTTTTCCAACTTGGCTTGTGTGTCACTAAGAGTTGTCGTCAGGGTCAAATGCTGTTCTTTGAAAGATTCCAAATCGGCCGCGTGATCCGCGTTGATAGATGCCATGGCGGTGGCATGGTCGGCTGCTAACGCTTCCAATTCGGCTGAATGCGCAGCGTGAACTTGTTCATGGGTTTTGGCCAATTCAGCTCGAATAGCAGCGAGTTCGGAGACGTGTGATTCCTGAGCTGCAGCCTTTCTCATTAGTACATGACAACGATCATGACGAAAACTTACTTTGGCCTCTTCGAAAGCAGACTGGTACCGTTTTTCATGCGCCGCTTCCGCAGCCCTTGCTTGATCTTCCAACTCGGTCAAAGCCTTCTTCATCAGCCAACGAGATCGTACAGTGACAGACTGACCTGTTCCAGTGCTTTAATCTTCGATTGACTGTCTGCGCGCGCTTCTTCCAAAGCTCTCACATCGTCCTCCGCAGCTGACGCTCGATTCTCTGCAGCGTGCAGCTTTTCAAGCACCTCCGCTTCATCAGTCATAGCCGTAGCTAGCTTGTGTTCGAGCTCGAGCACCTTAGCGTCTGACAGTTGTGCCGTTTCCATCAGGAGCTTGTCGTGCTCGGTTGCAGCATGTGCCATCTGAGCGGACAACTCCTCGATCTTGGCTGCGTGAGTGTCGGCCTCTTTCCGAGCGGTGGAATGCGAGGTAGACATTTCAGCAAGGCTTTTGCGGAGTTCCTGAAAGTCAGCATCTCAGCCCGCGATCACATAAAATCAATGACCTGAAGTTCGGACTCTTGCTGTTCTGCTGTGGCACGAATGGCTTGGAGCTGATCCTTTGTTTCAGCGAGTATAGAGATGTGAGAGTTGCTCTGGGCGGTCAACGTCTGCTTGAATCAGCCGGCCACGTCCTGTATGCAAATCCCGAAACAAACCTCTTTCTCTGCTGCCCAAGCAGCCTCAGCAGCTCCCTCTTTCTCTTTCGCCTCCTTCAACTGGGCACGGAGATCCTCCAGTTCTGCCTGCAAGCCGGACGACGAGGCTCCAAGATCAGTCTCGAGTCTCTGTAGACATGTCAGCATGACCCTGCGGAGCTTTGATTACACCACCGACCTCTCGTTCTGCTTTCCAGTGTGCTTCTTGTTGAGCTTGCGCCGCCTGCAGCTCGCTGATCTGGGAATGCAATCCTGCCAGTCCATTTCGAGCCTGAACGACGGAATGTTGTTCTTTGTCCAAGTTCACGACGAGATCCTGGATTTCCTGTTTTTGCTCTGCCGCCTGGAATCGAAGGTCCTGAAGCTCTTGGTTCGCTTGAGCGATACGGTCTTCGCTCTCTTTGAAAATTTCACGGAGAGAGATTGCCTCCTTTTGTGCTTCTTGCAAAGCCTCTTCAGCAGCAGTCACAGAGGCGCGCAACTGTTCGATCTCCGACGCGTGACTCTCACTTTGAGAAGCGAGGGTTTTGTGCTCTTCGAGAGCGGCCTGCAGTCCGAGGTGTGCCTTATCAAGGTCGTCCTCCAACCTGTCTGTCAGGCCAAGGACAGCCAAGAGATTTTTTATAGCTCACTTAGTAGTTGCAGCTTCTGCAGATTCACGCTGTTGCTCCAGCTCCAAGGCATGAGCAGCTTTCAGGTCTGCAAGCTATCAATCAGTCGTGTGACTTCTGTGCCTCATGTGCGCTTACCTTTTTCTCGGCATCCGCCAGTGCCCTTTCGGTAGAAGTCGAGTGTTGTAGCTGAAGAGCCTCCACAGCGGTGTCGTGCCTTCCCGTCAGCCAGCCCTCAATTCAAAAATCAGTGTAGCTGACTTGCTTCGCAGTTCAGCCTTCTCCGCCTCCAAGGCGCCGATCTTTTCATCAAACTCGGCCTTCTGCTTCTCGATTTGACTTTCCAGATCTTTGATACGAACCTATTCCCATGAGTTTGTCACCGTCACTGTATGATGACTTACCTCAAGCGCCGGGCTGGTCTTACCAGCAAGACTGACGTGACCGAGTGGCTTGCCAGTTGTCGTTGCGGCGTGCGCTCTAGAAGAAGCCGTAGAGGCTGGTGGAGGGACAGTTGTTCTTGTCCTAGCGGCAGGTCCTTTACCCGGTGTTCCGGGTGCCGCCCCAGTGGGTCTGACAGATGGTACGGCGGCAGTCCTGCCTGCCGTCGCCATTGTTGGTTTCGTCGCGGAGGTCGTGGTTTGTGGAGCGGAAGTCCTAGAAGTAACAGCTGGTTTGCCGGCAGTAGACGCAGTCAACGGTGCTCTGTTACTGGCGGTACTGTTCGCCACAGATTGTCTCCTGGCCACCGTTGGAACCGGCGGTTTGGTGGTGGAAGGAGCCACAGAAGGACGAGGCTTGGTTGTAGTGGCACCTGCGGGCGGCGTGGGAGCTTTCTTGATTGACGTAGTTGAAGGGGTGGATCTGTGCGTCGGCCTCGCTGTGGTCGTGGTCGTGGTGGATGTCGTCGAAGCAGGAGGTTTTGTTCCAGTCGACCGATTGAGAGGTGTGTTACTGGTATTCGATGTCTTGCTTGCCATAGATGGTCGAGGGGCGAGTTTATGGGGCGGTGGTTTGGCACCTTTTCATCAGCCCGTGGGTCATTTCTCATAGTAGTTTAGGATGCTCACTGGGAGTGGTAGCCTTGGTCGCCAATTTCTTGATTGCCTCGGCTACTTTCCCACCCGTTCCAATTGGTTTTGAAGCTCCTACTTTGTGTTCTTGATCATCTCCGGCTTTCTTGGGAGGACTCGAGCCATCTCTCGCGGACACTACGTCCCATCCTTCAGACTCGTCTTTACCATCTCCAGGAGATGTGATGGCGGCCTTTTCGCCCTGTCCTGGATTGGGAGGCGTGGTGGAGCCATGGACCGTCTCCACCACAGTGGAGTCTGTGGAAGGATCTTGAGTATGACCTGGCATGGGTGACGCTGGAGGTGGGACGGAATGGAGAGAGTGTTCGGATCCCGCGGAAGGAGAGGCAAGGTCCCTGGTAGCTGTGGCCATGACTGATTGATGATGGCCGGGAATACACGGTGACCGGGAGGTCTGGCAAGAGTGAGAGTCAAGAGAGAACCGACAGACCTGTGGTAGGGTAGGATAGTGTGATGGTGATAAGACGGAATGGGAGTTGAGGGACGGAAGTGTCCAAGTGGCTGAGCTTTGACGCCCGCCGCCGAAGCGCACCGTGGGAGAAAGGCAGATGGTCCCTATGACACGGGATGGCTGAGAGACCGTATGTATATTCAACGTCTTGAACGATGTAGAACACCCACTATCTTCAAGATGTGTGTGAGAAGACGATGACACGAGGTTAGTTGGAGAACGAGGCTTGTGATGGACGCGACTGACTTTGAGGGTGCTGGAGGACAAGCTCAGTTCATGAGTGACGAGTGACCATGACCTGTCGACCTGGGTGGATGACGATGGAGGTCTGTGCGCGATGTGAGTAATGTACGCAGCTTACTTTGTCCACCAAGCGATCCGTGCCCACCATGCAGCATCTCAGCATCTCACACACTCTCCTGTCACTCTTCTCTCATCTTGTCATACTCTTGCTCACTCTTGACCACTACTGGTACTTTCTTGCAACTACTACTATCATATCTCGACCACTCGGAAAGCACGTTCATCCCCCAAGGTGGAGGTCGTCCACTTCTATCACATATCGTGCGTGCCTTCTACCATCCCGTCTAGGAGCTGACGGGATAGCTTTCAAACAGCTCAATCAATCGGAAAAACATGCCAGTCACACCTACATACACAGATGCTGAAGGAGAAGAAGAGCTATCAGACGTTCCTCCCTCGTCTGAACTTTCATCACCACCTCTACCGAAACGTCGACGTACCTCTCATCAGAAGACCTCGGTGACTGAGCCCTACCCTACGCCCAAATCTATACCTTCTTCTAGTTCTTCCAACATCACCCGAGGTGGGGAGGAAGAGTACAAGTCGCCAAGTCCAGGTATCATCAAGCGACTTAGGGTCGATGAAACGTTTCCTTGGAAAGAGGTCTCGTTCTGGGTACCTGGGTGGATAGATAAACCCCTTCAGGCTTTACTCTGTAGGCGTATCACCGTGAGTGGCTCTTATCCATCCGCCTTTGTGCATCAACCCACACAGCATAAAACCTCCATCCCAAATGTCACTGCGAGATACTCCTCAGAGATTCGTCAACCCACCAGGTGGCACTTAGCTGAGTGGCACAGAAAACAGGAGCAAGATTAGCTTACAACATCGACGAAGCCCATATTATCCTCATCAACCCTCACCCAGTCTTCGCAACAAATTACCAGCCTTACCACTCCCTCCCTCGGGTTCTCTCTGGCGACTGTCTCATGGAACCGTACCACTGGCTCTTGAGATGCTACTATTCCGATCGAGTCATGGACGAAACCGAAAATCTACCTGTGTTTTCAAATGAAAGAGCGGATGCATTGAAGGTCGGTGTGGGGGAATTACGAGATGAAGGCGCCAGGGTTGAGTTAATGGTCATGCTAGAGGTGAGTTACAAAGCTCCTCAGCGGAAGCGTTTGATCGTGTCTGACTCGGTAGGAGAACGGAGCCATCGTGGTTCCCGAGAAAGACAGTGAGGTTTGCGTCGTTCCGCCTTGGCACCCCTTCTTGCGTAAAGCCCCAGAAGTGTCTATCTGGCAAGGAAAGGAGTACAAGACTCCGAGATGGGTATGGGATTCTGTGAAGTATGGTACGATGGATGAGGATGTTCATACCCAGCGACGGAAGATGGAGGAAGTAGAGTCGAACAAGGCTGGACCTTCGAAGTCGACTGAGGTTGTTTGGGAAGGAGATTATTCAGATTCAGAAGATGAGACAGGGTAAGTCATGACATCTTCCGAGCAGAGTAGAGCTGATAACGGAAGTGATGAGGAGGACGAGGACGAGGAGGAAAGTGATACTGGATCTGAAAGAGGTGATGAGGGATCTGTTGTAGTGGAAGACTTGGCGTCAGTCAACCCGGAGACATCTTCATCTACGCTCAAGGCCAGGTCTAAGCCTCGTATATTCATATCTCAAGAAAGACGGTCACGTCTTGTCCGGAATTCATAATATTACGCTTGTTTTTTTGGATTATCAACTGTTTATCTAGTTATCCCCTGCTGCCATCTACTCGCGGGTCCTCACTTCTGTCGTTATTGGATACACATCCCTGGAACAATCATAATGTACTCCTACCTGATGCATCCAAATTGTCATTTGAGAAAAAGTGCCACATTGACATCGCCACCGACCACCTGACAGCAAACTCGACGACTCTCCTCACTTTCACTCTTCATATCTCAATAGTGAACATGTCATACCGCTCCCCGCCTCCACATAAAGACAGAGCATACAGAGAACACAGTCGACCTACTGAAGAGGGAGAATATGTCAGGTCGATCAGGGATCACAGAGATAATGGCAAAGATAGACGTCCGCGGGAAAGGGATGGGAGAGGATCTAGGTCTAGGTCGAGGAGTCCTAGGAGGAGGGAAGGACGAGAGAAAGAGAGAGATAGGGTGAGAGAGAGATATGATGATGGTAGGAGAGGTGAGTTTGAAGATTTCATTACCTCTTCAGTTCCTAGTTCCTTATCGATCGTCAAGTCCGCTTCTCATGGTTTGCACCTTGCTTTCCATCCTTTGGGTTTCCTGCTTGATCTATAGAGGAAACTTCCCTCACGTCAAAAAGTGTGGAGACCGTTGATCTTGGTTGTATCATTTCATACTCATGAGATCGTCCACTACATACTGAGGGATATAGGGATATATGGATGGGAAGGGTTGATGGGTTTGATAAGGATCACACGTAGCTGACTGGAAGGATACGATAACAGAGATGAATCGGATAAATATAGATCTCGAGAGAGAGATCATCGAGATAATAAGGATAGGGATCGACGTGGTGATTCAAGAGCTCCAAGGGATTCAAAAGATCCTAGAGAATCAAAAGATCCTAGAGATATTAAAGATGGAAAAGATACAAGACCTTCAAGAGAAAGGGATGATGAAGATGTAAGAATTCAAAGAGATACCAATTATAACAAAAACGATGAATCATTCAACAACGCCAAACTAAGTTTAAGAGATGAGAAAAATCGAGATGCCCGAAAAGAAAGGTCATACGATCCAAATCCGAATAACGAACCGATTTTACCTACTGGTCCTAGAACAAATTTGAAAGGACAACAACCTCCTTCTGGTCCTCGTCTTAAACCGTCATCCCATCAACAGGGTTATGGGATGTATGAATATGAGAACGAAAGACCTTTAGATAGGAAAGCTATTGAAGAAGGTAGAAGACGTAGAGAAGAAGAAAGAGCTAGAGGGGTTGTTTATACTGAAGAAGATGTCTTGGGTAAGTTTTTTTTTTTTCAATACTCTATTTCTCCCAACTTTCACCGCTCTTCATCATATTTGCTTCATGTCATAATAACCTTTTCTTTCTCTTCTTTTATTATCTTTTAATTCCTTTTGGTCACTGATGTCTCTCGTGGTTCACCTCGAAATTTCCCTTACCTCCTCCTTTCGTGATCCTATCTGTGATTCTTGGCGCAACTAGAGTACTCGTACTCAGGAGTTATTACAAAATAATGTGAAGATGGATTGAGATGATCGGATGTACAGCTGACCATATAGAAGATACCTCTTCAGGGAGTAAAGATGTTAAAATGCGAGAGAAAGATGGGGATGGGGAAGGTGAAGAAGATGAAGAAGGGGAAGAAGAAGAGGATATATCTGCTATGATGGGTTTTGGTGGGTTTGGAACGACCAAAGTATGTTTTTTCCGTCATTTTCTTCTTCCTCTTTATCATCTAATAAAATCTTCTCTTTCACCTCCTCTCTCTTCATCTCTTTCACCTCATTCATCTTCCTCTGACCCGATCTTCTCTCTTTGTCCCTTTCGCATCTTCTTATAATTCTGCTTCGTGCCTTCCACTTAACCATCTCTCAAGCACGAGGTGAATCCTATTGGTCGACAGAGCTTCTTCGGATAGGCCGATTGAGTATCTCGAGATTAGGACGTAGACAGTCACTAACATGCAGGGTAAAGGTTTCGGTGTCAACGCTGACGGCGCTGTAAAAGTGAACAAACAACGTACTTGGAGACAATACATGAATAGAAGAGGAGGTTTCAATAGACCTTTAGATAGGATCAAGTGATACTTACACATGTCTCGTCATTTGTTTCCACTTCCATCATCATTACTCAGATCGTCCCCTCGCAGAATAAGGTATCGCCAGTGACGCTGTCCGCACTATCTTGGTATCAGTCACTCTTACCTCAACGCGATATCGCATGGGGAGGATAACGCGGGTGGGATAGATAAGTAAAGAAGAATCATGATGCATTGTCTACTTTCGAGAAATACATGGTAAATTACACGAGATTCATGAGATTTCTACTGAACTTAGATCTGACGATATGCTGCCTCGTACACACGTAGGGCGAGATGGATGATAATGATCATGACATTTCCGAAGGACCGTTTGCAAATGTCGTCAGGAGATAATTGAGTAGTCTCGTATCGTCGTCCATTGCGTGTTCTCCTGGACTCCTATTTCGTCAGTTTATCGTCTATTCGTGAACTGAAAGGGGTACGAGGAGGCAGCTGCAAGTAGAGGAAAGAAGGTATAAACAGAGGGTGAAAAGTATAAGCAGAGAGGGGGAAGTATAAGGAGAAGAAAGAAGGTACAAGTACAGGGAAGCAAGGCTCAAGAATGAGGGCACAGAATCAGTAGGAGGGAACAAGATGAGGGGAAAAGTAAAGGGGGACGAGACGAAAGCGAGATGAAAGTTGATGAGATGAAGAAAAGAGGTATAGCACGAAAAAAACAAACTCACCCCTCATCAGTCGTTTGAGGTAAAGCAAACGGATTAAACGTCACTGTCCCATCTGTACTTTGTCCCACTCCTAATCCTAAACCCAAACCTAAATCTGAAAAATCGAAATTATCTAAAGGATTCCCGAACGGTTGCATTTCACCCGGTCCGAACAATTGAGTATCAGGTGATAAATCCATCGATTCCATTTGAGGTATAGGTATTTCTGAAATTTGTTCTTTTCCCAAGATCGTTCCATCCATCTGTGTCGTAATCGATCCAGAAGGATAATCCATCGAAGTACGTGAAGGTCCAGAAATACCTGAAGGACCTGATAAATCGGAAGGATTGGAGGTGCCTGTAGAAGTAGAAGGAATATTCGTGAGTCGTGATGGAAATTCAGGTCCATCATATGGTACATCCACCCACATAGGTGTACCATCTGATCTTCTAGGTGGAGGAGGTTGTAATGGTCTTGGAATTCTTTTAGAATTTCCAAAAGGTTGATGTACGTCTAATCCTGGCATTGAGGGTGCTACGTAACCCCATGGAGAACTCATTGAATTTTGACCATTGGAATTAAACCTTTGGCGTTGTTCTTGAACTTCACGATATTGTTGTAGTCTCAATTGACGTTTTTCTTCTTCGGCAGCACGTCTACCACTCCTTGTTTTAGCGAGGTTGAGTAATAGATCTACGGGAGTTTGTTCTTCACCTTCTTGTGGTTTACGTGGGATGGTAGGTTTCGAAGGACCTTTGGCTGTTAAGAATTCTACAATGGCTAGTTCTTCTTTTACTAAAGGTTCTGAGATACGTCCTTGAACGTCTGGGGCACGACCGGAAACGACGTTTAGTAATTGTCGGAGCTCGTCCGCTTGAGGGGAGTCGGGATCGACTAGAAGTCAGCACATCGTTCTCCCGTGAATAATTGTTGAGACTCACGCTTGATAGTTACCCCTAGAACCATATACGAGTTCAATCTAGATATCAGCTTACCGCTGAACTCAAACAATTTATGTATTCACACTCGGTAGCCACCACTATTCACCACGACGTTGCCCTTCTCCAAGGTGAACGCTCGTCTGCTAAGCAAGTCCGCAGTGGCCGATTCGATAGCAGCGGTTTTAGAATACGTATATCTTCCATCCTGATCTTTCCGTCGTAGCAGATATGGTCTAACCGTCAGTGATGTTCTCCTTCCAGCTTGATACTCACCTGTTCAAGGTGATACGAGCATAGTACCATTCACAAGCTAACAAATGCCGTTGAACGAAAAGATACGCGTGATCACTGTCAAAGCTCGTATCAGGTGTCGTCATTGAGAAGAAACCAGGCAACGAGTCGCGCCATTCGAGTAATTCCCGATCCAATTTGATGACGGTCTGATAATTCGGTAATTGTATAGCGAAAGTGTGATGGGCTATCTGTCCCATAATTTGAGCCAATTTATGTCTGCCACATCAGCCGATATCTTCAAACCTCAGTTTTACTTACCTCAGAATGACATACGTATATACCGTCGGTCTGGTCAATGGATGACCCGCAGGATCAAAGTCCCCTTCCAGCTCGTCATCGTCCAGATTGGCGGGAATTCTCGTGTCCGTATGCGCATCGGATATAGCCGCAGGTCGGCCGACAAGAAGAGATATGGTACGGTCCAGGTGATACAGCTGTGCCCAAGCTCGACGACGGATTTCGATTTCTCGTTTGTCGGTCAAGTTGAGCACAGTGCCGTCTCGGTAGAGTCCAAGTTGGAATGCTGTCGTTAAAGGAGTCGATCCCTCAGCAGGTCGGCGAGTGAGCAGCCTGTTTCATCAGTCACAGACGGAAACATATGTCATGACGCACATGTAGCGTGAGGCTAGCAGACCAGCGAAGAGGACATCCAAATTGTCTCTTTGCAAAGCTTTGGCGTACTCCAGACCACTCCGCGCGGAACCGTAAAATCGTCGAGACCACGCACTTTGGTCCTCTGGGCGTACAATGTCCTTTGGAGCGGAGAGTACGGCTATGGCCAGCTGGCGCTCAGCATATCCTCGTCGTATCTGGGTATGAGCTCACGACAATAAAGAGCAACGGCAGCCATTTAAGCGCCTCAGCGTCAATTTTGGGGTTGCTAGGATTACGATTGAGTGACTCGAAGAAGGCGTTATAGCGCTTCAAGAACGATGCCTTGTTCATCTTATACCGTGTCCAGCTGGTTTGATTAGCCTGATTTGTGTGGTCGTGATCAACTGCCTCACTCGATGTCTTTGAAATACATATCCACCAAGCCGTCCGCCATTCTCCGTCCCGGCACCCCAGCTATTAGCCATTCCAAATGCTCTTTGGTGATACCGCTTTCTTTCAGCGTTTGCAGCATACTTTGCAACTCAATGCTCTCCTCTGGAATGAACGTGATGCGACGGCCTTCTCGCAGTCCCCAGCCAAAACCGCTTCTACCAGGAGGGGTGCTACTGGACAGGTTACCCGGGAAGAGACCGGATGGAGGAGGTTTGTTGGAGTATGTATCTCGGGAAGGTTGTGAGAATGGACCACCTCGGGGGTGGAAAACCTCTTCGCCAGAAGTTGTGAGGGATGATAAGTCGGGGAGTACAGCATCCGGTATGGCCTGTGCAGGGGCAGAAGGTGTCGAGGAAGAGGCGGATTGAGCGACTAGCCGGCTCAAAAGAGATTCGATGGTATTGAGTCTTGAAACTACCTCACTGTTTCTACAGGATGAGTGAGACCTTTGATAACAGTCGCGAAACTCACGCATTGGGATCTTCCACACCATTAAGGAAAGGTCGACAGAGGTGTGGGACCTTTCTGGCAACGCATTGAGAGCAAGGTTCTTTCCTATCGCATTTCTGCTTCCTCCGATGACACTCTACGCAAGAGAAGTGCACTCGGGTCCTCTTGTTTTCTCGCCCGCTACGACCGGTAGACTGCGCATCTTCATCAGTCGACAAGTCCACTGGCATCGAAGGTTTTCTCTCTTTGCCAGAAGTAGCTCGCGGAGAGGCCTTTCTTTTCCTAGCCGCATTGCTGTCGGAAAGACCATACGGAGTGCCCTGGATGGATCTTGACTGCTCGGCTAGGATATCCGGAGTGAAAAGAGATTGCTGAGATGGTGTGTCGGTCACAGAGGACAAAGATGCCGGAAACATCATGAGGATTTGAGAGGATCAAAAGGGTAGTCACCCCAGGCGCGGAGCAGAGTTATGAACAGGTCACAGAGTGAGAGCGGGAGAATGGAGTGTAATAATAGAGCAAGAGTAGTAGAGGTTGTGAACGGAGAACAAGCCGAGTGGGGCAAAAGAGAAAGATCACGTGACCGGTTTCCCCGACCTCCACCTTGTCCTTCCTGATAACCCTCTCTGTTCCTTCTTCCCTCTTCCCTGCGCTGCTCACGCAAAAGTGGATAATCCCGACGGAACTCGAATTAATCCCGACGAAATTTTGCCACTTTCTCCCAAAATACGACGTTCAACTCCCATATCCCGTCACTACTGACCCAAATACCTTCACTATTAAAAAATCATCTTTCCGTGGCTTTTCTGATATCATTGGAATGCCTGACGCCTTCTGAGTCTATTCATACCATTTTCGGCACAGCTTTCGGAGTATTGACCACAGGGGCATGGGCAATGTCCCCAGCCCGAAATCCTACTTCCTTTTCGGTCCCCTTTCGGCCGAATTCGGGAGCTTTCGGTGATAGTCACATACTCACTACTGACTACCAATCTACCCAAGTGAATAGCTTCTTTCATGTATGTAAGTATGTATGTATGTTCATGTTCATGGTAATACATCCTCTGAATGCACAAAACTCTCTTAAGGATCCATCATGTTGACGTGTCTGATGGTGATGTGTTGATTGAACTTCTACTAAGTACTAACACGGGCTGACGCGATTTTCCCCCTTTTTCATTCCTTCAATTCACTTCTTCTCTTCACTTCACTTCACTTCAGCATCTTCATATCTTTTTCCAGCATACATTAGCCAGCGTTTTTCATCTGCTCTCCACTGCTCACTCTCAACTGATCTCACTGCTCATTCTGCATCTGTGTGCTTCATCTCACCTTCCGCCTTGGCTCGTCCGAATTATCTTATCATCAAAATTAGAGTCTTCCCACTCCCCCTTCCTCCCAATCTCTCTGACCTCTTTGACCTCTTTCTCAAAATGCCGAACCCCTTCGACCCAAAAACAGATAAATCCAGTGTAAACCCTCCGAAGGGTTACAAATTACACCCCGACCATGTTCACTTCCAAAAGTATCTTCAGCCACAACACCCCATTTGGAAGAATGAGAAATCACTTCGTTCTTTTCAAGCTGAGATAGGGTTCTACCTCCAGCCCTGGTGGCATGCAGAGCCGAAGTATCTTCCTCAGCTTGCTGAAAAGCTAGGACTTCGGGAAGCTACCCCGAAACAAATGAAGGAAGAGGGTATTCGGGCGATTACTAGAGGGTCACGATGTTATTCGGCGGATGAGTCGGCCACAAAGCCAAACTGTCATGTCCAGTTTTGTGTTTCGGCTTTCAATTACACGTGAGTATTGGTTTATCAAATATGGCTCCCGAATTCGGGAGAAATTAACGAAACTCAATGCTGATCTCAGACATCCCGAAGTGAAATGTGTCAATGTACCTGATGGTCGACCAGTGTTTCTCAACCGTTGGGACGAAGGAAAGTTTCGTGTCTGTGTGCACTGTTATAACTCCACAAAGCCCCCTCTCACCTGCTCCCTCAAGGGCAAGCCGACCAATTTCCTTGTCGAAGAGTCCTCCGAAAGTGAAAAACGACCGAAAAAGTCATCACAAGGTCAGGACAAGCCTGAGGACAGCTCGGATTCTGATTCGGACTCATCGGACTCTGAACATTCACCACATCCCTCCCCTCCGAAACCTCGCCGGCCAGCCACCACAACACGCTCCACAAGAGCTTCGGCTCCCAAGAAATCGGTTTCTCCCCCCCCTCCCGAAAAAGGAAAAGGAAAGGGAAAAGAAAAAGCTCCCCCTGCAGCTTCCACGGCGATTGGGTTCTCAAATGCGCCACTGCAGCAACCGGTAGGACCGAAGGACAAGCGTAGGACTGCTAGGGGAGGCACTGTCGCAGCTGGGGATGCTGCAAAACCCGGTCCGAAATGGGTTGTCAGACCTTCTCCGAAACCTCTCACCGAAGCGCCTACGTCTGCTAGAGAGCAACCTCGTTCGGAGGTGAGTTTTCTAGGTTCCGAACTGAAAGCAAGTCTCAGCAGCTGACTTTTAGGGAGAAACAGAACTGTCTTCTCCAGCTGGTCCTATTCTTGTTCAAGATTCCAGCTTGGGTCAAGATGATGGGGAAGAAGGACCTCAACCGGAACCATCTACAGCCCGAAATGAGAGGCCACGATTCCCTCCCCGCCCTCCAAAATTTGCCGATGTTGTTCCCGAAAAGGAACCCTCCGAAATCGCCCCCCCCGTTTTCTCTGCAGGTTTGCCAGCTGGGGTTTCTCCGATACTTGTCCGAAGTAGTCCTGTTCATCCTCCTGTGAACAAGCGTGCCCTGGAGGATGTAGAAGAGTCCCAGGCCGAACCGAAACGGGCTCGTCCGTTCTCCATTGAACAAGGTCCTCCCCAGCCCGAAATGGATCTTACCTCCGAAAAGGTGCCCACAATGTCCCCTGTTGGTCCTGTTCCTTCTCCTGCCGTATCTGTTCGACAACAGGCCGTTCCCTCTGCTCTAGACCCATTTATAGCACAAACACAATCGGTTTTGGGTGTTACATTGCAAGAATCACCAACAATCCCTTCGCCTCACAAAGCTAAAAGTGTCACACCGGCCCCCTTCCCCAGCCCCTCCCCTGCTCCGAAAGCAGGCCCTCCTCCAAACCTTCAACCTGGGTCTTCTTCTCTCGTCTCTGGCCCTCCCCAAATCTCCCCACTACCTACCTCACTGCATACGTTTGCAGAGGTAAAGCAGTGGCTACAGCAGAAGCGCCTGGGTCGATCAGGTGTGCAGAGTCTTCCTGGTCCAAACCCATCAACCAATGTTCCGAAACCCACGATGGCTCCGAAGCCCATAGTTCCTCCACTCTTTGCTTCCCAATCGGCTCCCCCTCAGACTCCACCTCCCACTTCTCTCATTCGTTCTCATTCAGAATTCGTTGGCTCTGGTCCCACAGCTTTGCCAGGTCAGATACCCTCCATTCCTGTCACTTCGGTCAATGTGGTCAGTAAACTCCCTCAAATGAACCCACCACTCCAGCCCGAATTTCGGACCCAAAGGCCCACTGTCCCTTCCTTGGACCAGCCTGCACCCGAAAAGGTTGTCCCTTACATCCCGGCTCCACCGTCTACCATGCCCGAAGTTGAACAGTGTCTGCATCGTATGAGTGAGTTTCAAGAGACTCAGGCTCAGTTTGAGGAGCAATTCTCTTCCCGAATGGTTGCTCAAGTTTCCGAAATGATAGACTATTACCGAGAAATCAACCGAGGACGTCATCAAGCCTTCTCCGAAAGTGTCACACAATCACTTTCGGGTGTGAGAGCTATCAATGGGACATGGAGTGAATTCAAAGCGCGGTATGACTCGGTGGTTTCTGAAAGAGATGTGGCTCAAGGAGAGGTAAAGACACTGGACCGGCTGTACAAAGAGCAGATTGATAAGAATGAGGAGAGAGATCATGCTGTTGCCCGAGTCACCGCCGAAAAGGACGCCGAAATTGCTTCAATCCGAAAGCAGTTGGAGGAGACTCAGGAAGGGCTCAAGACTATGAGCCAGAGGTTCGCTAGTGCAATGGGGGATAAGGAAAAGGAGGCTCAGGCTCGTCAGTTTGCTGAACAGCGGTGTTCAGATCTGGCCAGACAGATGGCTGAGAAGGAAAACACCGAATTGGAAACTCTCCGAGCTCGTCTTTCGGAGGCTGAAGCAGCTAAGGGAGTAATGCAACAGCAAATAGACGAGGCATTGCAGTTTGTGCAAATTACCGCTGCCCTGCAAAATGAGACTGAGATGGAGAATGTAGGGTTGAAGGAACTCAAAGCGCAGTTGGAGGGAGCAAATGAGAAGTTACGGGCGGACCTTCAAGTGGATCAAGAGGAGTGGGAATCGGCCAACTACACCATCAGGCAACTTGAGTCAGAACTCCAAGAGGCCAAACAAGAAAAGGCTCGGCAACAATTCCGCTTTGACCTTAGGACCTCCCCTGCGAAGCCGAACGAGTACTCTGACCGAAGAAGAGCTCACAGTCTTGATCTCCCTTCCACCAAGATCACCGCTCGAAACTCCGAAAATACCGCACCGAATCCCGAAAATGACCCTTCCAACTCCGAAAATGTACTTTCTTCAGGACCAACACCTCATGATGCCATTCCCACAATCCCCACAAATGCAGATCTCCATTCTTCTCAAGATTAAATGTAGCCAATCAAATCCGTGTTACAGTTCCCTTGTATGTACTGTCACTTGTTCATTTTGCCGAGTTTCCGTTTCGGTGTTTTCATTTCATGTTTCGGTCTTTCTATGTTTGGGGTCCAAATGTCTCATCTGTGTGTGAACTAGCCTGTGTAATGCATTCCATGTCTGAACTCTTCCAGCCTGGCTCATGTTGCATACATCCCTGCAAGAGATACTTCACTGTTTCTTGTGTCAGTGAGCGAGAGATCCTTGTAGTAGGATTAATTGTCCCCAAAATTCGGACCGACTTCGGACAGCCTTGACCAATTTCGGACAGTCATGGCTGCATATATCACTGCAAGAGAGCTTATGACTATCCAAATAAGCACTGGGTAGACACAATGACTAGTGACCCTAAGCAGTACAATATTGGAATACATGAGATGGTCAGATGTGCTTTCGGAGGGGTTTTCGGTGTTTCGGGAGTGCCTTCGGACTCACTTGGGAAAGATAATCAAGCCCCAATCTGCATCAAACCAAGTGTATTTTTACATCCAGAGGTATATTAGTCATTATATTCATGCACAACCAGCTGTGATACCTCTCTACAGGCGATCTATGTAGTAAGTCATGGAAGGTACAGACTTGTCCATCAATTTTTTCACTTTCGGACTGAATATAGACTCATTTGCTGGATCCCGTGCAGCCATTGCAAGCACCAGTTGAAGCACACTTGTTCGTAGTTTTCTACTCTCACCTCTAGCCAGAGTTGATGATTTCACCCCAAGCACAGAAGCAGTCGGTCTGATTCCCTGGAGAAGAAGACATGCAGCGGCACATGCTAGAGGACCACAGCTGTGTGAGTCCACTTGTGTAACCCAGTCCAGGTTATCCCTGGTAGCCTGAACGTCATTATTGAGCTTGGGAGTAGTACTGTACTCACCTGAGAATTTGGAGCAATCAACCAACCCATAGCTTCAGCCTCTGTTGCTATGCCTTTTCTGACTTCCCAGGACAAACGGCGTTCTAGCAGGCGTGACCATTGCTATTGATCAGTGACGCTGCACCTCATTGAAGTAATTTTGAATGACCAACTTACCTTCTTCTGTTCTCCCGAATCATAAGTCCCCCCTGCCCCATCATACATCAACACCAGCTTCTGTGGCCCAAAGATTACCAGTGTCTCAAAATGGGAGCTCGACATCAGAACCCCAACTGTGTTCTCTTTCCTCCATTGCCCGTCCTTGCCCAGAGAAGGCCATGGCGTACCTCCAGGTATGTATGGGTTCCAGTTGTCACCAGCAGCTAGGGTTCGGTAAACAAACGAGTTTGGTATGGGGTCAGACATTCCAATCCCCAGATTCACACAATTTCGGATGAAAGCTGACACCGAAAGCAAGATATCATCGATTCCGAAATTGGTGTACCACTCATTCCTTCCGTAGAACTTACGCAACGTTTTTGACCCGAATGTGGAGTCTACACCCTGCAGCTTCAAGCCCTTATGCTCATCTTCGGCCATGTCATGAAACATAGCTTCCATCTGGTCGCACAGGTCCCCAAGGAGATCGTCCGAAAGGCTATCAACATCTTGAAATGTGCTGACGGAGATGAGAGGTTGAAAGGATTCCCCCGAACGCCACTGAACTTGTGCTAGTCTTTCGGCAATGACTGACTGAGCCTTTTCTAGTTGACAGTACTGCGGAACCTCGGGTGAGGGAGAGCGTTCAACAGTGGGAACGACACTTGGAGGATCAATGTCCATGGATGATGATGGGGAATCTGGTTCTGCTGTAATGTCTTGAGAAGCTACAGTGGGATTGAGACTGATAGCTTGATCGGGGGGAGCCGATTCACCCTGGGGTGTGTTGGTTTGGCACAGCATGTTGCTCGAGGAAGGCCCGCTTTCGGGAGGTTCATCACCAGGTGGAGAAATATGTGTAGGCTTCGGAGGGATGGTACCCTGAGAAACTGTGGGAAGAACATTGGGCTGAGAAGCGGTGGGGTCTGTAGGGGTACTGGTGGGCGCCAAGCTTGTGGACTGGACATCAACTGGGGCAGGTTCTTGTTCCGTTGGGTTTGGAGGAGGAACTTTCGGATCTCCCGAATTCGGAGGTTCAAGCGTTGGCGGGGCCGAAGTTGGCAGCTCCGAATTTGAAGAATTAGCTGGTATGGCGTCCGAAACGGGAGGTTGGGGGTTTGGTGCTTCCAGTGTTGGGCCTTCAGCTTTTGGTATTTCAGGATTCGAAGCCGATTTTGACATTGCTTTCCCACTTGGCTTATTCAGTCGTCTCTTTTTGGCAATGGGTTGACTTGCTGATGGCTTGACTTCATCTTCCAGTGTATAGAACAGCAAGACCGGGAATCGTGTACCACCGAAAGCGTCCCGGTTCAGAAACATACGAGAGGTTTTTTCGTCGTCAATCTCCCACAGCACATCATCATGCTTTATCAAAGCCACATAGTGTCCACTGGTCACCTGCACGGTGTCCCCCTTTCGGCAGAGCATTCCCTTCAATCTGTACATTGGAAGATTGCTGGGGAGTATAGGAGGAGGTACGGCTGAAACCTGCGCTGGGTTGATAGTTTCGGGAATGTCAAAAGGGTGGATCACTTGGTGTGCAGAGGGGTTTCGGAGATCCCAGACAATGTTGAGGAGTAACATGCGGGGCAGGTTGTTGGATTCCAAGGACATCTTGGCTCGTGCTCGAGTGACGGCCATTCGTCCATTACATGGTACCGAAAAGCAATGTTGGGGACTGCATGAACGCCACAATGAAAGGTTGATGAGCTGGATGAGGTTAAGTGATGAGCCATGTGGATAGATTTGGAGAACGGTCATTTGCTTCTCCAGTGAGGATGTCTCTTGCCTGACAGGGACTGCGTGGGAACAGGGCTGAAAGACATATTCCCAGGTTACTCCGAATTGGAATGTGTTCCGAATCGGGTTCTGTTCAATGATCTGATTGAATTTGCTTGTCATTCTGAGAAACAGTTCACACGGATCATGCTGAGATTCTTCATCTATCAAGTTCTCACCTGCATATCAGCAAATGAACATGCTGATTGGCAGCAATGATGGAGGAAGGGAACTCACTTCGGAGGATCGGTACAATGTCCTTCAGATCCACCAGCCGTCTAGTTACCGAAATGGCTTTAAGAAAGTCACCTAGTAAGACAATCAAAGAAGGTGCGTGAGGCCTGAGAGCGTCATTAGCTTCGTTGAATGCGGACACGAAGGCTGGAATTCGGAAGACAATATGGAACAACGACAGAGCAAAACAGGATTGAAGATAATTCTTTGCTCCAACAGGTCGATCTCGTGGTGGTAGTGCGTCCCGAGGAATGCCAGCTTTTGTGGGGGCTGTCTTTTGGCGATAAGGATGCAGAGGGCGGTGAGCTGCTGGACGGCCACCCTTATCAGCCTCTGGTCTTGAAACCGGTAACGTGGCAGTGGTTGAGGGATGGTCGTCAGCATGGTTGAGGAATCGGTTTCGGCGGGTAATGGGCGAATCGGGCTCGACAAAATCAAGGTTGGCACTATCAATGCTGATGAGCTTGCCTGTTTCGGAGGCTGCTCGGAGGACCAATCATGCCACACAGGCTCCGAAGGGTCATGTCCCCAATAGGCAACAAGGTCTTCTTGATCCAATGGATAAGATATCTCTCCCAACCGTCTTTGTAGTTGTATAGCTCGAGTCTGCAGTCGCAGTTCGTTTGCCGTGACACCATTAGAATACGTTTCGGAGGAGCCACAAGTGTGAAAGCAGTACAATGCCCAGAGACCCGAGCACCTTTTGCCTGTTTCGGTAAAGTATCTGCAGGAGCATCGTTCACGAGTTTTGTCTTTGATCCCACAGTAATGTAAGTCCGGTGTTGTTTTGCTCGATTCGGAGGATGTCACACAATATGTATGATCTAGTTGACCTCTCAATGACATAGGCATCTCGTCTCCGAAACATTCCCTAACCGCCCCTTGCTCCCAAAGCTCCAGTCCTTGAAGTATGTGTGACAGAACTGTGGGGTCACAGCGGGCAGATGTTGGTGGTGAATGGAGATACATGGGAAAGTAAACGTCGATGATGATTGTGAGGAGTTTGTCTATACGTTTGTTGGCTCGAGATTCAAGGAATACTCTGTCAAAGGTCCGAAATGCCGCTTCGACAAAGTTGTTTGTTGAGAGAGTACCATCTCGGGTGTGATGAGGTGGCAGACCATAGTCGACAAGGTATCCCCTCCATCTGTCGCTGAACCATTCAGACAGGAGCCAGGTTCTGATTTTGTCCCAAATTTCGGGATCGTTATTGCTGATTGCCGCAACATCGGCTTCTAGTCGAGCAAAAGCTTCTGACCAAGACTCCTCTTCGGAACATCGTTGGCACCTCCGAAGTGCCACAAGGAAGGCAAAGGCCTTTTCGGTACCCACCAGATCACTCCCAAATAGCCGAAGTGCTCGAGATCGGGCGGCGTGCATGAAATGGAATTGGCATAACCGAATTGGAGTTCCCGGGAAGACCTCCTCAATGGCCTTTCGTTCGGCGTCATCACAATCAATCATGAAATGTAGTGGAAGGAAATCCTCCTCGTGAATGTATTCGGCGTTGATGAGGATTTGCTCTTCATTCTCATATTCGGAGACCACTGATGATTTGCCCTTGAGTAATGCTTTCGCTTCTTTCTTGATAGCCTTTCGGATAACGCTCAAGAATTCGGTATAGGAATCGGTGTTGGCGTGATTCGAGACCATGACAGCTACTGGAGCATTGTCAGCTCCGAAACCCGAAACCCTTCAAACCACAGGACTCACCAGGGACCATATGACCATATTCATTTACTGTGGCTAGCAAGGTGACGGGACAGCGTATTGCATTCTTATTTCTCCAAGACGAATCAAGAAAGAGGCCCCGATCTGTGGCATGCCGAATTGCTGATTGCAATGCATGTTTCGGACTGATGATTGCAATGAACGAAGAGTCCGCTGGGAATGGCTGAGTGCCACCGAGTGCCAGGCCTTCAGGATATTCACAACTGACAGTCAGCTCATGAGGACAAGGAAACGCTGGCTACATACTGCAGGAAAGAGCTTGGATTGGCCTCATGTAAGATACTTATCGCCGCCAGTGGTAGCCGATCCAGCCTTTCCTGCCGCAGAGCCGTTCGGATGGCAGTTTGGAAGTCAGTGGTGGTAGGAAGACGCTCGGGATAATTTGCCTTGACCCATAGGACATAGGGGTGAATCTTGCAGAAGGAATTGTACCACCGAAGCCGAAGACGTGACTCAGTCGTTCCCACCAGAGTTGCAGCATCATGGAGTAGGTTTCGGAGATGTGGCGAAATCCGAAGTAATGTCAACGGGTTCGGTTGACCGTGATATGCAGCTTTCGGGCGGATCAGACAACAGACCCCTTTTCGGATATTGCTGGGGGTCATTCGTATCTAAGAAAATGAGCTTAGTGAAGATGAATCATCCTTATATGACCCACCTCAAGAAAAAGATCACACTTTAAACGTGCTCTTGAGGAATATCGTGCACTGGCAGCAGTTGGAGGGTGAGCTTCGGCTGTTGTTTGTGTTTCATCCTTTGCTTTCGGCTCAACATGGTGGTGGACACTGTTCAAAGTTGGCTGGATCTGGGTACAGTTGCCACTGCATCGGAAGATCGACCGAAACACTGTCCGATTCGGGTATGCGGCGACAGCACTGTCGGAGACAAAGAAGAGGCCATGTCTTCCCCTGATGTCGGCGGGTAATAAACCAGGGGGATCCAACCATTCCACTTGAACACATTTGGATATATGCTGGGTCTCAATGAGGTAGTCCTGACGCTGATATATCAACGGTTGTAACTCTCCAAAACAGAACACTGACCAAAGAGTCAAACGCTTTCGGGATATGATGAAAAGCCACCTCGAATTGTTCATAGCGATCATCATCCACCAGGTCAGGATTCGGTAAACGACAGAAGGTTTCCAAAGCACGTATGTTGACCCCAAGACTAGCGTCGGTGCGAGGAGCTTTGAGTGCCAAGAGTGGAGCCTCAGGACGTGGTACGGAGTATGATTCGGAAGAGATATTGACAATTCGGAAGCGCCCGGCCGCCTCTTGCCTAGCAGTGATGATCTCATCTTCTACCGAAATGGGATTCGGAGGTTGAGAGGGAGACCATTTCGGAACGGCAGCGGATAAGTTGGGTGCTGAAGCTTGCACGGCCGAAGACAATGAAGCGGAGGGGGAGGCCATGACCAGCTCTGTCCAGGGTACCGAATCTGGTGTCACAATACCAATACCGTTGGACGATGCAGGAGTATCTCCTGATGCAACTCTCCTGTCAGTTGATACATAAAGGGGATCCAAAAGTACTCACTGGAATCAGCCGTGGACAGGGGTATCTTGTGACCAGGAGACGATTTGGGAAACTGCTGTGAATGATTTACTGAGCATAAGCTTCAATGAACCCAGAGGAAAAGAAACTGCCTCACAGGCCACCGAATCCAAATGCGATTCCAGTCGCGTTTCGGAAGCAGGCAGGGAGGCAGAGGGGGTTGGAAGGAGATCGGGCTGAGCTACTTTATGACAAGGAGATGGAGAAGAAGCCCCTCTTGAGCTCAGCTGGGGTGGTTCAGGAAAGGGCGGCGGTTTGTTCACTGAGCATAAGCTTCAATGAACCAAGAGGAAAAGAGAATGTCTCACAGGGCACCGAAACCGAAACTGACTGGATCTCCGAAGCTGTCCTGTTGATAGAAGAAGGCTCAATAGGGTGAGAAGGACCGGCTACATAGTTAGTAAGGGGTGAGATAATCTTCAGAGGAGACACTGACATGTTGATGGTGATTGTGCACTAGGAGCATACACTTTCGGAGGTCGACCACGAAAAGGCGACTTTCTCTTTAAAGCGTTGAGAATGAGTTGATCAGCTTGATTATTCTGAGACATAAAGCTTGTGAGCTTAATTCAGTAAGTTACTATTATGTTTAAATCAATGGAAAGAAGATGATTGAAATAAGAAGAGGAGAAAAATGATTGCCCAATCACCGCCAAACAGTGCCTAGGGTTGAAGGACACATCCTTTCGGGGGCGTTTCCGAATTTGAACTCCAAATGGCTGTAGAGAACCAAGGACTCCGAATTCGGAGGTTCTGCCTGCATGAATGGCTTCAGAATACGTGTGGCAACCCATAGATATGCAAGAAGCCACGGTAGGATGCATATTCAATACAGGGGGGATTTGGGGACATTCCGTAGGTATTTGGGTCAGTAGTGGAGGGATCCTCGGGTTGAGTGACGTATTTTGGGAGAAAGTGGCAAAATTTCGTCGGGATTAATTCGAGTTCCGTCGGGATTATCCCTACGCGCGCTGCTCACCCTCACCGTCTCACCACCGACCCCCACTGTCTTGGGTCGTCCCCCGGAAGAGTACCCACCGTCCATCGCTACGATGCTGTACATCGCTTCAGTGAGTCAACTCGTCAAAGGACGATCTCTCTGGAAGGGCACTGATCGTCTTAGGCCCTTGCTCCGACCCCCGTCCTCTTCTCTCAGGCCATCGATAACTTCACCTCTCCAAGCACATCTTCTTTAGTTGTCGCTCGTCCTGATTGGGTCGAGGTCTCCGATATCACATCCGAGGGACTTGTGTATCGATGCGGGCTCCCAGTATGGGGTAACATCGCCGGGTTAGAGAGGGCGACGGTGGAGGTATGTGCTTCTATCCGACTCTTGAGGCTGACACGCAGGGAGCTCAACCTCACATCGTCGTACTTATCGCTCCCCCAAATGCACGCCTGCTCCTCATAAGATATAATGCCTTGCCGACACCGCAGCTGGTGGTCACGTCGTCGATACCCCTTACACCACCAACTCCATCCTTGCGACTGGCAGAGTTTTTCACGTCGGTCATCGCCAAAGACAATGCCGTGTTGGTCAGTTTGTGGGTCGGTGTTTTGTCCTGCTGCGAGATTGCCGCGGTGAAGGGAAAAGGTTTCACACGAAACGACGGTGACGTAGATATGGAAGGAAAAGATGCGAGCGGCTCTCTAGAGTTTAGAGATCACTTCAACCTCAGGTGAGTTCATTTTAGTCATTCTTGATCATAGCTGACATGTAGTATACGAGAACATAACCTTCTTAACCTTGCCTTTATCTCAGGGTCTGATGATCCTGCCGGGCCTATGGTTACGTTCTTATACCAGTCATCGACCTTGGAACTGCTCCTTCAACCTCGACATCTCTCTTTCACCTCTCACTCCTTCATCGATGCTTGTCCCCCGGTCAATTTGGTCACTCCGGTCACGTCCGCCAGCTTCGAAACGACGTCGACCATATCACCGGATTTTCAAGCGATACCTTTCTCCTGTCCAGCAGCACGACAGGTCCTCCCTCTTCCCTCGAACCGAGAATCCAAGTCTCTGCTTGTGATTGGAGACGAATACAGCGTGTTGTGGGAGATCTTGCCTCCGTCAGCCTCCGTGCGCTCAAAGAGAGCATCAGTCTCTTCCGGAGCGACAGCAAGTCCGAGAGCGAGCGACGCTAGACGAAGTCCACAGGCGGAAATGACGAGCAGCGTGGGCAAGAAACGAAAGTCAAGCATGGGTGATCCTCCGATTCAACCTGTGCTCCGACCTATCTGGAGAGTCCGTCAGGGCTTTGGTACTGTGCTATCGTAAGCGTCCCTCGTTATCCATCGGTGTTGGACATGAGGCTGAGTCTCATAGTGCCATTGTCCTAGACGCTGATCGAGATAATGCTGTAGTATTACTTGGGGACGATGCGGGTCACCTTACAAAGTTGACTATCGAAAGCGCTCGTGAAGATCTTTCCTCAAAGCTCTCGGCCGTGATGAAAGTTCTCAAGACTGATCTTGGTTTTGTGAGTGCTGCAGTCTCAGTCTCGTTAGCCGTTGACCAGTGATAGGCCGCTGCACCATCATCACTAACACTTTTGGGCTCTTCACATGTCTTCATGGGATCTGCCTGTGGCGACGCGTTGATCATCCGACTCCCATCTGTAACTTCATCACACTCAACACCACTCTCCCCGGCTCTGTCAGTCAAATCTATCCCCCGATCACCGGTGAGCAGTAGGAAAAGCAAAGGAAAAGCCCGTGCCGATGACTCCTTGGATGGGTTTGGAGTAGAGCACTACCATGAGACGGCCACGGTGGAGATGGTTGAACGATGGATGAATCTAGCTCCGGTCAAAGACTTTTGTGCGGTGGAAGAGGACGGGGGTGGCTTGGTGGGTTTCAGCCTATCTTGTCGGGGAAGAGCTGACAACAGTCTCATCTGGTAGTTGCTGCCGGTGCCTCGAATACGAACTCGTTGCGTGCAGTTCGAAGTGGTGTAAGTCTGGAGACCCTGATGGACATCGAAGGTGTACAAGGCATCGAGAGGATGTGGCCGATCATGTTGCCCAGTAGGTAGGTGCGGATTCTCTGCCATTGTCGAAATTGACATGATTTCAGAGATCAAGGCATCTTTCTCTCCACATCGACTTCCTCGATGCTACTAGGACTCGCCCCAGAAGTCCAGGCCCTTGCGTTGCCGGAATCAGTTGTCAACCATCCCACCATCGCTGCAGCATCATGGGAGGAGGTTGCTGTTATCGTCACTGCGAATAACGTGACAGTCTGGTCAGACTTGACGGGGTCTGTGAAGGTGGGCTCGTGGTCACACGGGCAGTCGAGACAGATCTTGGCAGCTCAGATATCTGGCGGCCTCGCTGCGATAGCTATAAGTGGCGGAGAGTTGGTGATTCTCCAAGTATCCGCCCATGGTGTTGATGCCATTCTGTAAGTCAGATCCCTGTCAGTGGTGTCTTACTGACATGATAGAACTCGTCAATTAGGAGGCGAGATCGCGTCTGTTGCCATCCTGGATGGACTATCACCCATCGTTGTCACGAGCACATGGACGAACGAGATCTTTTTATTCACCCTCGATCAGCTGCGGTCCCCTGACATGCAAGGTTCAACAATCCGTGAAAACTCCTTTTGCGCGTCACTGCAGCTCTGTCCCTTGTCAGGCGGTGCTCGACTCCTGGCAGGTCTTAGTGATGGTACCATGGTCACGTATCATATCGAATCGTCTGCAAACAATGCACTGGAGCTGTCGGAGCGCAAAGCCGTCTCTTTAGGTACACAACCACTTCGACTTTCCCCGACTAGTCTATCTTGTGGGGATGACAGGATAATCAGCGTTGGACTGTCAGAACGCATGTGTGTCATCTCTGAATCTAGGGAACGGATCGAATCGTCGTCTGTGAATCGAAACGTGAGTCCACTTCTCATGAACTCGTTGAGCGTACTGGCTGATCCCGCCCAGGATACTCGTGCTGCAGCCACTATCAACACCCCCTCTCACGGCTCGTGCCTTGCTCTTGCCACGTCGAGCGGTATATCTCTCGTCAAACCTACTTCTCTCAAGAAGGTTCACGTTCGAACCTTGGACCTCGGGCATCGCTCTGTCTCACGACTCACCAACATAAGCCCTCTCAAGGCTATCGCGGCTGGCTCGACCGAACGTCCTTTCGACCGTGAGACGGGAGAGATACATCAGTCTAGTTATGTCGAGCTACGGGATTCTACAACCCTTGAGCTTCTCGTGGAAAAACCTCTCGAATCAAGGGAAATCGTCACGACAATAGCTTACGTCACTCTTGGCGACCAAAATCTCCTCGCTGTGGGTATCGCAACTTTCTCAGAGGACGACGAAGATCTTCCGGATGATCTCGATATGGTCACGATATCTGCTCAGTCTGGGCGGTTGGTATTATACGAGCCTGTTGTAGATCAAGATTCAGCAGAACCGAATTTGATAGAATTGACAAGTGTGGGTTTGGAAAGTGCGGTGAACGATATCAAGGTGATCAAAAATCTCCTGGCAGTAGCGACAGGAAGCAACGTGGGTTTGAAACATAATCTCATATTATCACAGAGGAGTAGCTGACGTAAAGGTCACGATTTACAAACATGAGAAGGCTTCTCACCTACTTATTCCCACATCACGGTTCGCTTCTGCTTTCGTAGCGAAGTCTTTAGTCGTGGCCCCACCTGACAAACTGCATCCAGAAGAGAGGTTAGTGGTTGGAGATGGCATGCGCAGTATATTCGTACTCGACATCGATGAGGGTACTGGAATGATCATGGGAGACGAAAGGGATATGGCGACACATAGCGTCATGGCGATGGAGGGATTGAGGGATGGTGGACAAGCAGTGATAGTGGCAGATGTAAGTGTTCATCTCGGTTCCTCATCCCACTCTTCCGTCACCTCCTTTTGGGTAGCAGCTGGTCGCTTTCCATCCTTGGGCGGTGAAGCTGACGAAGAGGCTCACTCGAATATCTCAACTTTCCGCTTGAGAGAAGAAATTGAAACTGCCGCCACATTTGGTCTTCACGAGGATATCTCTGTCTTTCGACGAGGATCACTCGCCCCTGCGTCATCGGCTGAAGATGTTCTCTCTCCTGAAATCATCTTTGCCACTATCGATGGGAGATTGGGTATCGTGGGGGAGTTGACACCTTCCGCAGCTCGTACATTGGATGATCTTCAAAGGAACATGGACAGATATATCCGTGGACCGGGGGATATAGCATGGAGATCGTAAGTGGATCTTTCTCATCCTCTGTTTTCTGGCTCTAGGTTATCTCATCAAAGAACACCGTTTCATCATCGGGATGGGATCGATCATTGATTTCCAGGTATCGTCGAGCTGGCACAGAACTCGTGCAACGTGACACGGCAGGTTTCATCGATGGTGATTTCGTGCAAACTTACATTTCCTCTCAATTCTCACCTGATATGGTGGAGAAGATATTAAAGGGAACGACGGCTCCAGAACATATCATGCGTTTGTCAGAAGATGGTACGAAAATACCGGCTACTAAAGCAGAAGTTATGGGAGTACTTGAATCTCTCAGTGGACTACATTGAATGGTAAAACAACCCAATAACTCAACATCGTTCCTCCCGTGAATTTTTGTACAGTATTATATCTGTCACATGAATGTTTATCTAGATCCGTCTTGAAGTTCAGTGTCAATGCCCCTTGATGCATACAACAGATTTATGTCTGTGATTTATTTATCGTAAATTCGAGATGAAATCACTCCATTCCACCAACTCCGCTTCCACCTCCATCTCGAAAGATGGGCCAAGCCAGATAGTCGTCCAATAATATGTCTCCGCCAATTGTCCAATAACGAACTTCCAGCCTGTTGACCGAATATCAATTTGGTCAACCATTATACTTTCCACATGTAGTTGAGGAGAGAGGGTGACTGATATTCTAGAAGGTCCGAATGGTATACCGACTCCGATAGCTTTTGTATAAGCTTCTTTCGCCGTCCAGAGGAGTGCGAATGCTTTTCTTTTTTCTTCCGATGAGAGGGATTCTAGAAAGATTTTCTCAGAGGGGGATAGCTGGAATTCAGTTCCAGTTCTTCTCCTTTGGTATAAATCATGATTTTTGTATAGGTATTCACCCAGATCATCCCAAGGCAAATTGAAGAGACGGTGCATCAAGTAAAGGCAAAGATCGCGGGTAAAAGTTGAAAGGGAAAATGAAGGACGAAATGGAGCGTGGGTGAATAGGGATAGTCAAAATGAGATTGAAAAAAAGACAGAAGATGGAATAGAACTCACAGCATCATTCAATCCTTCTATCATATCCGATCCTTCAGGAGGGATAACACAAATGTCCACCCCTATATTAGAGATATTCCCAGTGACGAACAAAACATAATTTCCTTCGTGAGATACACTATATTCTCTGTTTTCCCCATTGATCAACATCTATTCATCAGCTATCTATGTGATGTGGGGGAGAATGGACTGACGTATGGTTGACCTATTGGCCGAGTGTAAAGAGTTGGGTTGGGGAGATGCTGGGTGTGGGAGTACCATCTAGGGAAAAGATGCCCCGCTAGGGATCCTATGAAGATTTAGTGGGATAATAAATACGTTGATATTGTAAAATCATAACATACGGATGGCGTCTTCTCTCAGTCTATACTTAGCTGAACGGACTCGAATATCCTCTGAGACTAGTTCGGATAATCTGTTGTATTCCTATTTGGTCAGCTTACTGTCGCATAACAATAGCTTACCTCTTGAGAAATACTTGCGATTGGAATGAAGAGGGCGAAAAGACGCATGACCGAACGAAGTTTCCTATCTCTCCTTATGAAAGATTGCCCATCTTGCAGTCTTGTATCATAAAGTGAGTATTCCCTCGAAGGCAGAATCCACCGATAGGAACTTCTTGATGATATATTCGATCGTGTATACCGGGCTCTAGCCCTAAGATCTTGTCGAGGTTTCACTGGTATGATAATGTGTGAGAAGGAATGCAGAATTATCGAGAAGAGAAGAGATGAAATTTCAACGTTTACGGCGTCGATTTGGTCTCATCGCTGTTTCTCATTCTTCATCTTTCATTTCTCATCTTTCATAATACAACCATTGAACTTGAGGCTACCATAACTTCATCAATACACCTCATAAACACATGCAAGTACCATCGTTAGAACCGGTACAGTTGCAGCTACCTTCTGGGCCTTTTTGATGCATTCAAAAGCAGATATAAGAGATGTTTCCTATATCTGACAGACTGGACGATATCTGAGCGCAAAAAGTGCCACATTCGAGTCAATTCATGGAAGATGATGCATAATGCTGACTACTGTGTTCTATACTGATTAGCATGGTAACACTTGAAAAGAGACAAAGAGGCAAAGAGAGAGACAGAGATAGAGATCAAGATAGAGCCAGGGAGGGAGGCAGGGAGCAAGAGAACAAAGACAAAGAAGATGGAGAAAGATATAATGGAGGTCGAGGTGAAAGAGGGGGATGGCGATGGTGATGATCAACAGGATGATGATGATGAGATTATAGAGATCCTTAGGGGCAAAGAACTTTCTCACGCAGAGAGGTGTAGGGAAAGAAGTGGAAGAAGATAATAGTGGAAGAAGGAGAGAGAAGGATCTAACTCACAAGAACCCCTCAGACCATATTATCTTCTCCGTCTTTTTCCCTCCTTTAAACTCTGTAGAATCTGAATAATATATCCATCCAGACTTGCAGAGACAGAATCACCTCTTAGAGCTGTTTCGATGTATCTATCTGCTTTAGGAGAAAGATCAATTGCTTTATAACTAGAATGTCAGCCTCAGGCCACAGATTGAGAGAGAAAGAAATAGGACGTACCACACAAAGAAGACCAATGAGGACAAGCAGTTAGATCACACTGGGAGGTTTACATACATTGAGAAGATATGTATGCACAGTGACAAAGTGTTGCATGATTGCATGATGTGAGAAAGTCGGATGATAAGTTAAGATGAAGAACGAGAAATGAAGATGAAGAATGAGAAACAGCGATGAGACCAAATCGACGCCGTAACGTTTGAAACGCAAACTTGAATTTTCCCTTTCCCTCTCTTCGTCTTTCCTCTAAGGCCTCTAACTTACTTAGTTTACATATTTGATACGGCTGAACCGGCCGCACAACGTGCTTGACGCTTGACGCATGGTCTGGCGCCAAGTCAGAAGAAAACGTTTTGTCTCATCTGGTTTCTGGTCAATTGGTCCTTCTCGCCATGGAAGTAGACGAGGAGTCGCACGAGGTCCGTTTTGACCTTTACAACGTATCTTACTTACCCTGATTCACTATCATTCTTCTTCCTCTTTACCTCTGCTTAATCGCTCCGAGTGTGACTCCTGCTAATTTTATCAAATCGTCAAGCTGATATCAGGACGTGAGGATGGACGAACCAATCGAATTGTCAACCACGGAGGAGGGTTTACCATCTATCAACGAAGTCCGATTGACGACACGGGTTCTTGAGCTTGAACAGGAGAAGGAAGATTTACAAGTGAGTTTCATCCTATTCCATATGTTCAAATTACCTCTATATCCTCAAAAGCAAACGAACCCAGTTTGTATCATATTGATCAATTATTTTCTCTTCGAAAAATGTCATTCTCTTTGGTCTGACGGATATGAAACGATCTGAATGGAGAAATCACTGACGAGAAGAAACAACTTGATCAATTTCGAAAAAGACAAATTCCCCCTGAGATTTTGGAAAGCAACAGGATACATATCCCCCACGACCTCCTTCCCGTTTTAAACCTCCTCCGTACACATATCGCAGAGTTGACAAGGGATAACGAAGCTTTACGTCGAACATTCATCGGTATTCCTAATAAAAGAATGAACAATATAGATGTGAAGAATTCCCAAGTAGGTGAAAGCTCAACACGTCCGAAAGGAAATATGAATATCACGAGTCCTAAACTCGTCGGATTAGGAATGACCCCTACGACACCGTTCATTCCAACAAGAGGTCCAGCTGGCCTGACGGATATAAAGCTGGAAATGGAGTCTACTACAGACTATGGAAGACCAGAAGAGATGAGTACAAGGGGAAAAGGCAAGGGAATGGAAGAAGAAGTAAAAGGGAGGATGGAATATGGGACAATTGACCTTAATGTAGTTATTGAAAGGGTTAAAAGTCTTTTAAAAGAGAATGACGAATTAGGAGAGATGGTACTTGAATTAGGAAAGATAGGTAAAGAAGAATGGGAAAAAGCTTTAGAAGAATCTAGATCTGTTATAACTTCATTAGAGTCAGTTTTCCTTCTTCTTCTTCTTCTTCCCTTTTCTCGTCCTCGATTGAAGAGAAATTATAAGAGCTTATTGAATCAGTGCAGATTTGACACATCATTTATCTACGATTCAATCACTCCGAAAGGAATTACAATCTTATAAAGAACGTTTTGGTCCTCTTATTTCCATTCCCGCTCACACTTCTAAACCTCGGAATGATACCCCTAACAAATCATCGCGGACAGAGAATATATCCACGAAATCTATTTCAAGGTCTGATTCCAGTAGACGTGGGAATGAGAGACATCATGGTGGACATGATAGACATCACGAGAGGTCGGATTCGAGGTCGAATAGAGGTCATAGAGGTTCAAGAGGTTCACGTGATAGGAGTAGAAGAGAATCAGAAGTGAGGGTTTCACAAGATAGAAGAGAGTCTGAAGTGAAGAATTCTCAAGATCGAAGAGAGTCTGAAGTGTCGATATCGAAAGAAAGAAGAGGATCAGAAGTGAGGAGTTTAAAAGATAAAAGGGAAATCAGAGATGCGAAAGACGTGAGAGAAAGTCATGATCGGTCTGATAGGAAATCTGACTCCAAAGAGGCGAAAGAATCAGAGCAGGATAAAGATAAGGAGAGAGGGAAATCTCATTCCGCAAGTATGAACACCACACATTCTCACGCAGCGAGAAAAAGTCAAGATGACAGGGATGATTTCAAAAGACGACGATGAAAAGGGGAGAAGTCACAAATATCTCATGGGATATATATCATGATGACGAGAAAGTCAATTGTCAGTAGGACAACATGATACATGGAAGAGGATGCATATGAATGTATGTACTGGCTTTCGGCTTTCGGCTTTCATAAATTCGTAAATTCGTAAAGACGAGTTTGGATCGTATACATGTCGTGAAAATCATGGTCATATTTATCGAATCATCATGTCGTCACGTCATATCGTTGATATAATCACCATCCTCGAGCGGCGAGTTGAGCGTTTAGAGAAGCGTACCATTCGTCGACATTCGTTGAGAGGGGTTTACTCATGGCAGGGAAAGAAGTTCTGTTATATTTCAAATTGTCCTCAAGACAGGAAGGATGACATGTGAACATGTTGGAACGTTGTTGACATGATACATGGGTGCATGATTGAACCGAAAGAGTACATGTTGAAAGTGTTTTATCGTCATATTGTCGTGGCAGAGTGAAATGTGAAGATGTTGGAATATAGATGATGATGAAACAAGGAGGAGCGACCGTTGGCGATATTTCTTGCTTGATAATGACCGACTCACGGTGGTCGTCCTAAATTTACAGACACCCACCACGGTTCTACTTTCTTCTTTTCTTCTTCAGTCGGTTCGGTATAACTAGCCATGTAACCTGTTCGAGAAAATGGATATATAGTTGGCATAGGTGTGATACTCGATCTATTCCAATCAGCATGTTGCTTGAAAGTCGAGTAGACGGGCATACCGTCCTGCTCGGCTGACGAGTATCACAAGTTTCTTCATTCTCATTATTTTTTATTGATTTTGTTTGGGGAAACAAGTGAGGGAAAAGATTGACGAGTGGTGAGGGAAAATGTCTGATGATATATTGAATGCCATATGGGGCGACTTGTGATTTTTATTTGACATATATCTTGTGGAATCGAAAGACAGTGAAATGAATATGAACAATTGAGAGAGTGATGTGAGATGGAAGAGAGTGTAATTTTTTTATATGTTATATTGAAAAGGAATGACTAGCGTCCAGGCCATCCCCAGATAGGTATAGCACGATTAGGAGTGACGACAGGGAGGAGAACATACGAATTCCAACCCGCTGGGGCTTTACTATTCCAATCTACCTGAGCTGCCGCTTGAACACCTGGAGCCATATTGACATAAGGCCAAGGGAAACCTTGCCATCCAGCGTTATATAATGCAGGTGCTTTATAACCATCATTCGCCCACATTCCACCCCACATATGAGCGATAGCTTCTTGTTTTTTCTTCGCTTCTTCCGCTTCTTTCTTCGCCGCTTCACTTTTCGCTTTATCCAATAAAGGTTTTGCTTTCTTTTTGATTTCAGCAGAACCTAATACCGTCGCGGCTGATTCGTTGAGTTTATTCAAAGCGTCGGTGAATTGAAGAAGATCGGGATTGGGAGCATGTTCTAAAACTTGCATGGCTTTATAACAATAAGGCCAGCCAAGTCCTAAACGTTCTTTACAAACTTCGTAAATGATTTTCTTATGATCATCATGTTTCATAAGTTCATCGATGAACCAATCGTCTTGAGGTCCAAAAGTTTCGTGAGAGTTACCACCTGTGATTCTGGTAAGATGATCACGAACAAAAGACGATGGGTCACCATATTGGTTACTACCTGTCAGCGAATTGTCACCTCAAGAATGTATTTTTGCCACCGGCAGTTTACAACCTTTCCTCACTTCCACAAAATATTAGACTCCACTTACATATCTACTATGATAAAACGTCATATCGAGATCGTTGTGAGAAGATGAAGGAGGGAGAAGATTATGGTCCGATCATGACAGAAGGAGAAAAGAATAAAAACTCACTACATGCCAGAAACCAAAGGTGGCGATGTAGCTGGGACAGCATACAATTGAGATGGCGGAGGCCACATAGCGTATGGGAAAGCCATGTGAGGAGGTTGGTTGTACTTCGGTTTACTAGGTTTGGTGGTGAAGAAGTAGAAAGTGGGTGGCAATCGAGATTGAGAGGGAAACCAATTCGGACTTGTATTGTAAGATTCTTTCGATTTAAAGATACACACCTTGTAGAGTTTGTGGTTGAGAGTTGTCACGAGTGTGTAATGGGGTCACGGAAGATATGAGAAAGGAAAGAAAAAAGGGAAAGATTATATAATTGTTTAAAGAGAAGAGATGAAGAGAGGAATGTGGAATGAAAGAACATGATGGAGACGACGTGTCACTTTTTAAACCCTGAATATACCATGTTCTTCCGTTGCTTTTTTTGCCACCGTACTTACTGTACTATTACATGACTCACCCATCATAATCGACTCGACGCGCGTACAGGACACACGGTACCGAGCTTTAAAGATCCAATGGTCCAAGGTACCAAGGTTCAGCTCCGAGGCTCACGGATGAAGGGCATAGGTCAAGAGGGAAGGGGCTAAGGAGGAGAGATGATGGGGGGGCGTCAATCGGGAAAGATCTCTTCGGTAGGGAAGGGGGGGATCAACCTCATGTCTGATTGGGAATTGAGGTTTTTGGGGGATTTGTAGTGACTTGAGGTAGAGATCTGCATGTTAAGGGGTCCATCGCTTGGTTTTTAAACGATGTGATGTGTCCCGTTGGTTCGCGATCCATGTATCATTTAGTCTTGCGTGGGGGAAGATTTGTTGAGATACCATGATGATATGATTGGCCGATGAAGGGGATCTTCTCACGCGGTACAACGTAAGGGGTAGATGAGATTAATGATTGATGTGGTCTGATGCTATCAGTCAGAAATGCGACTCATGATTTTCTTCATCTTCTCTCTTCCTATTCCCTCGTCAAAGCTGCTAGCTGCGATGGGTAAGGGAGAAAGACGGATCAGCCAGCGATCAAAAAAAGGACAAAAAGACAAAAAGACTCGCTACCGTATGTGGTATTGTTTAATCGCTGAATCGCCCATACGGATCAAAAAGGAGGTACATACAATAAAGATCGACTTTTCTACTTTCGAATTCAGATGATAGAGTGACAGTATAACAATCTTTCCTTCCTTCTGGTTAAACTAACTCCTGAAGCTCCTGAATTGGTTCAAAAACAAATATCTCCCATCCTTATGCCGACAAAATCATTTATCGTTACCCCCAACAATAGGAACTTCTCCCACCTTGAAATCAGCTTCGGCCTCGTGTATTTTCTAACGCTCTAACGGATAACGGATCAAATGAGTAAAAAGTGATAGGCACAGGCACTAAGCTGGACGAGGGAACGGAGAACGTACCATTCCTTCAGGTCTGACATCTTCACCTTCTGTGAAACTTTTGATAATATGTGTCAAAGTTCCCATTCCTAAACCCAAACTGGCACCACCGAACACTAATGTTGGTAATGGTGCCCTACGGAGAAGTATAGCGGGGGTGACGATGGCTCCTAAGGAAGCTCCTATGATTGAATAATCGTCACATCTCAGTTGACCTTGATTGTATTTCTGACATGAGCTTGAAATTTATGCGTCATTGCAACATCTTCCTATACTTCATATCTCCATATTGTTGAGTTGTTATATGATGGATGATTCTACATGACATCGTGTACGAATGAACAGGTACTTAACTGAAGAGAGGGAGATGAAACATACCAATCTCTCACACCTATCAAAAATAGCTTCCTCACTTTGAGACCCCATCCGAGCCCACCCTAATCCTCCCAAACCGATGGACCCGATACCGACCCAAGTAGTCGTTACATTCATCAACCTTCTTATGCTGAAAGGTCTCTTCCGGACTGCCAGAGTTAAGAGGTATATGGGAGGTACTATCATTCCCATTGTTTGTCCCATTTTCAACCCTGCATGAAGGGCAACTTGGGTGCGAGGGTTTTGAGATCCGAAGATGGGGTAAGAGGATGTCGCCATGGTTTATAGATCACAAAGTAACGTCTACTCGTGGGTGACTGTCAAGGATTGGTGGCCTCGGCTGGATGCTCGTTCAGAAAGTGTTTGTCAGAGCAGCAAATCAACCTTTAAACCTACTTTGCCAGTGAGAAAGTGCGGGGCTCCGGACGGGAGGAGGGAAATTGCAAAACGACTCTCTTTCCATTGGCTCAAACTTGTTTAATTTATCTCTTTTCAACCAATCTCATACCACTCTAAACAACACATCGTAGATATCAAAGCTACAAATCGATCTCGCCTGAACTACTCAATTATCGTATCCGATCCATAAACCTGTCTTCATCGAAGTCTGACTGAAAAATCGATCAATATATCTCACCTAGCCCTGCTGGGGTTAGATCAGATCCACTCCGATTCATCTCCAACATGCCCACCCCTCTTCCTTCCCCATCCCAACTCTCTTCCCTCCTCTCATCCATCCGAGCACCTATCTTCAACACAATCCACAATCCCACAAATTCAAGGTTAGGTAACAAATATCTTCGTAGGGCGTTACGCGGTCCGACCATGGTGGAATATTCCGGACAGGCCATGCCGTCCTTGAAGACTCTGAATTCTGAGGGCAAGCAAAGTCCGTATGCCGGTTGGAGGGTAGGGTGGGTTGGTAAGAAAGTTATTGAAGTTGAGAATGTTGAGAATCCAGAATCTGAAGAGAATATGAAGAATGATAATGTGAAAGATGTAGAAGATGAAAAGAGTATTGAGGAAAGTGCAGAAGGGAAAGGAAAGAAAATATTACATCCTCCACCTGGTGAAGTTAAAAGAGAATCTTGGTCAAATGGTTGGTTAGGTGATTTGGACGAACATTGGAGGTTGGAAAAAGTTGATTATATGAAATCTAGGAAAAAGGGTCCTCCTAAGAAAGGTCAGTTCATCAACATCATTCCTTTACACCATGTTATCGTCATTCCATCTTTTCAGTTACGAATGTCGTATTTGTGGTTGTATACTTCTGTTGGAAGGTGTGAAGTCAATTGTTCTCTCAACAGTCGATGGTTGACATGTCCACTTAAATTGACAAGTGAATCCTCCTTAGCATGTGTATTGGGGTACATATCGGTATGGAGGGAAATGGTGTTTCGTCATGGCTGACAATGTCAGGACAAGGAAAAAGGTCTCAAATGAAAAAACGATGATATACTCTTCTCCCGCTCCTATTCCTCATTCCAACACTACGAATCCACACTCATCAGTCATTATGTCATTCCCCCGAATATATTCTCCCTCAAATCTATCCCCCATGCCTCTATCCCCGTCCTCACGTCATCATCCCCGAGCCCGATTTCAGATCCACTACAAATTCCAATCTTCCAGAACTCCGAATTTCAGACATTGCCACAACCCCAAAATCAAACCCATAAGGCAATGCTAGAACTTCATCATGCATATGATCAAATGTCGATGGAGTTTTCATTGTTATGCTAGAATTAAAGAAAACCCTCTATTCAAACCCAAGGATCCACCCATTTGGTCTGTTCCCATACATTCGCATTGAGTCCATTGATCTCCGGCCATGGATGACATCGAACTTGTTTCGGGGGTCTGAAAGTCAGTATTCGTAAATGAGTTGAGTCAGAACTCGGTACACTAGTCACACGCGACCTCGATGAATGAATTGGTATTTGCACTCGTCTCCAATCACTCGGCTTATCGGCTTAACTCATTTGATATACCCACTTGTGGCAGAAGAATTATCAGAACTTGATGATGTGGAAAGCAAAAGGACTTACCCGTCCGGCCATTGAACAACAGTATCTAATTGCCGGGGAGGCACACCGTCAGTCCATCCTAGAGAATCTTGTTGTTTTTGAAGATCTTCCCTGATCTCCAACGCCACTTTTTTCTCATATGCCAACTATTTATCAGCAAGTCTTGAATCATGACCGTCTCCGTCATATGGCTCAGTCATATGACACCTGGACGTCCTCAATATGCGGATATTTTATTGAGAAGGTTGTGTAGGATGGTAAAGGTTCGAACCCTCACCTGAACAGAAGGAACCACCTGTACTCTTCCCCAACCGAATTTCCAATAATCACAAGCTATCAGAGTACATTCACTAGCTGCACATTCTTCTTTTTCCTTGTCACCTCGTCTGAAACGGACCCCTTGGAGAAGAGGTATGGGAGACATGGCAACGAGTCCGTTCCATGATGAGAACACTGGGAATGGTTGAAGGGTTTGATATGCTGATTTGGAAGTGGTATTGTGAAAGAGGTCGGAAGATGGGGACCACCAAGGGTTGGAGATGGGGTAGAATAGATCACCTGTGTCGTACTGTCCATGAGTCACGATTATCCTTGACAAGACAGAAGTTGCCAGCATCAAATAGGTTGACTTGAAAGACCGTGCATGGGTAAAAGGGCACTTTGACGGAGGATGATTAGCGGACGAGACGAGATGAAGGATTTGGTGAGAAGCGCAATGGGTTGCTTGAGATTGTGAGTGATGTGTGAGGATAGCAGATGGGCCAAGATGTATTGAGAGACATAAGACTTACAGTCCGTCCCACCCAGATATCATAATAATACTCCGGACGTTTCTGCCAGTAATCCATCGCTGCTGTTATCCCACTTTCCAAACCACTTTCTTCACCCGCCTTGACATGTTGATGTAGAATCTCCAATACATCCGCCACTCTCAGAAAGACGTCATTGAAGAAGACCACCGCCACCACATCTTCCACTTTTTCCTCAAAAAGTGGTCCCAGAGCTCTGTTTCTTAATCCCGCCAGAGTTTCTATCCTGTTCACATTGGTGAAATCAATCTTCTCTTCCCTCGTTTTTAGATGTATCTCCTTTCTCGGAACTCCCATTTCTAACAAAGTTGCTGAAAGGACTTCCTCCAACACTTGAGGTGTACAATCATCGGAAGGTCCTTCGAGTATGGAGAATGAAACTCTATCCGGACCAAGGAATGAAGTGAGTAAAACTAAAGTGTTGAGTAAATCCGGTAATTGAGATTGTATCTCTCTGGTGAGAGTGACGAACATGTATTTGGAGGTTGTTCGACCTGGTATGTAGGGTTTACGAAGATGGTCATAGCGTCGTTCCTGTGAAGATGTGAGAGCGGGAGAAGGATAAACTGGATCATATGCTTGTCTAGGACAATGTTGTCGGAAAGAAAGTGGTAATTTTGACAAAACTCGGTTGGTCAAGAGTGAAGAACTAGTTGGAGGAGGGTAACGAGAAGGAAATAATGAAGGGAATTGGAATTTGTTACTTGTCGGATCTGGTTTGTTGGTAGATAAGATGAGAAGACCGATGAATGTCAGGAAGAATAAGATGGATCGGATAGGATGACGTAGGAATATTGATGGTATATGTCGAGTGATGGGTCTAGGAATCATGACTCCATACCTTACAAATGATGGTGTGGTGACTAGAGTCCGGTTTGGAATGTACAAGCAGGGTACGCAAAGGTATGTTGTGCTCTTCGGAATGTCTCGGGGATCGAATATGAACGATCTCAAACATCTGCGCAGTAATTTTCGCAGTTTGCAGATGCACAGTCTGATAGATACGTAATCCTTGATCTATGATCACTTGCGTACCATGTTGAGCATGTGAGTCTTGCTTCGTGTCTCTATAAGAATTGAGATGGTCGTGTTCAAAGTCATTGCGACGTGAGACTACGGCGGTACGGCAAGAAGCGGACATTGCCGAACGCCCGAGTGATCTCCAAACCAGTCAGGCACCGAATCGGACCGAAAACTGCGGAAATGTCCCCGGCTTTTTCTTTTTTCACTCTCCACTTTGAGGTCAAAGGCGATTGCGTGCTCATCGCGATACTGACTTGGTACCTACTCTCTCGAATAACTTCAATTCGTGACCTGTTGTCGTTCGTAAATATAAAAACCATCTCCATCATTTACTTTCATCCATTCATCACATGTCTACACCACTAACATCTTTAAACTCTTTTACATCTCCATAATATCATTTCTCTTATCTATTGAAACTTATCAACATGGCTCCCATCGCTCTTACCTCTGCCCTCACATCACCCCCAGGTGTCCCAGTTAAAAAATCCCAGATCGCCAATCTCAATCGCGATGCCGGACTCAATCTCGATGCTGATGGTTCATCTACGCCTTACTCTGCTTCTTCTACCGCAGTTTCCGAATACGGTAGTGATGCACCTAAAATCCCTTCTTCACCATTAAGAACTGAAATCCTCGATGCCGCTTTACCCAAACCGAAACCTACAGGAGGGAGGGAATGGTTCGATTCATTGTTGGAAGCATCTCGACCCACTTTGTCAACCCGAGGTGGAGAAGTTGTATATGCCTCTGCGATCGAAGTGTTGGAAACGGTGGCGATCCAAAGATCGACCTCTGTATGGGTTTACGACGATGCTTCGCTTATAGGTTTCGGCGCACGGGCATTACAACATGGTCTTGACAAGGTCCATCCCGTTCAAACAAGACAAGGCGCAGGTTTGGAAATCGCTGGTTATTCAATCAAATCTTCAGGGACTTTATCAGTATTCGCCACCACTTCGACATTACCTTATCTCTTACCAAACCTTTCAAAGTTCAAAGACGACATCATCATACATCTCGCTACCACTGTGACCGATAAGGATCTCACTCTCGGCGATTCGCTCTCCGTTCCCGGAACACTCAAGCTATTGGCGAATCTTCCTGATAACTGGGATGTCGTATTCTCCTCGGGGAAGGAAATCGTTGACACTGCCTCCCGGTTGTATGATCAACCGGGTAGGATCATTCATGTGGTCGAATCCACTTTTTCAGGGAGGGAGACAACGGTTTATACCTTTCCCGGAGCCTCAAATCTCCAAGCGACAGATTTGTCCTTGATCAATTCCGATTCCGAGGAGCTCCTCGTCGCCCCTTCGTCGTACCTCACCTCGGCTATCGTTTCTTCTCTCACGCCCTCGGTCGGTCTTGTATCGCTCAATACTCTCTACCCATCGTCCGATGAGTTGTTTGCGGTTCTTGCCGGGGAACGTAGGAAAACTGTTTCCGTTTTGGGCGCCTCCAAAGCGGATGCTGACGCCCTCAAAGCTGTCATCTTGTCCATCCTTTACTCCTCAGCCGGCTCGAGCAAAGCGATTCTTCCTCTTGTGACCAGTGTCGTTGTCACTTCGCCCACCGATCTCTACCCTCCAAATCGGGCCGACAACACAAAGACTGTCGCCTTTTACACCCCACCCCCGTGCCCTCTTCCTCAGCTCGTTTCTCACCTATTCCTTTCCTCTCCGACGCTCACCACCCGCGTCGCGCAATTCGGCAGTTCGGGTGCCAGAGGAGTCAAGTCTGTCCTATCCCTTGCCCCATCCTCAGCTCCTGCTCGTCCACTATCGGTGAACGAACCATCCGATGTCGTTTGGGTATCTGATCCCAACGTACTCAAGTCGACCAATCTATTGGATGACATTGTCGACGGCGGTATCATCGTCTTCGAACTTCCTTGGTCAGTTGAAGAAGTTCCCGTTAAGCTATCTCGACAGGAAATCATCACTATCAAAGAGAAGAAACTGCGAGTGTTCTTGCTCAACCTTGACCCTTCTCATCCATACAATCAGGCTCGTGAACAAGTGGCTTTCCTCCTTCTGTACACTGGAAAGAAAACTCTCCCTCAAGGTATTTGGAAACTTCTCGATACCTTCTACGCTGGTCAGATTGGACGAGAAGAGATCGAAGATGCTCAAAGTTCGCTGGTGGAGATCACAACTTCATTTTGGGAGATACCAGAGTTGGAAGGGGGCAAAGTGGAGAAAGTCAAAACGAAATGGGAATGGGATGCTTTACCAGGTTTCTCCGGCGTTGTCGATTTCATGGAAGATGAAAAACCTCATCTTGGTCAATGGGATATAGCCGCTCGTCATCTTCTGTTCCGAGAAGCATACGCCATCTCTGATTCTCCCAAGATCGCTTCTGCAGATTCACCACCAGATGCCGATCTTCAAGGTTCCATCTCCGCTCTGCGACCATCCATGTCAGACGAAACTTTCTTAGTGAAAGTCTCTGAAAACCGTCGTCTCACTCCAATGACATACGATCGTAATGTCTTCCATATGGAACTTGATACTTGTAATACGGGATTAAAATACGAAATCGGTGAAGCTATCGGTATACACGGATGGAATGATTCCGCCGAAGTATCAGATTTCTGTTCTTGGTACGGTCTTGATCCAAATGCTTTGGTTTCTTTCCCTTGTCCAATTCGTCAAGGTACCACCGAAACTCGTACCGTCTATCAATTATTACAACAGAATGTGGATTTATTCGGAAGACCTGGAAAAGCGTTTTATGCCGCATTGTCTAAAGTAGCGACTAGTAAAGCGGATTCGATGACGCTCAAGTTCATTTCGGCTCCAGAGGGACAAGAATTGTTCAAAAGAATGGCAGAGAAGGAAACGGTGACTTTTGCGGATGTTTTGAAGAAGTTTAAAACTGCTAGACCGGGAGTGGAAGGGTTAGTAGGGTTGATACCGGAGATTAAACCGAGACATTATTCAATTGCTAGTTCACAAAAGGCCGTAGGAGATAAAGTGGAGTTGTTGATTGTGACTGTTGATTGGGTAGATTCGAAAGGTGAGTGTTATTCGTTCCTTCACTTTCCCTCTTTCTTGCTGGTCAGATCCTCATCATCCTTTCCCTCTTCTCTTGTTTATCACTCCCCCTTGATTTCCTCCGGATTAACTTTTACCATCCTCGTCACTTTCTTATTTTCCATTCGTTCAAGGGTATTAATAATAGGGAATGTAGGAACATCATCTAATCAACAGGATCTCCCCGTTTTGGTCAATGTACACGATACCTTGCCGCTCTTAAACCCGGCGACAAAGTAACAGTATCCATAAAACCATCCGTCATGAAACTTCCTCCCTCTCCTCGACAACCTATCATCATGTCAGGTCTCGGAACAGGTGCCGCTCCATTCCGAGCTTTCATGCAACATAGAGCCTATCAACGTTCCATAGGTCAAACCGTCGGTCCATTAATTTACTACTTTGGTTCTCGATATCGATCTCAAGAATATTTATATGGAGAAGAGATCGAAGCTTATATCGCTAGTGGGATCATCTCTCACGCTGGATTAGCTTTCTCTAGAGATGGGAAAGATAAAGTTTATATTCAACATAAGATGAAAGAAGATAAAAAGATGTTGGCAAAGTTGTTAAAAGGACAAGGAGAAGATGCTGCTTACTTTTATCTATGTGGACCTACTTGGCCTGTACCGGATGTTTATGAGGCTTTGGTCAGTAGTTTGGAAGAAGAAGGTGGGATGGGTAGAGGAGAAGCGGAAGAATTCATAGAGAAGTTGAAAGATGAAGAAAGGTATGTTTTGGAGGTTTATTAGAGAGAAGATAATGTGATATCTTGTTTTTTGTTTGTTATTGGATGATGCATGCTTTGTGTTACTTTACTATATCTTAATATTCTGTAATATATATATATATATTCTCCTCACTCATCCACTCGGCGGCTCTACTGTAGCGCACCAAGCAAGCTTTCTGCTGGTCTGCTGGAGCAGTGGAGTGAGAGTAAAATGTAAAAAAGAGGAAGAGAGGAAAGAAAGGCTTGGATGGTTCGATCGATCTTCTCGATCAAAATGTCGTCATCATCATTTCTCCCACTTTCACATTCCATTCCTCATCCCCACCCCCCATTTCCCTTCCATCTTCTTCATGCTGATCACAAGACCGCTCTTTCTTCCTCCAAAACCATCTTTATATACGTTTGTCTCCTCAGCTCCGTCTACTTTCATCTCTGGCTCGCAACGTCGATAAGAGAGGCTAGAAATGAGAATAGCCATAGTAGGAAGTGGTATCTCTGGTCTCTCCGCTCTTTGGGTGAGTTACTTATCATGATGTATCTGTCAGAATGGCACTGATGAAACAGTTGTTGAATGAATATTCTGAACATGAGGTGAATATCTATGAAAAAGCCGAATATGCAGGGGGACATACCAACACTGTTGAATTTTATCGTATGTTCTCTCGTCTTTGTTCTTGACACAGTTCATCTTCACTAATTTCCATCCAAACCCCATGATTAAGTGTGAAGAGAAGTTTGTCTACGTTTGCTGCATTCTGTTTCATTTGCATGCTTCCAAGCCATAAACGATAAGATTATAACATGATTATGAGGATCAAACATGCTGATGAAACAGGAGAAGGGAAAGAAAAATGTGATGTTGATACGTGAGTCTCACTTCGTAACTCGAAATAACACTGATACGTAGAGGCTTCGTGAGATCATAAGTAACTATGAATGAGATCAAGCTGAAAGTAAGATTGTGTTGAATCCTTCTACTTATCCTAATTTTCTTCAATTTCTCAAATTACTCAAGATACCGTTGTTGAAGACCGCAATGAGCTTTTCAGTCTCGAGAGATAGAGGAAAGTTCGAATGGTCTGGAAATGGGTTGAGAGGACTTTTTTGTCAGATAACAAATCTGTTCGTTTGTCTTTCAATGATGATTCACTTGTCCTACTCCCTTTTTGAGTTATGCCAGCCTTCTCTTTTCTGATTTGGTCGTTTTCATCCTCGGGGGCTTTAAGCTCCCTGCTTCCTCTCTTCTGTTCCTCTCCCTTACTCTCAAGGAATTGTCACTTTTGAAAGATGTCAAGATGAAGCTAGCGTCAACTGGCTACGAAGGGGACTCACGTCATAGTCTCAATCCTCGTATATATCGAATGGTCTTTGACATTATCCGTTTCAACCTTTTTGCACTCGACATCCTTCGTCACCGGACCACGACTGCCGACGGACGGGAAATGACCATAGGGGAATATCTCGATAAAGAGGGTTATGGACAAGGCTTCAGAGACGACTATCTCTTAGTGAGTAATCCCGCCATTGAGACTGTCCTTCATCTCACATTACAGCCCATGACCGCCGCCATTTGGTCAACGCCTGCCGACCAAGCAGCACTGGATTTCCCAGCTTCCACTTTAGTCCGATTCTTCTATAACCATCATCTTCTTCAGATACTTCGTAAGCCCAAGTGGCTCACCATTAAAGGTGGATCGTATGTATCTTTTCAGTCTCCGCGTTCTAGCTGATGTTAGGAAACGATACGTCGATGCGATACTCGGTAGATTATCACCCGAAAATCTTCACCTGAACACGGAGATTGTCAGCGTCTCCTCACATGAGAATGGGGTCACTCTTGTGGAAGCGACCGGCGCCAGACATATCTATGATCATGTGATCATGGCGTGAGTGAAGCTCTACCTTGAAATATAGAGCTGACGGAGAGGACTCACTCCGACACCACACTGGCCATGCTCCGTCGTGGAGGGGGTGCAACCAAAGAGGAAGAAAAGGTACTGGGCGCTTGGCAGTGGAGTAAAAACGAAGCGTTTCTTCATTGGGATGAGGCGGTAAGTGATTGATAAGAGTTGACCCATTGAGCTGACGTGGGTAGCTGATGCCAAATCGGAGACGGGCGTTCGCTGGTAAGCTACAAAACTCTCTTTCACCCGAGGCGAGCTGATCGAGGTAGCCTGGAATTACCTGACTTCGACGTTGACCGTTCATACTCCGTCTAGGACCACTCAGTCTGACATTGGCACAGTCTCTCTGTTAGTCCAGCTGGTAATTCTCTTCTTGAGTTTGGCTGACCGTCAGTACCTATGATATGAACATTTTGCAACACCTTCCTGAGAAGAAACATGGTCTCGTGCTAGTCAACCTCAATCCACCATTCCCGATAGATCACAACAAGATTCTCGGCAAATTCATTTACCACCACCCTATGATGACACAACGATCTGTTTCCTCCCAGGTTGATATTCCTAAAATCCAAAATACTAGGAACATTTCCTTTGTTGGCGCTTGGACGAGATACGGTTTCCATGAAGACGGGTTTTCCTCCGCAATGCGACTCGTCACTGCACATCCGTTCAACGTGCGTCCGCCTTTCCCTTACGAGCCGGCTGAACGGCCTCTCAGTCCGCCAGGCCTGATTGAAGGAGTGGTCAGGGTGATAGTGAGCGCGGCGGAGAGGGTGAGACTTTACTTGCGACCGGCGTGGAATGGGGCAAGCTGGATAGTGATGGTGATGCTTGTGTGGATCGAGCAGGTCTGCGTGATCCTAGGCTTAGGAAGAGTGAACGTCGAGGTGGCAAGACTGAAAGAGTGTTGGGGAGATGATAAGAAAATAGCGTAGTCACGAAAACAAGTCTCTCGGGTTCTCCTATGACATTACACGAAGGTGATGAACGTTACGAAAAGGTCATGACACAGACATGCATCATTTTTGGACTTTTGTGCCACTGTGCCACTATTGCCACTTTGGGTGCGAGCTCACTCGTCGGAGCTTGTTCCCCTTTACTCCTCCCTAATCCGTCACATATCACGTCTCATTCGTACACTTGTTTGAACAGCAATACCAGTGCTCGCCACTAGTCCACGGATATGATAGAACGACTCCTTCGACGACGTGCTTCAGCTCTTGCCAATCCGACTCGGACAGACAGTGTTCCTCCTCGACACTCCCCGTCCAAATCTGACCGAACGGCCATGTACGACTCTCCCAAGCTGGCGGCGTATCACACACCTGATCCTCGTGGGACTTGTCATCTTTTACGATTACCAGACGAAGTTTTAACTAGGATCTTTGTGAAATTGGATCGAGAGTCATTGACTAAATGTCATCGAGTATGTCCCTCGTTTCTCCCTCTTCCGTGCCCCTTCTTCACCTTTTCGATCTTCCTACTCATCCTTTCACACTTTTGTCTTGTCGTCTGTTCACTCTTCATCCTATATATCCCAATGATGTTTCCATGAAAATTGTGGTCCTTGTCAATGTGAGAGAGCTAAAGATTGATGCAACAGCTATGCAAACGTCTCCTAGACTTATTATCCACAAATTCATCTGTAAGACTTCATCACACACTCCTATGTAACTCTCTCATACTCAATCCAAACGTCTTTCGTCCAACTCAAAACCTTCACCATGTCCCCCCTTCTACAGCCTACCTTCTCGATACACTCCGAGAACGTGTGACACGTTTCAGAACCCTAGCTTCAAAGAATAGGAACAGACTCGAATTTGCTGAACCAGAAGGAAGATTGTACGAATATCTAGAAGGTGTGTTATTAAGGGGAGTTGGAGGTAGTAGAGGGAGTTTACCAACAGAAATAGCAGTTTATGATTTGAGAAAGTTGGATGAATGGGAAGATCAACTTGAAACAAATGGTTTGGTTAGTGATGGGAATGAAATTGGAATGAATGGTGGGAACAGAGGTCTTGTTGGATTTGGGAATGAAGTTGTCAACAATATAACAAGGGTTGTGGGTGATGGGAGTGGGAGTGGGGAAGGTGGAGGTAGTAGGACTAGAACAGGTATGAGATTAGGTGAAGAACAAGAGGAAGAAATTGAAGGGATTAGAACAACACATAAATTTCCTTTCGAGATTGCAGAGTTTTCTGTGGATCCAGGAAGTGATTTACTTGTTGTTGTTGAACTTCGGTCAGTAGTCATCTCTCTCGCTCACTCTTCCTCCTCTTTCACTTCCCCTCCCTTACACATTTCTTCTCTCCTAAAGCCACCGCCTTACTCAGGCAAATTGTCTCCGTCGTCATTGTCGTCACCTCAGTGGCACACGTCGTCCAAGCATCTGTTATACCAGTTCGAGTACCTGTTGAGGAGCTGAGTATCTCCATGGGATAGATCATCAGATCAATGGGAGGAACGAGAAATAGTACTGTAGCTGATTGGTCAGACCACGTACAGTAGAAGTCGGAACATACACAATGGTCTTTCATCTTCTCTCATTATCCACATTCGAACCTCATCCAAAAGCTACCAGACCGGCGTTGGAATGGCCCATCATACTTACCAAAAAGAAAATCTCACTAGGATTCCAGATTTGTGATGATGGGTTATTCGTTTTGAAACATAATGCCAGAGGTGGACCTAAGGATCAGGTTTGTGGATGGCAATGGACCACTGGTCGACTTGCTGTGGTGCGTTCTTAGATTCTTGCCCACTTGTCTTTTGACACCTTTCCCTTTTCTGTCTCATGCTTCATTCTTTTCATGAGCTACCTCTGCCTATGATCACGGATAAAATCTTCCCCTCCCTTACCTTCACTACGATCCCTTCCCAGTCACAACTAGATTAAAGAACGTCTCCCTCCTCACACGTGTGTGAAATCATCATTTTCGTAAAGCTATCATCAGACCATAATGGTTCCAGCGTTTTCTTTATCTGGGAGAAACGGTCGTGCTAAATATCCAGACCCTCAGAGCATTTCCCAATATGACATTCGAATCTTTCGTCCTCCTCACCCCTTCTTCATTCCTAATACCAACCATCATAACCCGTCTCGATCCCATTTCCGAAGTAGCCGATGAACTTGACAATCCCATTGATCTCCTATGGACTCATCATCTTCAGTTATATGCCTTCCCACCTTTCTCATCTATCAAGACTACATCCGACAATCCCGCTCCTCCCCCTCATACCGCAGTACATATCACGACTATTGATCTACCACGTTTTCACGTAGACGTCACAGAGAACATCCCTCCTCCGAGATTGTTGATACGTACGGATCCACCTCCGAGACATACTTTCCCTACACATCCATTAGGCTCACCATCACCGTTTGTACCCGATCCGGAAAGTGGGGTAGTGGTAGTTGAAGTACAATGTCAATTACCACAAGAAGATCCACATTTTATCTTGTTTGTACTTAAACAAACGTTAGCTCAATATTTACCTGCACCTACAAGTCCTTTGTTACATACTGCTTTTCCGAGACCGGCACCGGTGGTTACTTGGAACACTATCGCACCGTATGTGAGATTACTAGGTCCGGATTTGCAACCTGCTTGTGAGTGTTTGAATACTTGAATCTGGCATCCGTTGTTCTTATGATCATTCCTCACTTTCTCCGCTTGTTGTCTATCCTGATTCCTGAGTCAGGGAAAGTGGGATAAACCGATTTTCACTCTTCACTCTTCCTAGCACTGAAAATACACTTCACGCCAGAGTCGAGCTTCATCTCGGGCCATGCATGACCATCAAGACTGACTCTCAGCATGGGTGTGTTATGTATACGGCAACAGATTCATCTACCCTTCTTTACATTCCAATAGGACCAGTTATTCTCTCACTTTATTCGATTTTGATCCCCTCCGCACCCGTAAAGAAATCTACGATAGACGAAATGACCCCACCAGACGAGCAGACGGAGAGGAAGATGGTATCGTACTCGTCACTGCTGAAACGGTGTTGGAGGGCAAGAGTCCTCTAACAGGTCAAGTGAAGACGGGTGGTATGTTACCTTATACCACCGTGTCCAGACCGACTCCAGCGGATGTAGCTTTGATTGATTCTGAACGTATCGTCACTATCAAGGTGGGTCGTGCAATTCTATCTGCCTTGGTCTCTTCCTTCTCACTCCTACTCTCTTCCTTTCCATTCTTCGCCTGCCCCCCCCCCCCCCCCACCCACCCATATTCAATATCCTTGTACGGTGAGTTTACATACTGTGAACTCAAGGTGGTAGAAAAATCGCAAGAAGGTAGAGTCATATGACGACAGCTGACAGTCAAGTCACATCTTTTATCATTCCTCACTGGCAGACGACTACGTATGGGAGCGGAGATTATGGAATTTTGATTCATCTCGATTGTCCGGAAGATATTGTATAGATGTATGCTTGTATACATGTCTTTATCACCTCCCTCCTTCCCTACCCTGCGTCATATCACAACCTGACTTTTCTAATGATCCATGTCCGCCTTCGATCTCACCAAAGTATCCATGTCCTTAACTCCTCCATGTCAACCATATCCACATCTATCCTCCTGCTTTTCATACCAATTTGACGAAGATACAATTATCTACTTAATCAGTCTTCCCATCCTCACATACTCATGCGGATATCCATCTCCCGTAGGACCCCTCTTTATAAAAACGTTCCCATCCAAAACTTCCAAACCTGCTTTTATGTAAAACCCAGCTTGTACCTTCCTCGAGTCCAAATGCAACAATATCGGTTTTTGTACACCCTCCAAAGTCTCTTTCAAACTTTCATCCCCCTCTACCATTGCCGAAGTGGAGAAAAGATCGTAAACGTATTGAAGCATTTGTCGACCTATACCTTTACCTTGAAAATTAGACTTTACGGCGAATTTATGTAGTTGAACGGTATTTAGTGTCTCACCACCGGTAGTGTTGGAAATATGTTCAGGTAATTTACCGAGATAAGGTTCAAGGACGAGTGTAAGACAAGCTATTGGAGTTTCGTCGTGTTTACCGGTTTCTTTGGGTGGTGTGAGACAAGCTGTGGGAGTTTCATCAGGTTCATATCCTCCTTCGAGTGAATTCGTCATTGAATTAGCGGTAGGTGAGGGAGTCAAGGAGGAGGATTCATTGTGAGATGAGATGAGGAATGCTCCGAGATGAATCGTGGTGGAGAGGGTATCGTATGGGAGAGATTGAGAGAAAAGTGGAGTGTCGGGCCAAAGTTCAGATTTCCTTAAATGGAGAGTTTGGGATGAGGAGATTGATCGGATCTGGATAGGAAGGGACATGGTTTGTGGATTAATCTCAAGTTGCCCGTCGTTCGTCGTTCGTGTAGAGGCTGTTTGTGATACTATAACGTATCTAACTATCGTCTGTCGGCAGTCAAAAGATTTCTCCCTATGAATGCTTTCTTACACCGGGCGGGGAACAAAAGTTGTATGACTCGATCGAGATTGCGGGGTTCCGCATTTTTTCACGTGGCAAGTGTGGTCGTCAGGTTGACGTGGACGCGTCTTTTTTATTTTGACTTTACTCTTACTTTGACACCAACCCCCTAGTAGACATTCCCTTGAACATCATGGTCAGTATGGACATGGATGAAGGACTGCGTAGTACTTTAAGATATCCTTTGATACATGGTTTCCGGATAGGGGAGGAAATAGGAGGAGGGGGTTGTTCCAAGTATGTCCTGTACAATTTACATTCCGGCATTCCTAAACTTCGTAACTATAGTATTTTGAGAACCGACGTGGGGTAGGGGGATGATAGTGAGCAACACTGACTTTACAGAGTATTTCGAGCAATACACGATGAAGAATCAAAAGTCGCCGCTTGTAAAGTTATCGATCTTTATCTTTCTCCAACATTAGGATATCCACCGCCTAATATCAAAGAACTTCAAAAAGAAGTTCAGGTTCATAAATCCCTGAAGAGCCCGTATATCTTGGAGTTTTTGCATAGTGAAGTGGTGGAACGGGATAAAGAACGGGATGGTTGGGTACCTGGATTGTACATGTTATTAGAGCTGGCTGTTGGAGGAGATTTGTTCGATAAGATTGGTAAGTCTCCTCACATATGAACTGGCGGATCATGTATAATTAGAGAGATTGACGAAATAGCTCCGGATGTAGGAATACCAGAAGATCTAGCCAAATTTTACTTCGCACAACTCGTTTCTGGAATTGTAAGTCCTTCGAACTTTTTTGTCTTCCTTCTTTTAATGTTGATGTTAACACGCTGTCGCTTGTGTGCTTTCTAGCGTAAGTGGTAGGAACGATGAAGATGACAATCAGGATTTTGTCCATTCAAAGGGAATAGCTCATAGAGATCTCAAACCGGAAAACCTACTTTTAGCGGCTAACGGTAATCTCAAAATATCAGATTTTGGTCTTTGCGCCGTTTTTCGTCATAAAGGAAGAGAACGTTTGCTCAGCGGACGATGTGGGAGTTTACCGTATGTCGCTCCAGAGGTCAGCTGCATGAGACTGTCATAAAAAGGAAGCTGACAATTAGTTAGGAGGACCGTTGGGAGTTGGATATGCTGCCGAACCTGTGGACATTTGGGGAATGGGTGTGGTTTTGTATACTCTGCTAGTGGGAAGTGAGTCCTTGAATATTACTTCTCACTTCATTTGACCACCGTTTTTGCATACGCACACCGTCTGATGCGGCGAGGTATCGTCGTGTACTGGCAGCGAGGGGGTGAGATCTGACTGACCTCAGATACACCTTGGGACGAACCTTCAAGTCAAAGTCCGGAATATAATGCGTATCTGACCGGGGAGCTACTCAATTATGACCCATGGACGAGAATACATGGTCAAGCAAGGGGTAAGTCTGGTAGAACCTGAATGTTTACGTTTCTGGCTGACCCGAGAGCACTCCTACTGGCGTTACTCACTGTTGATCCCACTCAACGGATTAAGATGGAAGGGATCAAACGACATCCTTGGAGTATGACGTGAGCTCTCCAGACATTGCGCCTTGATCCGTTGAGCTGATTATCAAGACCCACCCAACTTCAGCGAGAGCAAATTGCCGATGCTCTCACTCAAGGTATGCGATCGAATGGAATGATGGCGATTGTCGATCCCACGTTCAATAATCAATCATCTCAAGCGTACATTCATGCGTGAGTCGCAACTGCCCTCCTTTTTCGATAAACAGTCCAATCAGATGAGCTGACAATGTAGACGGTCACAGCGAATGATGGAATCACAATGGACAAGTTCGCTCCGTCCACAAGAATCGCAATTCCTTCGCGGTACGGGTAACATTGTGTGTTCTCCTCCCTCTTAAGTTATCTTCGACTGAGCTGGCAGACACAAGGTGGAGACTTTATAAACATCTCCACTAGATTTTGGATCAACCTGTCTCCTAGGGAAGCGTTCGTGGTTCTTGTCACCTTTCTCAGCAAGGAAGTAGGCAAAGAGAACCTCGTGGAAGGTTCGGAAGGTACGGCGATACGAGTCAGGAAAATGGCCGGACAGAAGACGGTTCAAGGGACGTTTTACATCAGACCTAACGATAGTCTTTCCGCCGAGGGGCAATCATTGGTCATCATGCAACGTGGCAAGGTGAGCATCTGTTGATGTTGTCGGAGGGGACGTGGCCTACCTGGACTTGAAACGGCTGACAATCAGGGAAGTATATTACATTGGAAGGCATTCTGGTGGTCAATTGTCAGACATTCCGATCTGGCGTCATTTGTCGTCAGAGGAGATACATAGGAGATCGGTGAGTGTTTGAGTCGTAATGATTACTATGCGCTGATAAGCAGGCAGCATCGCACGCCAAGAGATATTTGCCCCACCCAGAAGGGATTGCGTGGAGAAATACCTCTCTGTCCTCTCGGGTTCCATGCCTTTGCCTCATTCAATTAAAAAATAAATCACATTCCTTTGACCATTTGTCGGCTAATGGCAGTGGCCCGACGTGTATTACGCGTGTCGTAAGACGTATGATAAAAGGAAGAAGGAGGATGGCATGCGAAAGGATCGATCAAATTGCAGAGTCGGAGAGACCTGGGATAGAACATGGAACGATTGCGACACTTTTCCCGACTGATCTCAGCTCGTTTCTTTGTATTATGGGTCGTCTGACATCTGACTGAGTTTGATCGGAATATGAACATATCTCTTGACGACAAATGTCTGACAAAGGATCGGTCCTAGTACATTTCATATATGACACAGTGTTTGTTTTGTTCTGATTCATCCTCTCTTCTACAACTTGTAGTAAGCAATAGTCACTCGTACTCACCAATAATATCTCAAGATGACCACCTATAGTCCCGATAACGATGAGAATGATATCGGTACTGACACCAGACTTCCTCTCAAATTTGATTCTTCGTTCACAACCCAACAACTGGAAGATGCTCTGTGTGGCCCGATTTCCTTTTCAGTGAGGGATGAAGAAGATGAGGTAGAAGACAAAGACCTCTGGACCAAATGGACTTCACTTCAGACTATCCCATCTGGATTATTATTATCGTCTTATCCCGTCTCACAGACATTGATAAGTCCCCCACCTTCACCAACCAGTATCAAACGATCTTCCACTGGATTCTCTTTGCCCAAAAGACTAACTTTTGGTCGAACTGATTCCATGGCATCCCTATCATCCGCTTCGGCATCACCGACAACGCCAAACATGCTTCGTCGTTTCAGTGGTCTATCTGGATATTTCGGTTCACAAACACAAACACAGCCAAGCCCATTGCCATCGCTTCCTACAGGTTTAGAAGAAGGTATGCCATTGGAATTTGATATACTCACAAGGTTCGATCCTCGTTTTAATGTCCCTCCTAAATTACGCAAGAGTTTGAAACATGAAGGAGAGGACATTACCAAGCTTACATATGACTTCTGGCCCCGACAGCCGAATGTACTTAGTAAAGAAACGATCATCCAAGAGAATGGTCTGGCCGGTAAAGGGAAAGCGAAATTTAGTTTGGAAGAATCAGGTTGGACGCGTGCGATAGTGTGTACGACTGTCACCGGTACGTTGGTACCCACGAATCATAATGAATTGTCGGCGGTTATTGATGTGTTCTCTATGATCAGGTTAAGAGTGTCGGATGGGAGGGCTTTCGAAGAAGATGAAATAGGCAAAATTCCCACCGGGGAAGATCAATTGACTTTATATAGAGCTGTGGAGGAGTATACGGATGGACTGTCAAGAGTACGAGAGGATCACGAGAGTCGTAAATCCCGTAAGAAGAATAGACCTTCTATCTATCAGAGGAAGAATATGTGTTCGTTGTTGGAGAATGAGAGTGATGATAATGCTCAGTTTGCTAGACCTGCTTGGTGAGTACACCAAAAATGTGGGTGGTGAACTAGTTGTGAGACACTGTTTGAAGGAATGTATACAGATCAGAGATGCACTGATGTCAGTATGACATCTTATATTGAAAGACGTGTCAAGGTGATTGAGTGACCAATCAGGGTGGGAAGTGTGTGAGATGCTGCTTTGACACAGAATAGCCTTTCAGCTCTAGAACGCATGCTCTACTAAAATAATCTGAGTTTACTGTCTAACAGACTTCCTACCATCTGTCCAGCAAAAGTACCACATATCCAACCGGACAAAACGAGCAAAGTCGTCATTCTTGGACTGGTAGGTAATAATACCCTCAACCCGAATCCTGAAGACATCCCACCTAATAATCTCGTCCCGGCCCATATACGATCGGATTTGGTCCAGATTTCCCATAACGCAGTTTCGACGTTTCCCGCCGTTTCTAGGTGACGAGGAGGGATGAAGGAGAGAAGAGATGCAGGAAGAATTGTGAGTGAAGAGTGGAGGGGAAATGGTGTATCGACTGTGTGGAGATCGGTTGCAGAGAGTTGAGAAGGAGTAATGAGGGTGGAAGTTGGAGATGAAGTGGACCAAATGGAAAGGATTAGTTGAAGGAGAAGAGGGAGGATAGAGGTAATTAGAAGAGTGAGAGGGATCAAGATGGGTCTGCAATTAAAAAAATTTCTTTCTGAAAAAGGAGTGATATGAGAAAGGCAAGGAAGTACCCACATGAAGTTTTCTTGTCTACCGTCTCTAAGCTTCCCTTGTCTCCGGTGCTGTGGCCACCATCCTACCCACCATAACCATCCCAAACCAAGAAAAGTAGTCACAAGATATTGCGTCACCAACTCTATCCCACTCTCCATCACAGCTCTCGCCAGATGCCATGGATTCTCAGCTAATTGTATGGTTGGTGAACGCACACGTAGAATGGTTTCAGTGACCAAAGTGAGTAAACTCAAACGTATGAGATAACCTCGTAAAACTTCGTATCGGTGATCTGTTTTATCTATATCGTTTGCTGTAGGTTCGGCATGACGAGGAGGGGAACCTCTGTTGAAAAGTATATGAAGATAGACTCTAGGTTTGAGTAAGATCAAATCGAGTAGGAGAAGTAAGGGAGGATGTTCGATAAGGGGGTCTATGAATTGATTACATCTCTCCTGCGTGTCAGTTCCTCAGATGAAGACTAGTCCTGGAGTTTTAAAGCTGCCACATCCTCGGATCGTAGGTGATCTCTTCAACGTTCGATGTATGTTTTGAAAGCCTTCCGTCAGATGAATCGATAGTGAAAGCGCCAAAGCTGTCAGAGCGAAGGTGCGGTCGATTGAACGGAGGGGGTTATGGCAGCAAAGGGGGTCGAGGAAGAAGGGGAGAGGGGAAAGAAGAACGTCCACTCACACATACCCCCAGACGGATGTTAGATTTTGTAGAGTAGGTAGTATACACATGTTGAGTTGGATAAGCACAATGTACGCAGACTGGCATTACACATTCAAGTTGAGAGAGGTCAATTCAAGAGAATATGCGATGAGTAGAAAGTCTATCAAAACTAAGTCTTACTCCATACTTACTTTACGGTGTCCGGGAAGTCCCAGGCTGAACTTTCTGGACTACCCCTTCTCTCTTCATCCATGATATCCGTGATATCCACTTTATCCATTCTTCTGTCCCATTATCTCAATTAGACCTGTCATCAACTGCCTAGAGGTGCTAAAGAGACTACCAGCAATCTTCTAAAAGCTTGCTGCATGCTGCTAATGAAGGGTATATACTTACCTACGCAAGATTCACCTTCTAGACTTTGCTAAGTAGTATTCGATTCAATTTTCCTATGGTACTACGTTTCCTAAGGTAGACACTACAAAGAGTCAATCCTCGTACCAGGTAGACATGTCGTCTCTCTTCTTCTTTGGTATCCTGGGTCTGAACCCGTCTTCGTGTTAAAGAATATTCAGCTGTCTCAGCTATCACGGATTTGAGAGAAATGATAATCAATGTTAGCTCCTAATTCAGCTTCTCACTGCTGTCAACACATCTTGCTAAATATACTGAATGCCTATTCCATGCTGGACATGCTACCACACATTAGATTGGTCATTGGCCACGGATCCCAGAGATCACGGAAGGTATGGTTCGTAAGATCGCGCAATTGAAGGAAAAGAGTTGCATTCCATCATTCTAGCTAGCTATTTATTTATCTGATAACCCATCCTACAATTCACCTGCTTAGCAATGTATAGATAAGCAGATGAGTCATCTATCTAAGAAGCTTTATGAGTGGTCTTTCACACATTCCACTACTATGAGAGATTTGGATGTTTGCCCCCAATGCCGCCGATTGCGCCGACGATCCGACGACCCCCTGTCACGAACTACGTCGTGACACCTCGATTATTCCACCAACAATGACCCTCCTTTGACCATCAAAACCCCCATCACGTCTTAACCTTTTTACTCTACACGTAACTCAGGACTTCTGAGACCAAGTACGGCGAAGTTAGACGGAGTTAGGCTAGGTAGGGACAATGGGAGCAGAAGTACAGCGAAGTTAGACGGAGTTAGGCTAGGTAGGGACAATGGGAGCAGAAGTACGGCGAAGTTAGACGGAGTTAGGCTAAGTAGGGACAATGGGAGCAGAAGTGCGGCGATGTTAGGCGGAGTTAGTCGAAGGAGGAAGAGGATGGCCGAGGGCTCGGGGAAGTTGGACGAAGTGCGTTGAAGTACGTCAAAGCGCGAGAGGGTTGGATGAACGTCTAGGAGGAGTAGATAATATTAGCTGAGAAGATCGCTGAAGTTCTTCAGCGATCCTTGATTGTTGTCAGTAGTAAAAGACAGATAGAGATAGCTATAAATCAAGATACATCGCCATCAGTAGATCAAAACCCTAGTTAGAGTAACTACGCCGAAGTACGCCGTAGTTACACCCCTTTCGACGTCTGCGCCCTCCTGGTTGGGTGAGACATCGACTCAGAGAGTGAAGTTAGCCGAGGTTCGTCGACCGTCGGTCTATTAAGAAGTAGTTGTTCGACGGCCGTGACAGTATCAAGGATCGCTGTTACCGACGACCCGTGCGAACCTCGGAGAAGTACGAAGATAATATGGAACCAGAAAGAAGAATTACACGAGGCATGAGTAGGGATGGAGACAGGATGGAGGAGAACGAGAGGAGAGCATTGGAGGAGCTTAGCAGAGCAATGGGGCAGGACCTTGGAGTTGAGGATAGTGTGGGGGGGTCAATTCAAGGAGATGAGTTCGTTCCACCGGTGCTTTCTAACCCTCCTTCTCCTCCGTCTAATGCTCTCCCACCTGTGGGATCCCCACTTGGATCAGACCAAACCCCACGCCCAAGAGAAAACACTGGAAGTACGGCGAACTTGGGAGAAGAAGGAACACAAGGGGTGGTGTTGGCCTTGATGCAGATGGTGGCGAATATGAACAAAGACATGATGGAGGAGAGAAGACGTAGGGAGGAATGGGAACAGAGAAGAGAAAGGGATACAGTGGGCGGGATTGCAGAAGGGATATCAGAAGGAGTGAGGTACGCCATGGGACGGCAAACTTCGGCGACCCCAAGCGTAGTGGGCGAACAACGGAAAGGGATAAAGCTACCTAACCCAGACCTATGGAGAGGAGATCGGAACAAGTTAACCGCCTTTCTGTCTGAGTGCGACGTACACTTCGAATTGAACTCTCATCTTTTCCCCGACGACACTAAGAAAGTCTTTTTCATGATCTCTCATCTACGCGAAACACCTCTTCTTGCAGTGCAGCCCGATCTATCCAAAAGACCTCTTCCTGAGTACCTCACGACACACGATCAGTTCGTTAAGTACCTCAAGACTAACTTTGGTGATCCAGACGAAGAAGGAACTGCGGCCCGACAACTTAACGACCTCAAGCAAACCGGGTCTGCTTCGGACTACTTCTCCGCCTTTCAGCGACATGTTGCGATTCTCAAGTGGTCTGATGATGGAAACCTAGTTGACCGAGCCAAGAAAGGACTAAAATCGCACCTTCTAGATGAAATCGCAAGACACGGTAGATCGTTTGGGACTGTAAAAGAGCTATTGGAGTTTGTGATTCCCTTGGACAACCGCCTGTGGAGGAGACAAGTGGAGAAGGAGGCAGAGAGGAAAAGGGAAGGAGGGATAAGGACAACGACAGTGGTGGAAAGTCAGAGGACGGAGAAGAAAGAAGAGAAGAAATGGGAAAAGGGGCAACCTTCGGCGCAGGGTGGTGCCCAGGCGGCTATGAGGTCGACGGTGGTAAAGAGTACACCGCCAAACATCGACGAAGTTCGCCGAAGATGGCCTAGGCCGAGCTCCGATCTGAGGGAGACAAGGAGGAAGGAGGGGAAGTGTACCGAGTGTGGTGAAGCAGGACATTGGCTGAAGGAATGCCCTGTAAGGGAGGCTAAGGTTAAGGTTGGACTGTTGCCTCCATGGGGGGAGAAGTTCGGAGAACGTGGTGGAGGATCGGGAGGGAACGCAGTACCTCTCGGACAGAGGAGGAACTTGAATGCGGTTGGAGGAGAAGTAGATTTGGAAGAGGACCAGGGAAAAGAAGAGGACCTGTCGCAGTAGGCGAGGCTCGGCGGGTCCGCCATATTCTCTCGGCCACCATTCCCAAACCCATAAAAGAAACACAGCTGATGGAGCCAGAGGATTGTGAATACAAAAATACACCACTCAGTACCCCTTGTTCATGCAATGTCGATAATCATCTCCTCATCCCTTCCGTTTCCAGAGATCAACCTAAATCGGACATTTTCATTAATGGAATGAAGCTAACTACGCTCTGGGACACCGGGGCTACTTGTTCATATATAAGTCCTAGAGCGGCGACGAAGATAGGCGCAGAAAGGAGACAATATCAGGTGAGCGTACCCGTTCACATGTTCGACGGCTCGGTGAGTGTCGCTGGACCCATCACCGAGTTTGTCGAAGTCGGATTTAGTTTGACGAAGGACGCCGAAGTGCGATCTGTTTGTCTCGATGTAACAACGCTCTGCGACGCAGATGTTGTGATAGGGTGGGATTGGATGAGGAAGGAAGGGGTTGTCCTTGATGGAAGAGACAACTCGGTGAAATTTCCCATCCCAACCCCACCAAGTGCGGCGAAGTTAGCGGCCATAGGGCTGCCGACTCTGACGGACGCGATAGACCGCCGCGGCGAAGATGAGCTTGAAGAGCTGAGCCCGGAGGAACAAGACGAGTTGTTCCAGGTAGTTCCTGAACAATACCACCAGTACATTGACGTTTTTAATCCGAAGAAGGGAGGAGAGACCCTTCCCCCTTCAAGGTCCTACGATTTGAAGTTTGAGCTTAAGGAGGGGGCGAACCTTAAGGTCGCCTCCCTCTATGCTCAAGGAGAAGATCAGAGACGCGCGCTGAGAGACATACTAGATCGCGAAATCGCCGCTGGCCGAATTCGGGCAAGTAACTCGCCATACGGCTCACCAATGTTTATGATACCGAAGAAAGCCGAAGGACAGTGGCGAATGGTCATCGACTATCGAAAACTGAACGAAGCGACCATACCAGATGCCTACCCTCTCCCTCTAATAGGTCAAATTACCGAAGAACTTGGAAAAGCAAGGTATTTCAGCAAACTAGATCTAATTGGAGCATACCAATTGTTGAGGGTGACAGAGGGACATGAACACCTGACGGCGTTCAGGACACAGTATGGTATGTTTGAATCTCTGGTTGTTCGTGATGGGCTGCGAAACGCCCCCGCGGTCTTCCAACACTTCCTAAATGAGGTGTTTAGAGAGCTACTAGGGAATGGAGTCGTGGTCTACATTGACGATATCCTCATTTATGGGAATACGTTGGAGGAATTACGAGGAACTACGGCGAAGGTCTTTGAGGTACTGCGGAAGGCGAGCCTGTACGTGAAAGCTAGTAAGTGCGAGTTCGAAAGAGATTCGGTGGTGTTTCTGGGTTTTGTGGTATCCTCTAAAGGTGTATCGGTGAACCCAGAATACATTGATGCCATCACTTCCTTCCCACGTCCTAAGAATCTACGAGAGTCAAGGGGATTCATTGGAGTTGTAAGCTACTACAGGCGCTTTGTCCCCAACTTCTCGAAGATTGCTAGACCTATCAATGACTTGACAAGGAAGGAGGTACCATTTGTATGGGGAGTCGAACAGGAGTCAGCCTTCAAAGAGTTGAAGGCTAGGATGTGTACTGCGCCGGTGTTAGCCCATTTTGACCCTACATTGAAGACGATATTACAGACAGATGCGTCGTTCTTCGGCTGGGGGTTCATAATTTCGCAGATCAACACGGCTGGTCAAGAACACCCGGTAGCTATTGAGTCTGGTGCTTTCAACACAGCTCAACTGAATTATACGGTAGGAGAAAAGGAGTTCCTCGCTGTAGTGGAGGGTTTCAGAAGAAGGAGACACTTATTATTGCAGGTGGAAACCACAGTACTTACCGACCATCTAAACCTTACCTACTGGATGGAACCGAAACAACTCAGTCCTCGGCAAGGTAGGTGGGTAGAGGAGCTAGCTAACTTCAGGTTTAAAATGGTTTATCGGCCAGGAACCCAGGCAAGTCTTCCAGATGGATTATCTAGACGGGCGGACTATCATTCCGGGAAAGGAAGTACCATGGTACAAGAGAGCAACCTTATCCAAGGTCTGCCGAAGTTCGACGAAGTTGACGCCACCACGTCGGAGTTGCGTCACCTCCTTCGAGCATTGCAAGGGACAAGGGAGGTAAAGGAAAATGATCTTGTGGACCCTATGGATCTAGTACTTGGAGTTCAGGAGGACGAAGACATAGAAGGGGTCAGAGAAGAATTATTAGGAGTCGTTTGCGCTGAGTGTTCTCATCCTACGTGTAACGATAACGTGCAGGAACCAGGATCAATCACCGAACTACGCCGTAGTTCGCGGTCTCCTCTAATCCTTCGTGGGGGGTGGAACTCAAGAGGTTTCCTCACATTCGACAATCGCATTTATGTGCCGAACTACGCCGATGCTCGGCTGAAGATCATGAAGATGCGACATGACTCAGCCTTGGCCGGTCATCCAGGTTCGGCGAAGACTCTTGAACTAGTCCTGAGGGATTATGTCTGGGTTGGAGTAAGGAAGGATGTCGAAGATTATGTTGCTGGATGCGCGGTATGTCAGAGAGCGAAGACTAACAGACAGAAACCTCATGGGGAGCTTAAACCACTGGAGGTAGCTACGAAACCTTGGTCTAGCATCTCGATGGATTTTATCGAGGAGCTGCCAAATTCCCATGGATATAATTCCATCCTGGTAGTGGTGGATCGGTTGACCAAATGGGCCATTTTTATCCCGACTACGACGAAGTTAACCGCAGCCGGCCTATCAGAGTTGATATTGGACTATGTGGTGGCCCAGCATGGGTTGCCAGAGAATATAGTATCGGACAGGGGATCGAAGTTTACCTCCAAGTTCTGGAAGAATTTGACCGATAGTCTCGGAATAAGACTACATCTCTCTACTGCATATCATCCACAGACTGACGGACAGACCGAACGAACCAACCAGTCTTTGGAACTGTATCTTCGAATCTTCACCTCCTATCAGCAGAACGACTGGTCAAAGCTACTCGCTCGAGCTAGCTTTGCTTACAACAACACCCAGCACTCTGCGATAAACAAAACCCCATTCTATGCGAACTATGGATATCACCCTCGTTGGGCTGAAGAGATAAAGGCTAGCGAGGTCGAAGTGCCCGCTGCTACGGTGGTGGTAAAAGATTTGACTGAAATACACAAAGATTGTATCGAAGGAATTGAGAAAGCTAATGAGAAGTACGCCGAAGGATACAATAGGAAACACCGGACTACGCCGAACTTCGCGGAAGGAGACCTAGTGATGCTGTCGTTAGAGAATATTAAGACGAAGAGACCAATGAAGAAGTTAGATGTTAAGCAAAGTGGGCCGTACAAGGTAGTACGGCAGGTAGGTTCTCATGCTTGTAAATTGGAGTTACCAGGAACGATGGCAGGTATCCATGATGTATTCCATGTCTCCTTGCTCCGTCCTTATCACCCTCCAATATTTCCTGGTCAGCAAGCTGAGCCACCTGGGCCAGTAGAAGTAGACAATGAGGGAGAGTCTTGGGAGGTAAAGGATATTGTGGACTCTAGAGTAAATAAGAGGTCAGGAAAGTTAGAGTACTTGGTAGAGTGGTTAGGTTACGAAGGAACAGACGATTCAGTATCATGGGAACCAGTGGAGAACGTCGATGGAGCTGATGACATATTGGCGAAGTTCCACGAACTTCACCCTACTAAGCCGAAGGAAGGGCGACTGCGAAGGGCTAGGAGATAGAACGTACTGCATACAACATAGGATTACAGCTACGTACCGCTCACTTGTCCTTACTCTTACCCTTACCTTTTCCTTTTCCTTTCTCCTTCGATCTACTCGGTCCCGCGGGATTGGTGTGGAGGCTACCGATGACCGAAGGTAGATCGAGAGTCTCAGACGGGAACGCAGTAGAGAGAGAAGCATTCCATGCCCGATTCATAGCCCCAAAGAAGTCACCGAAGTCCTGGACATCTCGAGCAGCTTGCATGCTCGGGGTCCTCCACAGAGAACGTATGGTCCGTAGACACTCGAAGGGAAGACTGAGGAGGTCGAGAGCAGTCTGGGCGGAAGCTGGGACACGAGAATTACTACGGCGACCTAACCAGTCAAGGGACGGTGGTGGCTCATACGCCATAGGAGTGACTAGGAAGGGGGTGTCGAACAGTCTTCGGCGAACATCGGCTATCTCAGTAAGGCTTCGGCGAGAGACGGCCGCTAACCTTGTCCTTGCTTCGTCGTCCAGAGCCCCAGTGTTGACTACATCTACTAACGCCGCAGTAAGATTGTTTAAAGCGTTAGCTTGACGAGAAGAGAAGTCAAGCAGGAGAGATGTATCATTTCGGGCGGCCTCAAGCTGAGTAGTGAGACCGAGGACGAGAGAACGATAAGTGGCGAATTCCTTTTCGTCCTCAGGAATACGGACGTCCAGGGAGATACGAGGGTGGACGAGGGACAACCGGGGAGCAGAGGGACCAGCACGCTGAGTATCTTCATTTTCCACATCACCATCATTGAAGGCAACCTCCTTCTCTTTAGATTTCCCTTTTGATTTCTTTAAAGAAGACTTCGGTGTCTTCTGGGAAGCAGAGGGAGGGGTGACGGGAGGGGCCGCCGAAGTGGCCGGAGGAACAGAAGGACGCCGACTTCGGGTGCTGTGAGCCGGAGGAGAAGCTACCACTGGAGAGGACGGACGTGGCGCCGAAGGACGAGAGGCCGAAGGACGGGAGGCCGAAGGAGCAGAGGCCGAAGGACGGCGAGAAGACGAAGGAGGAACAGCCGGGAGACGTGATGGGCCGGCCACAGGAGCGAAGGGCGACGGCGACGGAGGCGACGGGCGGAGGTCCGGCGAAGTACGGCGAACCGACCGGAGAGACGGAGAGACGAAGACGGTACCCGCGAACGGGGGACAGACGCTGGAGTCTGGGGAGGGGGGAGAGGAGAAGCGTCGAAGGGACGGGGCGGGATGTCCCGGGCAGAGGAAACGGGACAGAAGGAGCAGGGGCCAGACGTGCATGAAGCACAACGGAGGGCCTTGTTGTGTGGCCGGCAGGGCCAGTTTGGACGATTATACGTGATAATCTCACGTCTACTAATTAGCAGGAGTAACTTCGGCGTAGTACGAATAGGTGGACTCACCGGCAACGATCACACGCTTCGTCAACACCAACCGCGATCCAACGACCAGGCTCGGACTTCATCTTCTCCCACAAGTACTCTTCTTCCCGCAGTGATCTCTTCACCCGTTTGGGCGAAGGCTCCCCTCTGGGAGAAGGGGGGGGAGCAGCGACAGGGGCGGCGGGAGCAGGACCGGCGGCGGGAGCAGGACCGGCGGCGGCAGCAGGAGCGATGGCGGCGGCAGCAGCGGCGGCAGCGGCGATGGCGTTGGGGGGGGGGAGAACCCCGGAAGAGGAAGAAGAAGAGGAAGAAGAAGAAGAGGAAGAAGAAGAAGAGGAGAGGGAACGGCGTCGTTTCTGGCCCACAATTTGAGCAGGGGGAGGGGCAGGAGCGGCTGCGAGTTAGCAATGTCTTGGAGAGCTAAAGAACAGATAAACAAGGCCAAGTTCGGCGAAGGTGTGAGAGGTTGGACGAAGAACTCACGCTCAGGACTATCTACGTTGTTGTCCTCTACACTAACCGCCACCATATCATCATCCGAGTGTTCCTCTAACTCGGTTTCACCCTCCGACACGATTCTATCATCCTCATCACTATAATCACCCCCTTTTCCTTCGAAGTCTGACTGATCGTCCGACTCCGAACCACTGAGCGACTCCTGGTCGGAGGAGGACGGAGACTCACCAGGACGAAAGGCGGGCGTCCTGCGGCGAGGGCTGGCGGCAGGAGGGGAAGCAGAGCGAGAACCAGGAGGAGGAGAAGCAGAGGGAGAACCAGCGGGAGGACCGACGGGAGGAGAAGCGGAGCGAGGAGGCGGGACATCGCCAGACGGCTCCCCCAAAGAGAGGGTGCCGAGGCCGAGGGAGGAGACTTGGCGAGATCTGTCGCCGAAGGAAACTGAACATCAGCCAAGTCCGGCGAAGTAAGGTAAGTGTCGAGGAATAACTCACGAGCAGACGACACCATACCACCAAAGTTCCTCATGGCGGCGAAAGGGTTAGAGGTGGGAGTAGGAGGGGCCATGACGTTAAAAATACTTAAAGAAATAAAAGATGATTCAAGGTAACAAATCTGTTTTCTAGGTAAGAGAGATAGAAAGTTTTGAAAGCAGATGGGAAAAAGAGAGAAGCTCGGCGAACTGCTCAGTATTTAGTATAATCAAACCTAAACCCTCGTCGTCAACATGCGGCAAACTTCGCGTTTCATCAACAAAAGGCATCGCAGGGACGATCAAAATTCCCACGCTATAGTGTCTCATCTCAATATAAGCGAGGGTTACTTCGACAAACAACGGTGTTGTTCGGCTGCCATTCAGGAAGCGTGTCTCACCTACAAAAGACACAGGGCTTCTTACGGCAAACCTCGACGAAGTTAGGGGAGTCTCATTGTCGGGTTTTGGAGTGAAAGGAGGCCCAACTACGAAGTGCGGCGCAAAGAGCAGAAGGGTGAAAGATGGTCATGGGGAGGGAGAGAATGGGGTACTACGCTGCTAAGTTCTCTTGACACGACAGAGGTGTAATCGCTCACGAGGACGTTCGCGGCTAAAGAAGGGGGCGACTGTCACGAACTACGTCGTGACACCTCGATTATTCCACCAACAATGACCCTCCTTTGACCATCAAAACCCCCATCACGTCTTAACCTCTTTACTCTACACGTAACTCAGGACTTCTGAGACCAAGTACGGCGAAGTTAGACGGAGTTAGGCTAGGTAGGGACAATGGGAGCAGAAGTACAGCGAAGTTAGACGGAGTTAGGCTAGGTAGGGACAATGGGAGCAGAAGTACGGCGAAGTTAGACGGAGTTAGGCTAAGTAGGGACAATGGGAGCAGAAGTGCGGCGATGTTAGGCGGAGTTAGTCGAAGGAGGAAGAGGATGGCCGAGGGCTCGGGGAAGTTGGACGAAGTGCGTTGAAGTACGTCAAAGCGCGAGAGGGTTGGATGAACGTCTAGGAGGAGTAGATAATATTAGCTGAGAAGATCGCTGAAGTTCTTCAGCGATCCTTGATTGTTGTCAGTAGTAAAAGACAGATAGAGATAGCTATAAATCAAGATACATCGCCATCAGTAGATCAAAACCCTAGTTAGAGTAACTACGCCGAAGTACGCCGTAGTTACACCCCTTTCGACGTCTGCGCCCTCCTGGTTGGGTGAGACATCGACTCAGAGCGTGAAGTTAGCCGAGGTTCGTCGACCGTCGGTCTATTAAGAAGTAGTTGTTCGACGGCCGTGACACCCCCCATTGCTTCAGCCATTCCTTCTTCTCCTGCTATCTCCACCATTTCTTCACTTATGGAGGGGATCTCTTCTGCGGATCAGGCAGGAAATACTCCTCTATCTCATGCAAGTTTCCAATGCATAGATTGAAATGGTCTTGAGCTGCAAGCTTTCAATTTCTCTCCCATCCAAGCCAAAAAGACCACTTGATGTCGGTTTTTGAACCAGCTATGATAGCTACATGCATAAAACTGGCCTAAATGGGTCCAAGGGACTTTTTCTACTGGATCCAGGTGTTTCCAGAGCTCTCAGTGACCTATGGGGTGCAAGATCAGTGACTTTTGAGAAATGGAGGTTGGGAAAGGGAGTTGCCGGAGGGGAAAATCCGACCTGGGACTTCCCGTACACTGTATACTTACTTAGGAAAGTTACGAAGGCTGGTCGCTAAAGATCAAACTCTTCTTTATCTTCCCTTCTTTTTTTCCCTTTCACCTCTTTCACTCTCACACCTGTAACTTATAGTAATTCCTAGTGACATAATTACTATACAGTAAGTACATCAAGCCAAGGATTTTGTCACCTTTGTCGTCGTCTTGGCAACCCTATTCGATCATTCAACTTCACCAACTGAAACTCAACATAACCCATCATGCGACCCGCCCTTCGGAAAACTCAATCTTCACCCAACGGACTCATCCCAGATTCTTCTTCCTCCCTTTCCCTTCCTAGTGGGATTAGCACCCCTGTTCAACCTTCTTCTCCTCCTCCGCTCATGTCTTCCCACAGCTCTAAAGTGAGCGTTGTTTTACCTGACAAGATCAAATTCGTCAATGATACTCCGATGCACTCTTCTTTACACACTCCCAGTGTTGGAGGAGTGGGTTTGCCAAGGACGAGAAGTGGGAGTAGTGGACAAGGAGCTATAGAGGGAAAGTATAGGAGGAAAGTCGGATTTGAAGCTTTTGAAGCTGGTCCTGCTACTTTATTCGCTTATACCTGTCAAGTGGGTAATCTTTGGCATACCTCCCCCAATTCCACATCTTAACATTCGTCATTTTAGATTTCACCCTCCAGCCAATCTGATCGATATGGCCTTCTACTTCCAGGGGTAGTCTCGTGTGATGCCTGATGAGAAAAGTCAGAGAGATGGCGATATGGACTGAGGGTTACGGAACGAGATGGGGGAAATATGTGACATAAGACGGTTTGACTGACAGAAAGGCAAAAAGTGAAGGATATAAAAGACATCGGAACACTCGCGTGTTCGCAGTGGCCGTCTCGGCTGATGAATCTGGTGAAGATGCTCTAGATTGGCTCATGTCGGAATTAGTAGAAGACGGTGATGAAGTGGTAGCTATCCGGGTGATTGAATTGGATGAGGGAGGTGAGTGTCTAAGCTCTCCTTTTACTCTTTTCGAACAAAAGCCGGGGAAAGGGAGAGGAGAGATACGATGACTGATTATATCAGAACGGACTGATCCTCAAGCTCAGGAAGAGTTTAGGGAAGATGCTCATTCTCTTTTGGCGACTATTCTAGATAAGAACAATGAAGCAGATGGTAGACGGGTTAGTACTTTCATTCTCTCGTCTCCTTCCCTTCTGCCAGCAATACTAGATATATCTCCTCCCTATCCGGCCATCTGTGAATGTGCTTCTACTCATCTACTCCCTCGACAACTCCCACCACGGCTAAGTAACGTCTTAAATCATGTTGAACACAGTCCGTGGTGAGAAACTGACAAAAATAGATATCCGTAGTGGTTGAATTCGTAGCTGGTAGAGTTACTGAAATGTTACTCAAAATGATTGCACTCTATCGACCAGACTGTGAGTTCCTTCACCCAGTTCCAGGTGTCCTCAGCAACTGAATGACTGACGACCAGCGTTGATCGTCGGTACAAAAGGTGCTAAATCACGACTCCAATCATGGGGTATGGCTCTAGGTGGTTAGTCTTCACTTTTATCCTTGACAATTTCCCCGAGCTGATTTCGTAGCTCCTGGTATGGGCTCTGTATCACGTTACGCAGTTTCTCATTCTCCCGTACCGGTCATCGTCGTTCGTCCCGAACGTAAAGTTAAGAAAACGCTTGAGAAAAGACAAAACGATCCTAAGCGTGGACAATACGCTGCTATCGTCGGACCGGAGGGATTATCCCTTTCTCGAAGTAGGAGTAGGGGTAGTGCTGGTGGACGAGAGGATGATTAAACTTCGTGATATTTATCCCTTACCTATCTATATAAATGTATATCATATTTCTTCCTATATCTTACACTACATCACAATCCATATTGTCATATGGACAAAATGAAGGATTGAACTTGAACAAAACCACTTGAAACATTTCATATCGGATTTCAGAAAGAAAAAAGGACAGACGTTGTACATTCTTCATCTCTGTATTCAAAGTGTTCTAGTACAACAAAACTTATTTTCATTGTCCATATTTTACTTCTCAACTTCTTATAAAAACAACTACCCGTTTCGTTCCTTCTACCTTCTTCCCTGATGACAAATCACTCAATCTAGTCATCTAGAAGATGTATGTGTATAACAAATGTTCGATAAAAGTCAATACCTCGTTCCATGAACCTCACGCCTTGTCTCACCCACAGTATGAGGGATCGGGGGATGATAAGATGGTACAGCTCTAGGTGATTGTGGCCTACCCCAAAAGACTTGTTCTAAATGTGTATAAGGTTGTGCCAACCCTCTTCGTCCATGATATGTCGATGGGGAAGATCGTACTACGTCCGCTTCAGCCCGTTGAATAGCGGATTGATATTCCACTTTGACGGCTCTTCGACGGTTTTGAAACTGAATGTTAGTTGGATATTTAGTAACAGTATGAGAACACTTACCCAGATTTGAACACTACGAGATGTCATACCTAATCTACGAGCGAGATGATCTCTTTCTTCCGTGGTAGGGTATGAAGTTCTTTCGAATACTTCGAGTAATAGAGCAACTTGAGAATCGTCAGCTAACCGTAAGCTTTCTTCTCTACTTCTTTCATATCATTGCTAGGTAATTTCCATTTGCACGAAGATGTTCCCGGTATATAATTCGGGATGATGACTATTGGGAGAAAAGGGGAGAAATATGAAGATGACAAAATTGACTGCTTACTCACCTCTTTTCCTCGGTGCTTTGAAGTTTGGCAAACCACCACTAATCGCCGAAGCGGGAGAAGAACCCCTCCCTTGTTCGAAAACATTCGGTGCTCTCGGAGCCACAGCAGAGAAATATCTCATATCCGGTCTAGCGGCATATGGATGTATACTTAATCTAGGTCTTCCTCCTTCATTTCCATTCCCATCATACCTCTCTTCAGCATAAGAAACATGACCGTTCTCATGTTTGAAAACAGGTGGTGGAGCAGGTGACCAATATCTCGGATCTAAATCTCTTCGTTTTCCTTCTGTATTTTCATAACCTTGACTATCATCCCTAGAACCGCTCCTTGCAGGAGTAGGATAAGCTGATAATCCTTCTGACTTTCTTCTTTTAGGAGGAGTGGAAAGTACAAAATCAGTTTTCTTCTGAGTAGGAGGAGAAGGTAAATGTATCGTCACTGAAAGAGGATCTGGAGTTTGAATCCTAGGTAATGAAGGTGGTGAACGATATGCCATAGGAGTAGGAATAAACGTTTGAGCCGATTGGACTGCTGGAGAAGTTGATAATGCCGACATGGTAGATATGGAAGTAGAAGTAGAGTGAGAGATTGAAGATATTGACATGGGAGTACGTTTAGATGTAGATGTGAAAGAAAGGGAATGACTGTTTGGTGAAGAAGACCATGAATGTCGAATTTGAATTTGCGGTAAAGATTCCATTTTGATGGTCATGTCTGGTGAAGGAAGTCGTATAAGAGGTGGAGGAGGTGATTGTGGTGACATGGAGAATGTCTCAAGCTTTGGACTATTGGAATGGTCGCTCATATCGATTGTTGTATCCTTCTTTGATTGTTCGATGATGAAAGAAACTCTGGATAGTAGAAGAGGGGTCGTACTGATTCCGATAAACGAATCCCACTGTTGGAAAGTTGACTCAACGTTTGTTCAGTTGATGGGCGAATAAGAAGAGATCAGATAGCTTAACAACGATCTCGATTCAAACCAAGAGCGTATTCTTTCACATGCGTTCTTATTCCACTCCCTTCAACCCCCCCGCTGTCTCTCATCAGCGGATCAGTTCCCACGCATCTCCTGTTCCCCCCCTTCTCCTCAGGCATGGGATATGTGAAAAAAAAGCGAAAGAAGAAAGGAGAATATTCCTCTCTTACCTTTGGAGCCACCACTAGAGGAATACCTTTGATGCACGGGAACGTGGGACGTGCTAAACATGAGATCAGTTTGATATATGAGAATTGAGGCTTGAGAAGGGGTTGGGGGTGTCATGAGTAGGACAATGGTACAATGGGTCACAAGGGGATCGGCAGACATGCCGCCTCAAGGGGGGATCAGCAGGGAGTGAAAGGGTGGCGGAGATTGAGGAATGAGAAAGGAAGGAGGTGGTCACCAAGATGAACTTTGGTTCTATATGGACTCCTACCAAAGGTAGAGAGGATGACGATGACGTTAAGGGGCAAGTTAGTTTCATCTTACGGGGCGATGAAGTTAAAGGAAAGGAAATAATTGAAAGAGTTGGCTACGATGTGCACGGGTAGTAGAGTTTGAACCGAGTTATGAACCGATGTCTCGTGTGAAAGGATCGTTTGAGGTGGTCAAAGGTAGGTTGGTAAGTAGAGGCAGGGGTGAAAACGACTGGAGGAAAGTTCAAGAATGACGGAGATGAAAGGTATGACCTGGGTGGAGTTACAACACCACCACGCCGTATCTTCCGAAAAAAAGAGTTAAAGAGTCGGTCCTGTGTTTGACGGCTTTGGGTGGCAAGCAAATCAAGATCAGTGCCAACAGATCGAAAGTATGAGAGAATCCAAGGAACCCCCAAGTCCAGAGACTGAAACAACTGCATGATCAACAACAAGTGAAAGTATGAATGGATAAGAAAACAGAAGTGATAGGTAGGTGTCAACAGGATCCGGAAAGTGACCGAATGGCAGATTGGAATCGATACAGGTATACAGGTCGGTGGCTGAAAGGAGGTTTTACAAAAAATGAGAGATGATTACACGGGGAGACTTTGAACGATTTGAACCCTGTATCACAACCGGATGTGATAGACACCAACAAAGACGATGAACGCGAGACGACTATACCCTCGCGGTGAGTTCGCGTACCGGCAGTTCGTCGATTCTCGGTTTACCTCGATCTGGACCTGTTTCAGGCTTTTCGACGACCAGAGCTCTCTCAAGGATGTATCGACCTTCTTTGTATTTCTGTTCGGGTTCGAAGGCGTAATCCTGTGTGTAAGAGACGATCAAGTGCGGGATACACCATGTGTTGCAGAGAGAACAAAGTGCAGCATACAACATGAACAAATCACTCACATATTTCCACCCGACACACGTGTGACATACCTTGCAAAAGACATCGCGAACGGTATGCTTTCCTGTTCTCATCTCTCGATCATCTGGTTCGCCAGTATACACATTGACACTGAAGATCAGTGAATGACGATGTGCATGATATCGAGAGAAGAGATGTGTCAGAGAAGAGGCTTACGCGTGATGTACCAACATGGCCTTTCCATGTTGACCCGTGAATTGCTACAATGTCAGCATATCGGACGACATCGGAAAGTGAGGATGTGAGTGGAGAGAACATACATTAGATAGTATACCTTCTTTGACGGTCAAATGGTTGCCGCATTGTTTACACACGAAGACGGACTCGCCGGCGAGGTATACTCTGAATTGACGGCCCATGCTGGCTTATCTCGCGGATGATATGTTGCCACCTCGGATGATAGCGAGGACCGATGGACTATTCGTTGATGGGGAGGGTTGATGACTCGCAGAGAGGGGTTGGTGTTACTGAGTCGGGAGAGATGTGAGGTGATGAGCCAGTCAACATGTGCAGAGTGAGAGGAAGAAGGGAGAGATATAGCGGAGGGGGGGAGGACAGAGAAGGAGCTTAGCAGGGACCGATGCCGACAGAGTACCCGAGCTTTCCCACGGTCGCTTGTATGTACAACTTTCCCACGGTGCACCAAAAGATAACCCCTCTTCCGCACAACGAGGCCTTACTTGCATAAATGTCTAAACTCTTAACTTCTACCAGATGGCCCTACTTCAACGTCTAGACCGTCCCTCCCTCGAGCTCGTGTGGTGGGGACTGTCATCTGAATCTTCCCCCTCACAAAGGGATCTCCAGAGTTTGGACAGTCCCTTTGAGCCTTTGAATACTGACCCCTGACTTCCGCTCAAATGGTGGATTGACCATGATTAAAGCTCCGGCCATTGTGACCTGGTTCAGGGGTCAAGTCTACTATACTACACTGCCTCTTTGGAGATCCGTTCTACTTTCTCTCGTCCCTCTAGAGATTTGTTGGGGGTTCCAGGCTTTTCTTTCACTTCATTTATGATTTCCATCTGACTTTTCGCGGGATAACCGCAACCGACACTCTTTTGACATTGATATTTAAACCTTTCAATCATGCTGGGAGCCGGCCGGCAGCTGGCTGCCCTTCTCCCACTTCTTCAATTGCTCTTTCTTCCACGTATCTCAGCACAATCAACGGGAACATGGATCATCACCGCTACCGACACTTCTTCCCCGAAATCCGGCTGTATGATCATGGCTCAAATCAACGATGGAGCTTCTCCAGAAGCTATAACGTCTATGGTCCCTGTCTGTCCATCATCTGCTTCTATCCCTTCCACGCCAGCGTCGGGTGAGACTGTCACTTGGCCCTTTTCGACAGCCGCAGAAGGGGCAGCGTCAAGTATGGCTATCTACGCTCAATTGACACAGACGACAGGGGGAGTTTCGCCGGGTTGCGTCATCAGTCTCACGCAGATGCAGGTCGAGTATCTTCTTGGGAGATCGCTCAAATGGGACAACGGAGTCAATCAAGTGTACGACAACACTGCTAATGGTTATCTCCTGGATCCGACTTCTTTCGCACCCATCACTTGGTCAGTTGCCCCGTTGTCCGAGAGAGTTGTCAAGCTGATGAAGGTAGTGGAGCGGGTGCACTCCTGCCTGCAGGATTGGTCCTTCCTGATCCCTACTCGCATGCTAGAGGCGATGCGACATGGGGGCAATCGCTTCCGATAACTGCAGGGTCGACAGCAACAGGCGGAGGCGCGCCAGCACCTGCTGCACCATCACCTGCTCCACCCAAATCTTCCGCGCCACCACCCGCTCCACCTCCTACCTCATCGACCACTCCCAAAGCTGTCGTCGTACCAAGCACCAGCGTGGTGGTCGTAGTGGAGACACATACGTCAACCAGCACCGTGGTCGCTCCTCCACCTTCTTCCTCCAAACCAGCCCCTCCTCCGTCCTCTTCTCACTCTGTTATCGCTGTGGAGGTCCCTCCCTCCACCTCGTCCTCCACCTCTTCGATGACCTCTTCAGCTCCTCCGACCGTGACGAAAACCGAAACCGAGACGGAAACGCAGGTGGCTAGTTCTTCCTCGTCTCAACCGCCCTCGGTGATCAATGTCCAGTTACCATCCAGTGGCAAGAGTTCTCAGGTGGTGCAAACTTCTAGTAGCACATTTACCACTTCGAGCAGTACGAGCAGCACCACTTCAAGTGTTACGAGTAGCAGCACCTCCAGTATATCCTCCATTGGTACTTTCGTCCTTCCTTCCTCTCAAAGCACTTCCTCTGCTTCGGCACCGTCGGTCATCGACGTGCAAGTCAGCTCCACGTCCAGTTTCCCCCCTTCCTCCTCATCCTCTTCGTTCATTTCATCGAGTCGTTCTACTCAATCAACGCAGAGTACACCCTCGTCACCGCCCTTGAGCTCGAGCAGCTCTAGTACCAGTGTCACAAGTAGCCAAATATCATCGGCCCCTACACCCTCTCTGGGCGCGCCAGTGTTTTCCGAACCCACCCAAGCAGGTGACAGTCACACTTCGTCTTCATCTTCCAGTCAATCCACCGCGGCACCTGCCTCTGGTGGAAGTAAGAGTCAACCTACTTTCACCATTGGCAGCAGTACGATCGGCCAGTTCTCCCCGGTTGGGAATGGGGCAAATAATCTGGTCGCTACGCCTACACCTGATTCTAGTGGGGGCAAAGGAGATGGTAATGGCGGGGGTAATGGAGGCAACGATGGCGGAGATGACGGTGATGGGGATGGAGATGGTGGGGACGGTGGAAACGGTAATGATAACGGCGATGGTGATGGCGATGGTGATGATAAGGACGACGGCAAAGACGACGGCAAGAATGATGGCAAAGACGACGGCAAGGATGACGGTAAAGACGACGGCAAGGATGACGGTAAAGACGACGGCAAGGATGATGGTAAAGACGACGGAAATGGAAAGGGCGATGACGATGATGGAGGAATTCCAGGTAGTGGCACCATACTGGCTGTCAACTCGACAGGCGACAACGACGATTCCGATTATGGGACCAATTCCACCGCTGGCAAGGACAACAAGGCAGATGCAGAAAACGATCCCCTTGAAGATTTCTTTGGCTGGTTATTTGGTCAAAACGGAACAATCGGGGACGGTGACAACGGGGAAATGGGGGTTGAAGGCAATTGGACTCATCACAAGCATCACAAAGGCTTCATGGAGAAAGCTAAATCAAATTCAACTTCTCATGATTGGGGCGAGGAATCTGGGGATCAGGCAGAAGGTGGGGATGGCGATTCAGGAAACGGGGGGCAGGGGAAGAATAAAACTGAGACCGTGTCAATGGAATCGAGTTCGACCATATCCAGTTCCTTCTCAGACGCTACACCAACACCCGACGGACTCCTGGCCGTCGCAAACTTCGCTCAAAGTAACGACGATTGTGATGACATAACAGATCCGGTCGTCGACTCATCTGACGACACATGCGATGACGATACCGATCTTACGCATATGAACACTACGGTCCTTGCTGCGAGCGGTACGACAACCGATGGGGATGATTGTGAGGATGACTTGGACGATGGAACAGATGATGGTGACTGTGACGACTCTATCACAACCAATTCGACCTCGACAGGTACGACTGTGCTTTTGGCGGACGACGATGATTGTGACGACAGTATCTCGACCAATTCCACCGTATTGCTCTCGAGTGACGATGAGTGCGACATGGACACTACCGATGATTCCGGTGATACAGATGACGATTGTGATACCGACGACGACGACGGAGATGGTCCCAAAGCTATTGTGAATGCGGCTGTTACTGGAGGTGATGACGGGGACGATTGCGACGATGAGAATGTTACGGTCACTCAAACGGTCACTGTAACTCCTACTCCGTCAAATGGGCAAAATTTAGAGGCTGTGTTGCCCACAAGTTCAGCGAGTAACACAAGTACTATGGAATTCCCTACAGCTGTAGCGGCAGCGGTTGAAAATGCCGCCAACGCCTTACCACGTTCAAGTGCACGGAGGAAGAGACGAGAGGGTAGGACTGTGATTAGAACAAACCAAGATGCGAAAAGACACCATGACCGGATCATGGGTAGGAATAATGGACAGTGGTAATGTGGATATTTTTATGACATAGCGACGTACGTTCAATTTGGAATGTCAGTTTACTATACCCTACATTACTGACGCGACGTGGTTGACAGTATCTCCCCTTCCAACCGTCTCACGATCGGTTCATCTCTGTTTCTAACCGATAGGGTGAGAGTGGAGTTGTCAGATGTATGGGATCTCTCGCTGGAGACAAAAAGTCATTGAATAAGACTCAAACCACCCTCCTTTATGTCTTTCCTCCCGAGTCCGTCCTGCGACGCGTAACAGAAACCTCTCCACAAAGGTTGTCCTTCCACTTTCAAAATAACGGGATTGGCAGGTCATCTCATCTTCTCCAACTCACCGTATTATTAGGTTGATTTCTCACTTAATCCTGTGCTGACATCTTTGACACCATTCCACTGATATCCGCATAACGAACATTCCTCAGTGACACATATATTCCCCTGGTGGGAGAGCTGATATCAGTCGGACAGCTTTCATCGATTGAGAGTGTCAAGAGTCAACCCCTGGTGGGATAGTGGGAAGAATAGACGAGATAATCTGCGAATCTCTGGTTCAAGATGGCAGACGTACTTCCTCAAGTATTCAATAACTCTTCTATCTGTGAGTCTCTATCCACCACGGTGTTATTCTGCGAAACTAATGTTATAGTACCTTCTTCCAGTACGCAATTACCGGATGGAGGGACTATTGAGACTGTCGTATACACCTCCACAGTGACGGTAGGAGATGGAATCGGCGGGTTTGAATTATCCAAGGAGCTGGTATCTTCGACAATCCTTGTACCTGCTTCTTCCTCTTCGGTGTCGGCGGGTGGAACGTGAGTGGCCTTTCTTCTTTCATAAACCCAAAAAGGCACCGGTGTCAGAAGTGATTGACTTAAGAGATTAAAGAAACGAGGACGTGAGATGAAGTGGTATCAGAGTAGGAATCGAGCTGGATGAGAATGGAAAAAGAAGGCGAGGAAATCTACCAGAATGAAAGAGTAGATCGAAACGATGCTGACATGAAAGGTCAAAACCAGCTACTTCGGTTGTAGGAGGTGCAAACCCCAAACCTGCACCATCATCCTCAATCTCATCTTTAACCCCCAGCTCCATGTCTTCTTTAACTTCAAGTTCATCTCAACTTGCTCAACCTTCAGTTATCAACGCCTCTGCTTTCTCTTCCTCCCCTAGTTCAATAGTCTCTTCGGTACCTCTCAGCAGGACATTTCATAATGACCTCATTGTCTCTTCTTCCACTCAATCAACTCATACCACTCAGTCATTCACTACCCAAGCGGCTTTACTTCGCTCTTCTAGTTCTTCCGGATCTAGCTCGTCACGTCCTACTTCATCAAGTCACACCAGTAGTTCCATGTCAAAAGTCCCGAGTGAGTTCTCTAGTAGGTAGTGAGAGTCGGACTGATGTTAGATGCTATCACTTCCACATCGACTGTGACTGTTCCACCAGTGACCAATGTTGATGTATCAGCCTCATCAATCAAGACCTATGTCTCTGGTTCTGTCACTTATTCTGGATCAGCGGCTGTGGCTGCTATAGCTGCCGCAGATGCCATCAACACTGGTGGAACGTCGACGGAGAAGACGGGAGGGTCGAAATTGAGCTCGATCGCTATTGTCGGTGAGTTATTCTCGTTTCAAAGCTTGAAAGAAATAAGGTTGCTTATCAGTCAGGTATCGTACTTGGTGTTTTAGGATTCTTGGTTATTTGTTATTTATCATGGTACAACTGGGTAAGTCAGATTTCAACAATGACTTTCCACTGCATCTCGTTCGTCAATTAGAATGAAAGTTGAGAATCAGAAAAAGAAACGTGACCGAGATGCTCTAGGCGAGGAATTGAACGATGATCACTTTGACGCCGATGGTCAACCCATACAATTTACAGAGAAGATGTCTCATGAGAGACGTGGTTCTTCAGAATCCCGTTCTGGTAAAAGAAGACGTCAAAAGCGTAATGATCGACCAAGTCGTTCAGGTCGTAGAAGATCTAATGGAAATCCTTTCGACGATGGAGATTGGTATGCCGACCCATATGACGATCAACATGAAATCGGACCACCCACTACGACTGGTTTTGACCCGGTATATGACTATCAACAACATCAGCACTTAGACGAAGGAATGATAAACCCTTATGAAGAAGAATATCATCATGAGGATCAAACCCATTATTCTGGATTTGGGGGAGAAAGAACGACATACCCTTCATTATCAGAATATTACGATTCAACACAAAATGATCCATCTCGTTCTCTTGTAACTTCTCAATCGTATTTGGAATCATCACCTTTTGAAGATCCTCGTCCTGCACCACAACCACAGTCATTCCCACGACAACCAGAAAGAGCTCATTCTTTCGTTTCCACCGAACCTAGAAGAACATCTTTGGCTTATGCTGGAACTCGTCCTACGAGCGATACCTTCTCCGAATTGGCACAACCTACTCCAGCGACTGCGGCTTTACTTCCTTGGTTAGGAAAATCTGAACCGGTTCCTCCACCAGTCCCAGCGATACCGATTGCTTCGAGTTCGAATTATGCTGGAGGAGGAGGAGTTCCGCCTCCTCAACCAAGTTTTAAAGGTCCTATGGGAGTGAGACCTGTTGTAGGTGTGAGAGAGAACCAAAGACAAGGACCGGCACCTGTGATGGCTCAGACACCTATGGGAGAGTATGGTTATCCTGATATAATACCAAATTTCAGATGAGGTTGTGGGAATGTATGAATGTATTATCTCAAACATGTTTTAAACTCAATTCCTTTTTTCACTTGTGGTTCAGGCACGACTCCGGTCCATCGTTCAAGGAAAAAGTCATTGACTTCCTTTGTTTTTCTACTTTGTACTGCTCACTCTTTCATACTTTGGTTCAATGCTGGTCTTGTTCGACAGTCGAGTGGTAGAAAGAAGATAACACCAACTACAAAAAAAGTTCTTCCCTCATGGCTGCAGTCGCTCTTACATCTGAAGGTGAGGAAGACGTCACCGCTAAACTCGCACAAGTCCATCTCGACGGTAGCTCCGACGAAGCTCCTGAGGCAGATCAAATAAAAGTAGGAACGAAGAAGAAGAAAAAGAAGAAGAAACCCAAAAATAAAAAACCTGCCGTAAGTTATCCCTCCTCTACATACTTCTTCAACGGTCTAAATGATGAATGGACAAAAGAGACTGATGGGAAGAACAAAATTCCTCCCTTGAGTGAAATTCCTCCCGTTGAACCTACACCTCCTCCCGAAACTCCGCAAGAGACAGCGAAATGGACTGTTTTGTTAAAGAACAATCGAAGGAAATTGACTCTCCCTGCGTTTGGACTGTTAGATGAGACTGTAAGCTTTCCAATTCCTCCGCCTCCGTCTATAGAGTGGGAATGGAAGGCAAAGGAAGGAAATGCTTATGTAACAGAGTAGATCGATTTTAGATACTTTCTTAACTCCTGGATGTAAGAATGTGGAGTTGGAAACACCACGATTGAAGTTACGTCAGGTGCAAAGAGGGGATTTGACGGGAATAAGGAAAATCAAGACTGAGCCTATTGTACAGAAAACGCAACTGTGAGTAGATCTTCGTCTCGTCGAGGATCGAGAATTTCCTCCTCGGAGCCGGGGATAAACTCTATATCAACTCGATCCTTCCTCCCAAGGGTCTTGTTCTCCACGTCATTGTACCTCTCACTTCGAAACTGACAATGTGGTATATGAAGAGCAAAGCTAATTCATACGGGATTGGATCGATGAAGTGGTACTTCGGAATTGGGTTTTTAGTCCACAGAAGTGGATCAGAGCTGAGGGGGAAAGGATTGCTGATTGCAGATACGGAGCTCCCACATTGGGACTCATTCAACCAGCCTTTCAAACTCGTTACATTCGTTCATCCATTCCCTCGAATTACTCAAAGGTCATCTGAGAGGGATACAGAGAAGAATACATATTCGCCATCACAGCTCGTAATCCCGATGAAATCACTTTGAGTTCAGGTGATCAACTCAAAGCTTCCAATCGGATTTCAGATGCGAAAGGTTATTTAGGTGAGTCTTGTCTTCCCTATTTCTCCTCTTATCAGTTCTCTCAATCTCAAACTTGTCTCAGATCTCGGAAACTCTTCAATATCAACATTTCCGCTTTCTTTCCGCATGTCATTCTGACCTATGACTTGAACTGAAGTAACTGAAAGAGGGGAATTAATGGTCTAAAAAGCCGTTGGATGATAAGAGATATTGACGAAGCAGGAAATATAGCTCTTCGTTTGGATCTACATGGAAATCTTTTCCCAATTCCCGGTCAACCCGCTTTACATCCCACGTTTCAACAATGTGACGAAGCAGGATTGACAGGAACCTTGTTTTATGAAATCCATCCTCAACTCTGGGGACAGGGTTTGATGAGGGAGGCATTCCGAGAAGTAGTTCGATTCGCCATGGAAGAAGTGGGTTGTGAGAGTGTTTTGGTATGTCTCTTCATTTTTTCCATTCCATTCCTCACGATTGTGAGACACAACTTGTTTCATCCTTAGTGACTAAACGAGTCAATTTTTAGCACGGTTGACCGTCCCATTTTGTACTAGATACTTCTACTATTGAGATCCAAGCTGACTTCAGTCCGACCCAATGGTAGGTAACGAAGCATCTATCAGACTTTGTCTGGCTATCGGGATGCACCTCATAAAAGAAACCACAGAGAATCCATATGGAAAACATCAATTGGTCCATTCTATCTCTCGAGCGGAGTGGTATCGTCTCAACCGACCGGAACTCAATCTGTCCGAGGTTGGGAAAGGTCATTGGGGCGGAAAGGAGGTTTGTAGATGGTGTTTAAACCCGAGATTATGGAATCCGGTCGTAGGTTGTAAATGCGGTTGGGCGAGGTATTGCTCACGGGAGTGTCAGAGGGCAGACTGGGTCTGGGTCGGGGGACATGGGACGGAGTGTACTAGTAACCAGTAGAAGTATACAAAGTAGATATCTGGCGGTTTGATCCTGTGTAGATGATCAATGCTTGTAACATGGTTCTGGATATGTGTGCATTTCCGACATTTCAATTCCCGGTAGTCTAATTGGGTCACATTTGTCCAAAACTCAGATGATGGTAGGAGACAATTTTCATTGCAGGTCTTTTATGAGGTCGCGCTGGAATTAGCAATGTTTCAAGTGTACAAGCTGTAGACGACATTCAACGCGACGGGGATACTCGAGTGAGCCATGGCCAAGGGTGATACCGTACGCCAATGTCAAGTATGAGCACTCACTAAGATCGGCGCGACCTGTTTCCTGGTTGATTTCGTATTTCTCTGTTGCCAAACCCTCCCTACTCTTCCGTCTCCCTTCTCCAAAAAGTCCTTCACTCCTTGATCGTATACCCCCTGGTGGGTCCCTAGTGTCCCTTTTGAACCTTTTTTACTACCCCAAGCACCAAGATCTAATACCTCACCACTCTCCTCCATCCCCTTCGCGAGTTCCACTATCACTTTTTGTTCCTCCCTCTCTGGTAAACCCTTTCCGGGCCCAACGATCAATAAAATCTCTCGTCTAGACTTATCTTTATCGTCTCTGAACGTGGTGAGTATCCCCAAGATGTTGAGTTGTTTCTCTTCCATGTAATCATCTACAGCAAGGAGAAAAGGTTTCCAACCGTGAGTGTCCCGATCGAGCCAGGTCTCCAGACCCAGAGGTACAGTCGAAAGACCTAGACGAAGAGTGGGATACGTTTTTGCGGACGTGGGAAGAACGTATTCCTTATAATCCCTCAACAGGAGTTCGGGGGTGGACAGATGTGACACATTGAATTTGGCTTGGGTGAGATCGTTAGTCAACTTCGTCAGTGGAATTGGAGGGTTGGTACCGATATTCTCCGGGGTGATATCGGAAGGACCAGTCGAACTAGTGGCGATTCCGGCCAAAGTTTGAGTGACAGGATGAGAGCCAAAAGGTGATGGTGCGGACAGGGAAGTAAGTGGGTAGAGAAAAGCCGCTGATTCATTATCGATCCGAGTGGCTTTACCCCCGGGTCGTAGACCACTCGTATCAATCACCATGGCAGCAAGTAACAAAGTAGCTACTCCCGTGTCCACCAATTTTGCGTCCTGACCCTTGTCATCTGAAATCGAGATGTGATCTTGCCATGGCCGGCGGAAATATTTGATCACGAGACTTGAACAACTGCCCGTGGTAGTGATGAGTCGTTGCGCGCTCGGGTGGTTGCCCTCATCCACGTGGTGGTCAATGATCACATCCACTGCACCAGGTCCAAATTGAGGTAAGAGTGAGTTATGATCCACTAGAACGAAGTGGACCCCTCTTGCGGTTAGGTCGGCAGGAGGGCAAGGGAGTTGGGATGAGTGTAGGAGAACAGAAGGGGAAAGGGAGGCGAGCTGTAGAGCGTGGAGGTTTTCGAGACGAAGAGACATGTGTTCAGGTGCGGTCAGGACAAGAGGGATAGTGGAACGAGAGAAAAAAGTGGACGAGAGGTAGGCGTAGGAAATTGAGGAAGCTAGAGAGTCGAGGTCTGGGCTTAGCGAGGACATTATGTGATGACACTACCGGAGGCGGATGGAGGAGATCATCGAGATGTGTAGTGGAACAGATGATTCAACACAGAGAAGAGTTTGCGATCATATGTGAAGAGTGATGACGAGCAGAGAGAGATACCAAAGAAGTAGAACGAAGACGAGTCTCACTGAGTGAAGGGAAACGTAGAGGAAAAGAGAGCAAGACCCACCACCAGCTTCGTTACCCATGACAACCTGCCATTGATCTCCCTTCCCATCGTCTAGATCTTTCAGAAACTCTCTCCTCTGCTTCGAGAGAAACTTCTCCAGGGTCGAATCATCCTCGACAGTCGAATCGTCCCCAGGAGTACCGGTAACTCCATTCCCGCCGGACTGAATAGCCACAGGTCTCTTTGGATTGTTCATGTTCGTCCCCATGCTCGAATGTGAGGTACCGAGAGGGGGAGAAGTGTTTCGAGAGGGGTCTGCGAACGCTGCAGTCTGTAGTGGACCTGTAGAAGTCGAGGCTGGAGTGGCAAAAACTCTTCCAGTGGAGACGGTGAGATGACCATATACAGATATGACAGGGGGAGGAGGTTGCGAACCGAACTTGAAGAGGGGATATGGGAGGGAAAGAGACCTCACTTGGACACGCTTACCGAGTAGGAAGGACAGGATGAGGGCGAGCGTAAGGAGTAGGAAGAGAATGGAGCGGGAATGACGAAAGTTCAATATCGTGAGAAGAGAGCGTATGGTGTTATGGTGGTTGATGATACGAAGAAGGTGGAGTCGAAAGTCGTTCTTGCGATTGATGCTACGTCATTCTTCTCTTTCTCCCTTGACATGTCATCCCTCCGACGTAAATATATACAACGAGACGGTTCTCCATCGGTCCGCGTGCTGACCAAGTGGATAGTTAAGCCCTCAAGTCTTCTGACTGGTCAACGTCTGCATGGGAAGGGAGGAAAGTCTTCTGATGGGAAATTCAGCAACATGCAGTATAGTTTCTCACAGGCGTCTTCCTCGAGCCTAGAACACAACGTCTGAGTTTTCCTACCACCCTTCTTGATCACCCAGGTGGCAGTTGGGAGATGCAGTGCAGAATAGGATTCCCACACCAGGAAAGATACATATACCCTGTCTGCCCCGTATGTCCCATCATTGCTTCCAAGCCGTACTTATACTTAACATTATTCATGAACCAACAGCCAACTCACTCAATCAACAGAACCGTCCGTCGGGTGCGGCGTTACCATAGCACCTCTGATACCAGATCCTTCATGGTCGGCGACCTTGTGGACGTGGGTCATCAATTCACTTACAAGGCCACCCAGTCAATGACGTCCATCCTGCGGGTTCTCGGCGTGAGTGCGTCAACACTTGCACGCTTTGAGCTGGCAGAAGAACTCAGCACCCAAACTACCAAGGGAGCAGCCCTGATTCTATTGCTAAGTAAGGGATGGTCCTTCCATCCATTGGAGTTTGGATCGGGCACTGGCATCTATTCAAATGGCTCTGAGATTAGAATGTGGTCGAAAGGTCAAGACGTCCTCAGAATGAAGATGACCACTCGGGACCTGGAGGACTCAAAGAGGAGTGTGCATACCAGAGTGACAGTCCCTTTTGAGGTCATTGGCAATTATCCCCCAGGGCAGTGTGAGTGGCTAGTGGCTTGTAATCAGCGACGTGACAGTGACAGATACCGGCATGCTACTTGTAGATGATAGGTACACGTCGGTAGAGGTTCGACGGCCGGACGTAGGAGGAGAAGGGGAACAACAACTTTTGCTTAACCCTGGACCAGACAGGAGGGCCATTTTTTATCCCAGGACTGATTTATGGAATACATTCAGCAGTCATCGATACCAAGTTCATGAACAGCCTCCGCGCTTCCATTTGCTTTTGGATTATATAACTCTCTTCAAGGGACAGGGGCGGATAAGTACCGATCGCTGGATCACCACTGGGCAGGCGCTCGTGATACCTCTGACCCATATGGACGAAGTCGTTGAGGATGACCGGGTTGCACGAGTGTTCCGGCCGGGGGATTGACGGTTGCGGCGATGAGTCAGCCCATCACTACTGCACATGGCCCATTACCCATGACCCAGATATAGAGCAAGTAGTTATATGTATATGAAGTGGAGATGCAGAGATGATTGACGCTTGGCGCTTCATAGCTTCAGCTACCGTACCAAATCTGGGGCAAGTGATGATGGTCAAAATGATCCGATCAGTGGCGATCATCGATTGTGGCGGTCATCGATTGTGGCGGTCATCGAGTGTGGCGGTCATCGAGTGTGGCGGTTTCAACCTTTCAGCTTCGTTGCCTTCTCCGGTAGACAAAGGGTAGAACTCAGCTAGCGGTCTCGAGACTGCTCGGAATGTTCTGCTTACAATCACATCGCCTCACAAATCTCTGTTGCTTGACCGATGCACAACCAGTGGCTATGAACCAGGACGGTGATCAAGAACTGCTGATGACGGCCGCACACGTGCAGCGTTGGGTGAACCCATGGCATATGAGTCAATTCTCAGGCAGCATGCGGGAGTTTGCTCTGACTATGGCTCTGCAAGGACTGAGACTCCTTCTATGGAATACCAAGGACGGGATTGAGATTTTCAGTATCTTTCAGGAACTGTCAAGGTGCCTCACAATCGGTGACGCGAAGACGACGTTGAAACGCATGTCATTGATCAAGCTGCATGAACCGGAAGATCCGACGACCCAGGGGATTAGCTTCCAGACGACAGAGTCTAAGATCTATGTTAGCTTAGGAGAGAAGGGAACTTTATGCTGGGAAACCACTGCCGATGACAGTGAAGGACATGTAGAACACAAGATAAGCTTCTCATGGTGCACTGGAGAATGTGACTGGACATCTTCTAGATCCTTCAAGGATCCATCGGTGAACCATACGGTACAAACGATTCAAAGCCAAGGATATGTCCTAGAACAAAGGTGCAATGTGTCTGACAATAAACTCAGACTCGTGTATAATAATGTTAGGTTGTTTGAAAGTGTTCGATGCTGAAGACCATCGATCACTTTGCGAATGACATTTCTCTCCGATCTGAAGTACGACATTCCACTAACTTGCCTTGATGAGAATATCCAGGATACAACCCAGTTGATCCACCTAATACAACTGGGTGAGGAAAGACGCTAAAGGAGTTCAAGCTAAAACCAGCCAAAGGAGGATTGAGTTTGAGAATCATTCATCTGAATAGTGAACACTATGCACCCGTGTGATGCTCCTCAGAGACGTTTCATTCTTGATTATGGAACACCCTAACACGATGAAACACCTCTCGTAACTGTTGTCGTACAGTCCTCTTTCCGATTTTGATGTTACAGGTCGCAGGTACATCATAGTCGTCGTAGGGATTCATGATCGCCGAACCGACTACACTATGACTAGTCCGGATATGGAAGACCTCCAGGCCTTCACGTATCTCCATCTCTTCCCACCCTCCTTTTTCCGCGCTTCACCTATGACATATATGATTGGGACAATGGTTTGGCACTGCATTACTATTCAGTATTCACATACTCTCAACCCTTTACAAGCTATAAGTAGTATTGTCTCAGGACATGTTTTCCACCACCACCACCACCACCACCATCACCACCACCATCATCATCATACACTTCTATTGCCCACTTATACAAGATGACTGACCGAGAAACAATATCGGAAGAGCACCCATTAACAGTTGAGAACATACTCCGGACGCTGTTCCCCACCCAATCAGACGACCCCATCTTGAACAGTATGCAGACAACCTCCTTGGTCACTGCCCTATCAGGAATGAGAAAACCGCAGTACGAATCCATGATCCAGGATGAGGACACAAGGAGGTTGATCGGAGTTACATTTGAACTTGGAACACGTGCTGGTGTTGCTGAAGTGGAGAACATCTTCAGGAAAGGGTTAAATTTGGATGCTAGGGATCCACCAGGTGTCCAGGAAATAGGAGTCAGAGAGGAGGGTGTCTGGAGGATGGGGACTCAAGTTGGTGTTGTTTATCAGGGCCACCAAGGGACTTGGGAGTTGCTCTCCATCCAGAGGTCTGACAAGCCCTCACGGGAGGCAGATAGAACTAAGATAGAAGTTGATCTGAAGGACGGAAAATGTACCGTTACTTCCTACCTGAGCCCATAGCACGGCAATCGGACAGAGGTAAATACACCCTGGCGATGGAGGTTCTGCGCCCCGACAAGTGGATCCCTAGAATCACCCTATCCGGTGAGAACAGCAAGGGGGAGAAGACAAAACTTTTTGAAGCTCAGCGTGGTGCAAGTGTGCATCGGGGGAATGTGACTGTAGGCTTGACACTAGTCACGCCTCAAGGAGAGTACTGGATGCGACTACCAACCATTCTGGCAGATAACAGGGAGCAAAAGTTGCCGTTCACCCGTTTGGGTGACACCCACTGGTGACTAGCATAGCTTGAGGTATTAGTACAAGCAGGTATGAAATGCATGATGTATCACCTGGGTGGCCGTAATACCAAACAAGTTGTGTATCTGGACGGTCATCTCGGTGAAGACCTCCGGTGATCTGTGAGGGAATCCGGCTAAGCGCCTATCTTTGACTACCCACATCCTACTGATTGATTCGTGTACAAATTGCAGAAGGAGTACCATCCTTGTAAGATCGTCATTCTTTCCACTAGTCGAGTTGACAGATCCGAAATCCAATTACACCTCGCGACCATCAGTTCCATCGATTACAACCATTCGTGAATGGCACCAACCGGCCAAATCCGTGCGTCCTTGACGATCGGACGACCGGGTTGTCGACATGATGCTCCGGATCATCGTAACTTCGACGTCTCCAAACGACCGAGTATCGCCACCATCCGTGGGAAGAGAAAGGTCTGAAGTTGACAAAACCGTGGGAAAAGAGAGTAGAACTCGAAGAAGACCTCTTTTCAGAAAATTTCAAGACAATGGCTAGATCATAGCTTTCTCACCTTCCCTTTGTCCGCATTCAGAGGGCTTCTTTCCCTGGACAATGGTGATACACAGCATAGGATTTGAGAATTGACAGATTCTCACCTACTGTAGTTTACAAAAGACAGGTCAGGACAGGCCAGACTTCCTCACATTGATTATTTTAGACACATCATGAACCAAGAACAGGCACTCGTGCAGGTTCCCTTCTCAACCAGCGATCTGGACAAGGCACTAGTGCGTGGGCATAATGAAGACTCCCAACTGAGTCGTATAGCAGCAGCCACAATTGGAACGGTTGAAAATGGAGGTCCTGGTCATAACATTCTCTCCGTAGAGGCCATCCCATGGTTTGCAGCTATTGAACTTGCACACTGCTTCACCCGGGATGATGTCAAAAAGGTCATGAGAGAGCAACTATTCCCTGCCGGCATCTCTTGCGACTTAGGAGCTGGTTACATGGAAACGGTTAACGGTTCAGGCATGAATGGGCACTTGAGATGGGAGGACGTTGGTCCTCAACCGGCTACGGACATCAGAGTCTCCTGGCAAGCCAAAATGTTCTTTTGGAGGAGCCAGAAAGAGCCAGAGGATAAGTACACTTTTCAGATCATACGGCCTGGAGATTTGTTGACACATGTCGAAACAAGCAAAGGGCAACAGACACAACTGTTTGCCACCCAAAAGCAATTTAGACCGTCTTATGCGACGTATGAACTTGCACGGGAATTTCCAAAGACTTTGTTGTTCAGCTGCACCCGTGATTGGGAAGAGTCCGGCAACTTGTCAGAGGAGGTACCACTGGGGACAGACCCTGCAACGCTACTTGAAGACGTCCATAGTATTGGAAAACACTCTGTTGAACGTACTAAAGCCTAGTCTTGGTCAGAAGAAAGTCAGTTGTTCTATCTTGCACAGCTACGGCACTTTTTAGCCTGCCCCGGCTTGCAATCAGGAGGCATAAGGAATCATTGAGAGAATAGGAATCATTGAAGGCATAGATGAGATGCATGAGGAATCGGCGAGCGTCATGAGCACCTCGACGCTTTCCCCGAACTAACCTCGATGAATTTGCCGGACCATCATTCAATGTGAGAGAGACAATATGTTGATAAAGTGATACATATTCATTCCTGAAACCAACCATGCAGAATCATTATGCTCGTTTTATCATACCAGATAAGCCCACCACATAACAACATAAAACCATACTCGTATCATCCATCAACTCCTCGTTATTGATCCTGCCATTCTTTTCGCCTTTTCCCCCGTGGATCTGATCCCAGTCAAAACCATCCTTCCTCCTTGTCTCGCCGCTGCTCTTCCGAATGATAACAGATCGAACGCTCTTGGAGTCGGTGTGAACCTAGCTAAACTTTGAGTGAGAGGTGACATCGGAGGTGAACTTGGTGATTCCACCAAAGCTGCTAAACGTAGAGAACGTAACGCTCGAAGTCTATGTCCGGTAGGAGAAGGAGTACCGAGTGATTCGATCGTATCGTTTGTTGTCATTTCATATTCTTTAGTTGAAGGTGAAGATGTACGACGTTTGAGTACGACAGGAAGTAATGTGAGACAAGTGAGAATGACGAGTTTACCAATGAGCATAGGATCACGTAGTAGAGCTGTTAAAGATTCTCCTTGTCCATCGAATTCTGTTCCTGTTCCTGAAGTTGGTATGTTGAGACGGGATAGGATGTTACCGACTGAAGCGGTAACGTAAGACCAACTTGCTGATCCCGCAGCCGTAGTAAGCCAGAAAACTTTCCAATCTACTCCCACTACTCCGCAGGCGACATTCATCCCTGACCAAGGTACGAAACCCATGGCTCGCATGATCAAAAGTCGACGCCAGACGTTGGGTTTGGCTTCAACTCCACCCATGGGTGATACGGAAGGGTCGGAAGATACTTGGATAGGTGTGATAGTGTCGGTCTCGATAGCGGAAGAAGGAGGAGAAGGGATGGATTCAGGAGCGAGAGCGGCTCGGACAAGTGCGAGTGGTTTAGGGAATAAGACAGCGATCAAGGGTGCCAAAGGTCGAGACAGGAGATAGGAACCAAGAGATCCAGAGGCGGTGATTATGGTGAGGAGGAATAAAGCAGGGAATGGTTCGAGAACGGAGCCGACAAGAATGTTGAGTATCACTGCGCCAGGGACGGACCAGGCATGTTTCCAACATCCGACAAAGGTCAAAACAGCGACAGTGTGCCAATATCCAATATCCGAGGAGGTCATGTAGGCGCGTATCTCAGCGGACAGGAGTTGCAAGTCCGTCGTGGATGATGGAAGGTGTTTCAGCTGGGTTCTGATAGTCAGCGACATTCAAAAATCAGATTCAAAGAACTTACATTGGCATCCCCCGAATCATCCATAAGGCCAGAGCTGCAGTGATAAAGAACATCCCAACCAGGATCCCCACAGTCCAACCTAGCTCTCGTAAAACCTCTCCCGTCTTGCCACTGCTTGTCCCTCTGGTGAACCATGCTCCGAGGACAGAACGAAGCCAGCCCGCTTCTCCATTCTCAACTTTGTCACGAGACCACCGCATCTTCCTCTTTTTACTATCTCCTCTCGAGAGACTTCGGGCAGATAACGCTGGAGTGGGCAAACTGGCTTCTGACAATCCACCGGCGGTTCGCAAAGCCGTGCCAAAATCGATGTCATTGCGACCATCCTTTTCTTCCGGTGGCGTGGGAGGTAATGAAAAATAGCTGGCTTCGTCATCAGAATGATCCGCTTCGTTTGAACCCCAAAGACCCCAGTATTTGCCGGGACGACGTAGAGAATCCTCCGAAGTTCGTGTGGTTGACAATGTGGAATCGACAGTACCATCCTCTTCCGATCCATCGAGACCTTTCTCTGAGTCGATATCCCCATCTGAGCCTCTGCGATGGGGCACGGCCCGATATTGCGGTGGCCGGAAGAAGGTGGCGATCTTCATGACTGTCTTCTCTCCGATATTGTAGGCCCCGCTCAGTACGGAGGGGGACGTATCCATACTAGTCGCCGAAGAGAGTGAAGGAGGGAGGTTTCGAGGATCGACCGAATCGGGAGAAGCAGGAGTTACGTAGATGTCCGTCCAGGTAGGGACAGATGTCATCGCTGTCGCTATCGGCGAAAGTGTTCTCACGGGTGAGATTGTAGGATGGGGGAGTTGATCAGGGACCACAATGCTGGTAGAAGTGGATCGAGCTCTACTCTTAACTTCCTTCAAACCCAATGATTGATCATCTCCGTCCTCTTCGTCGGAATCAATGGGAAATTTGACACCGAGATGTGGTGTAGATGTCCGTCTCTTGACTCCTTGTCCTGCAGAGGAGTTGTCAGACGGTAACGTCAACCTTAGTGACAGCTCGGGATGAATGGTTTTTGTGCGTTTATTCGGGACCGTCATGGATGGTCGTCCGCTAGATACGGATTTACTTGCTTTGCGTCCTTTTGGTCTACCAGGGCTGGATGAGGAGAGTCTCGATGGTCCTGCCGGGTTTTCTTCGAGAGACCTTGAGATGGAGTCACCGTTCGAAGGGTTTTGTCGAGGTAGAGGGACAGAAGTCACTTGCATATCTTCGAAAGGGTGATCGATGGCAGGCATGAAGGATACAGTAGAAGTTCGACTCCGTAATCTTGGGAGAACAGGTGGAGGGGCTAGAGGGAAAGTGGAAGAACGAGGCGAGTTTCGAGGAGACGGATTAGGGCTGTGTGGGGATCATTTTGTTGCGACATACATGGCGGGTTACCGGCGAGGAGTTCGAAAGAGTCGTAAATGGAGTAGAGTCGAAGGAAAAGTCCGAATACAGCCAGTGATTTCCAAGCAAGTGTTTGATGAGGTTGATGAGGGATGTCGAAGATGTTGATGGTGGAAAGAGAAAGAGAACGAGGGCAGGGGGAAAGAGAGAGAAGGAAGTGAATGGGTGGTAGAGATTGTGAACAAAGGATCAATTATCAGCTTTCCACTCTCATTCCCTCTTGGCAAATTCCACAAAATTCAGGATTCTCTCCGTCGGTGTCAACTTCGGCGTCTCGGGCACGACAAACACCTCTGATCGATTTGTAGGGCAAGTGAGTAGATAAGGATAAAATGAGATGAAGTCAAGAGTACAAAAACTCACACATTCAATCCCGTGAACGACGTATCCACCTGCATCCTTGCGATTATCTCCTTACTTTCTGGTCGGGATGTATGAAAGGGGTAGCTTGAACCCTGATTGCTCGTAGATCGCTGGAAGAGAGAGAGTGAGTGAGAGAGGGAGGGATGAAGGTGATGACCGAGGGGCAGAATCAAAGGTGGTGTGGAAAAGGACAACGTGGACTGTGCCGATGAAGCTCGGTCAAGGGAATCCGTAAGTTGCGCCGAGCCCGGCCGCCGTGGCGTTTCCTCGATCTCTTTTCTTAACGGCTCTTTTGGAGATCTTTCTAGTCGTTGATGATTACGTGTTGGGTTGGCTGGTCCGACATGAGCTGATATGTACTTGTCTGAAGAGGTGATAAGAGACCGAGTGCGGAGAAGGGTGGTCAGATGAGCGCTCGGGGACTCCGTCGGCCGTCGGAAGTTGGGACCGCATACGGCAAAATTTGAGTATGACTAATGTGGCGGATGTTGGATGGGGCTCCCAACATGGTATGTTTCCGGCACCATCCACAACATTGACCGCCGTCTTCTCCTCTTTCCTATTCCACCTTCACCTATGCAAGCTGTCTTGATACCTATTGGAGAGAGTAGTCTTATCCACCCAGTCAGAAAAGACAGCGAAGAGCATGTAGGGACAGAGAGGGAAGACGGGACAAAAACCACGTCTCATATCTCTGGCATCATCAAGTGAAAGACAATTAACTGAACTCCAAGAAGCGGTGAGTACTAGTACGATGCAAATGGAAGACGACGTAAACGTGATGAATGCATTTTCAAAACTTCATGCCCACTAAAGGGATACAACCATCAACCCAAGCTCCCATCGAGAAAAACCCTAATGCTAGCAATATAAAACTCCATTTTGACCTCGCTACATCCTTCATGCACATGCTAATGATACTGCTTCGTTTCCATTGTTCCAAAGACTCGTGTAAAGAAAAAAAGACAAGATCGAACTGATCGATCACTTGAAATAAAATAAACCCGCTTTTGTCGTGTTGACCTTCGGACTGAGACCTTTCGGTAATGGATACGTCATGACCTCTCTCTTCCATGTGAAAGACCCTTTAGGCGCGCTCCCTGAACTGTTCATTTCTCCCCCCACCTTGTTCGAGATCGGGATCGGGACGCCCTTGGCAGGAGATCCAATGTCTAGACCGCCGATATCGGGCATGGCAGTCACCGCTCGGGGTAAAGCTGGTCGGGCGGGAGGTAGCATGAGACCGACGCCCCGATCTCTAGGCGTATCACAACTCGTCCCCATCACATTGGACAATGTGGGAGTCGTCAGGGGTATGCTGCGGGGGATGGCGAATCCGATGCGGGAGGATGATCGACGTGAGTCGTCCGAAGAGGTTGACCGAACGCTGACGTTGGATAAAGATGATGATCGGGCGTCTCGCCGTTCAGTTTGGCTGTATTTGACTTGCCATCGACCATCACGAACTTCGAGGGACTGACGTGGTGTGGTATCGTATACTACGGGAGCTGATTGGTCGGCCGGACTACCGATAGGAATAGGCACAGCGGCGCTGGCTCTTCGAGCGTTTTGAACGCGAGAGGCTTGCTTGCCAAAGGCATCCCAGGAGACATCTCGACCCTTTTTGGCTCGGATGGTACCAGACGCCGGACGAGATAGTCCAGAGTTGATGCTATCCCGTCGTGGACTGGTGGGGGAAACGGGAGTGTTGTCCGGAGGGTAGACGAAACCTTTATGTGCGTAGCTAGAAGAGATACCAGAGGGATGACGGACGGGGAATGCATTGGCGTAGGATCCTAGCAGATGAAGAGTGTGACGACCGTCGATGCCAAGACCAGGCGGAAGATCTACGAAAGGAGCTGGCGGAGATGCAGTGAGGGAGGTTTGTGAAAGACTTGATCGAGGAAGTGGACGGGACTGATTTGGTCCTGCTTGATCGTGATCACTGCTGACCGAAATCGAACGTCTTCCTGCACCGAAGTGGCTGCGATCGCTTTCTGGAGACACAATATTCCGTAGAGCACCACCGCCGCTGATGGATCGAGCCAAGAAGAGATCATGGTCTTGCCACATGCTACTGAGACTGTCTGAACTTGTTTCACCTGTGTAATGACTTTGATGACTCTGTTGTCTCGTCATGGCATATAACCGGTAGGTCGAATTATGCATTGATCCTCGACGCTGACGCTGATTCTCCATCCAAGCTTCTTCCGGTGTTTGCCTTGGTATTCGAAAGTACTCTGGGGCAGTGGGGGCGGATGACGCGGCGATGGCTTCGGGGTTGGATCGGTCGGATGACTCAGTATCGCTACCGCTAACACAGAGCGGTGACGGTGGACCGAGGTTGACATGATCAGTGACAATGTGTGTGTGTATTGGGTCGGGAGTAAAACCGAAAGTGGAACCTATTGGAGAGCCAAAGTCGTACGAAAGATTACGAGCCAATTGGTCGAATTTGGCATCCTGTCGACCAGCATCTGCTGCGGCACATTCTCTGCAGCAGTAGATGGAAGATCTGAAGGGAGGTTCTTTTGCTGGAGTGGGTGGACATGATCGTGACTCGTATTTGTTGGAGGCGAGACTGTCGGATGTCTTTGTACGAGGAAGGGGATTTTGTAACTTGGCAGCGCTGTTGTTGGCTGCAACAGCAGCCAGTCGACCTTGCGAAGTCTGGTTACGTTTCAAAACGGGACGTGTTACTTTCTGCCCATTTGCAGTTCGCGTCGTCGTCGTACCATCGGGATTTCTAATCTGCTTGGTCAGCATTCATGTCAAGTGACCACTGTCAAAGTTGTGATGTTTACTCACTCGAATGGTCCCCTGAGCCTTTTTCTTCTTCTTTGCAGCTCCGTTGGCCCCTGGACTCCCTTCCTTTTCCTTTATAGGAACGATGATCTTGTCGCAAACAATGCAATAAGAGTGAAAACTCATGTCGTCGTCGAAGATGCTGACAGATTGGACTGGGCGAGTGAGGAGTGGTGCTGATGTCGGGGCAGGTGAAGAGGGAGGAGAGATGAAAACAGTCGACATGATGGGGGTAAGTGTCAATAACTTGTTGTGGGGTGAAGATGGGGTAAAGGGATCAAGGGTTGTGGGGGAGAGACACAGCCGGGGCGAGACCGCCCTCGCTTAATAAGGGGGCCGGTGTGACGTGATGATTGATTTGATGATGAGTAGGTCTGGGGTAATTTCTAAAACCGCATCAGCTTGTTCTGGCCATTCGATCCGATGCGATCTTGACGAGAGATGATATTGAATCTGTGAAGATAAGGAAGTTCATGATTGTTATGTATAGCCGAAGAAGTGGGACGGATATTGGGAAAGAGAAGATTTGAACTCACTCGTCACTCAGACACCGAAGTGGAGCTTGAGACAACACAAACAGATTGTCCTTGTGGTTTGTCGTCAAGTCGTCGTAAAGATCCAGTACAGATTACCCCACGGAATATGCGATGATTATAATACTGAAACGTGTCAATAACCGGACGCGGAACAAAAGTGCGGCGGTGTCTCACTCTCTTTTATGAGATTCAAGTCGTGAGAGAAAGTACAAACGCGTGTGGTAAAGGTGCAAGGGGTGCTTGTGGTCACTCGTATGTTCAAGGAGCTCGGTCGTGACTGTTCGGCGAAGGTGACAAAGGATCCAAGTTCTAGACCATTACCTATTGACGCGGGGTTGTGGGCGCGACCTCAAGGGGGGTGAGAGAAGGGAGTCAAACTCCCTTTGACCGTGTCGGATCCTCGGCTCCACGGTCAGAAGTAGAAAGCTATAACCTATAGCGGTGTATAATGTTTTGGAGGAAAAGGACGGATATGTCTTTTCGGCGGCAAAAAGGTCGAGTGGTTCCGCATTCAAATGGACGAGTTGCGGTTATTATATTATTGGGTAAAAAGAGTTATGTGATCGGACTTGGATATCGACCGAAATGATATGGGTTCTTATACAACGTGTTTGATGTGATGAATGGTCTCAAGTGGGAATTGGGAATTATTAGATTGTGGAGAGATGATCAGCAAGGGAGGGGAAGAATAGAGTCTACAAGTAGAGTCAGAAATGTTGTGTGATGTGGGGTTTCGGGTGGGGACGAGTCGTGCTTTCGAGTGAGAAGAATTCTCGATGACGTTTCGGGCGAATTCGGGTTGGGGATTGATTTACCCGGCTACAGAGGCGATCCTCCGCGGTCGATCCGCACAAGAGTTAAATTGCGCAGTCCAACCTTTGGAAGATCTTGCTGCTTAAAGGTGTACGGCGTCTTGTCCTAGCGTGGATTAGAAGACGTATGTACGACAAAGTATTAATGACAGATGTTCAAAGAGGTCAAAAGAAAGGTGGAGCAAGAACATGTAACATGATCTTCGACATGGACAAAACTGTTAAAACGAATTATACCGGTCGTTCGGCGGCGACATTCCGGTCGGTAGCCTCCTCCTTGTTGCTTGTTCTCTCCATGTTTCCTCCGGCCTCACAGCCACACGTTACGACTCCTTTCTTACTTATTTCAGCGTTTCATGCATCGCGTTCATCTTTCGCCATGAACGGCGAAGGTATCGGCATCGCACCACTTTGTGTCAAAGGTCTAGGCCCTTGAGATCGCATTCTGACGATCTGCGGCTCTCATGCCCTGACCCCTTTTACACCCCTGAACCAACCTGTGGGCCCTCTGGTCTATTGGGGACAAAGGGAAAGAAAGGCACCGGGGTCAAACGCGCCACATGTCTGGCCAGACCCAGAGTTCAGAGACGCTTAAACGTGCGGCTTTTTACAGTACAGATGGAGTGATGGAGAAGGAGATGACATTCCGAAGACCGGAGCAATACTTGAACCCGGGAAATCCGCGAAGAAGATGGAGATCAGGAGGAAAGCCGGCGGTAGAAAAGAGATGCCATCAAGTCAATTAGTCAATTAGTGAGATGCCTCACGGCTGAATACCGACTTCGGTTTTCTTCGGTCTATATAGCCTGCAGCTACTCGTACGGGGTATGGTGGGAGGAATGGGAAACGGAACGAAGCTGGTCTTTGTGATTTCCCTCAAGCATTCCGTTTGGTGGATAGCGAGTCTTCAAAGTGCTGACGAGTACTGAAAGCATCAAGAGTGATAGCGTCTTTGAAGCCGACTGGAGCGAACACGAGTATGGGATGATGATCTCCGCGGTCATATCGGACGAAAGTGACCTGCAGGATTCAGTGAGATGGAAGAACAAATTCGGTGATCGGCGAGTATCACCCAGCACTCTCAGAAACTCAAGATATTGAATATGCATAACGACTAATCTCACTACTCGTACTCAACGCAGATGCAAATTATGCCAATTGAATGACTGTATAGATCATAAACCGAGAAAGTGCGTGATGGATGTCAAAATGATCCATACCCCTTCAACCCGGCTCAAGAGGTCGCACTACAATCCTACATTTGCATCCACAACCAGCAGGACATAAAGTCATTGTGATTTCCCCTGATCCAGATTTACCCTCAGAACTACGAGTAGTGGTAGTAGCCGTGGTGGTGACAGATACAGACAATGTGACACGAGAACCGGAAGGTTGGTCGTCAGGAGTGAAACGTTGGGTGCCGAGTTGTGGGAAGGAAACTGGAGGTGCTTTAGGTTGAGGTTGTGATTCAGCTTTGACTGTTTGTCAGACATCATCACTGAAATTGATTAATGAGTATCATTCCTTCTACAAGACATGTATCACATTTATCTCCCAATGTTGTCAGATACCGTAAACGTGTGAGGATTTTATCCGATAATGTGAGAAGGGAGAGACGAGTCGAGACAAGGCGACTCACGATAATATCGCCTCATACAACTTTGATGTCCACCATGATGACACTTATTACAACCCAATCGTAATCCCTTGACTGATTCGTGACTATTTATCAACTTTCCCTCACAACACCCCAGATGGACCATCACATTATAGTGACAGGCGATCTCGAAAAAACGTGATGAGAGTATATGAACGTAAGAACTCACCACACTGCACAATGTTGTGCTGCAAGCTTACATCTCTTACACCACCAGAACTTCTTCCCTTTCACATCTATATCTTCAAGCGAGCCAGTAGGTCTTTGACAACGTTGACAGAAGAGGATATGAGTCATCCCCTCGTCGAAGGGCGTGACGTGGAGAGTGTCAAAACCCGCATATTGGCGGATGTAGGAGGCGGGAAGGAAAAGTTTGTATCGTTCCAGAAGGTCTCAAAGGTCAGCATCGTTCGATTTATATCGTGAGATCTACTCACCGACATACGCATGGACGAGACGTTCACATTGTTGACGAGGAAAGTCGACCGCACACGAGCCAACGATGAAGATGGTCGTGGCTAGTTGAATGTCTCCCTATCGAGTCAGTCCTCTGTCCTATCATACCACTCCCGCTGGCTGGTCCTTCACGGCTGTCTAATTCTACGAAAGGGTCTGTCCTTGGAGATACAGTAGTTCTTAAAAGATGTAAGAGTACAGATGATGATAACGATTTACACTCACATGATCCACATGAGATAACCACCACTCGACCAAAGTAGCACATCTTTTTTCCCGGTACTTGTCCCATACATGGTCTTCCTCTTTCTCATTCTCTTTCGCCATAGGAACCATCCTCACCTCTTTCCTCCTTTCCTGACTACCTCCTTTATGAGAAGACGTCACCAAGGATGGTCTGGAGACACCTCTCATCTGGGCACTTCTCAGATTTTGCGTTTCAGAACGTAGAGTCGGAGTAGCCTGCGAACTAGCTCCTCTGGATGGGGCAGCGGGGAGAATACCATAAGGATCCGGATAATCATTCAAGATTCTACTCATACTCATTGGCTGAGGTTTCGGACTCGGTGTGTCATCGTCTGAGGGTGGTGATATATCTTTGGGATGATTGTTCATTTGTGCAAGTAAAGAGCCGGGACGAGTGGAATCCCTGATCTGTGAGGAGGTCAGGACGGATGTGGAGGAATATTGAGAGAGTTCGGGAGGCAAGAAGTTGATGAATCTGTTTGTCGAGTGTGATCTCGAAACAGCGGAGGAAGAGTCGCTGGAGGAAGAGGGAGATGAGCTGAGCATCTCTTCGACTGCTTCTTGGGACTGATCGGCCTCCTCGATTCTCTCCAACGTGATCGTGATGGGTGACGCTGGTGAAAGTGGAAGAGTGCCCAAAGTATCCTTTAAGGATAAATTATTCAATTTTCTTCTTGGAGAAGCATCCGGAGTCAACGGTGATGGTCCGCCGCGGAGAGAGTTTGTGAATATGGCTTCGTTGAAGATTTGACCATCAGATGAGGGAGAAAACTCTTCGATAAGGTTTTGGAGGAATGCCCAGAGTCCAGCATCGGCTTCATGTCCGCAATATTGGGCAACCTGTCCATTAGCGATTGAATCGTCAATGATTAGACGCGGAAGCGCACTTGACGATTCCAATCGCATAAATTTTCAGGAGCATCGCCTTCCACTTTATATTGATATGCCATGTACTCGAAAGCCATTTCATCCGTCCCAATATCCCGTAATGTGCCTGCAGCTTGAAGAGGTTCGTAAGGTGCGCTGGAAATACTTTTGTTGCTTTGTCCAACCTTGTCCAAGTGATTGAAATAACCGGGTCTCCTATGATTGATCAGTCGTGAATGGACGATAGGATGAGTGACGTACAAATCATCAAAGGGTATCTCTCCTTGTCTGAACTGATCAACGGCATACGCCAAATCTCCTCTCGGGCTCCACGCCATCACCTGCCTTGCTACTTGTTCAAGAGGGACAGCCTTCTCCGCTAGGTTGCACTGCGCAAAACCTCCAGCTTGAAAGCAAGCAACAAACGTACCGTCATCAGCCCATGCGGCGTCGACGGCATTACCAGCGGCAGAAGGAATCGCATATTTGGCAACGTAGTGTCTTCTCACGTCCCAGATCTCAAAATGACCGTCATCGTCGGAAGTGAAAAGATCCAGTGATCCGGGAGTGGGAGTCGAGGTACCAAAAGGTTGATTGAGAGGAAGGACTAGAAGTTCAGTTTCGTGTTCAGGTCTCCAAGCGACTCTACGGAGAGCATGTGGCGTGCGTAGGGTGTGAAGTGGTGAGGTAGATCGGTCCCAAGAACCGGACATGTCCCATATCTGACATCAGCAAAGGTGATCACTCCTAACGCTAAGCCCTGAGTTGTTGTCTGATGACTATAATCCCTCTGAGCAACAGAAGCAACAGATGATAGGTCGATCGGGCCTACCTGAACAGTTCGATCCGCCCCGGCACTGGCTAACCAGCCTTTTGATCCCTCACCCCCAGTCTTCCACTTGAGATCCAAAACGGGTTTACTCCCATGCGCCCCAAGCACGCGACTGAACCGATGAGTCGCCCGAAGATCGTATCTATGTATTCCGCCATTGTCCAAACCGACGACAAAATGATTCGAATTATCGGGACACAGTGCGAGGGAAGTGACAGAAACGCTATGCTTGAAGTGTTTACGATGTACTGGATTTCTGTCTCTCAAATCCTAGCACGTCAGCTCAGTTCGAAGGCCGAAGGGTTATTGCTCACCCAAAGCTTGACAAGACCTTCTGTACTACCTGTCAAAAGTAAATGAGCCTGAGCGGGATGTTTGCATACTTTGATACAGTTCATGGCTCGTAAATGCCCAGCGTTGACTTCCCTGTCTGAACCGTCAACATCGTCTTTGCATTTCACCTTGCCAATGATTAGGATACTCACCAAGTTTGCCTCTGACCGAGTCGAAGATGAAGAAATTTCCACAAGGAGAAGAAGTAACGATCTTGTTATCAAATCCTGATATAAGTATTGATCTCTTCGCATCGTATGAGACTGACCAGCAACGCCCCAATCTACATCCGTGACACCTTTACTGACTGACCAAGAGCTCTCCCAAAGATTGGCCATCTCGTGTACTGTCGCTCCACCTGGTCCTCGGCCGAGGAGAGAGCCATATTTGGAGTCGTTGTATGGGTTCAAGTGAGGGGTATAGTCGCCGACACCTGGAAGGCCCTCACTAGCCACTTTCAGGATTCTGAGATCTGAGAATTAGCATGTGTCGCTAAAGTTGAGGATCTCAAAGCAATCCTGGTCTCAGGTCAGTCGTCCAAACAAGGCCAATAGGACAGCTGAATCGCGAGTTGTTGCTTACCCAGCCAATTGTCAAACGGAGAATGTTAGGATATATGAGGGGAGAGTCGTTGCAAAATAGATGAAAGAAGTGAACCACTCACATTGTCCACCACCTACTGCGTACAATCCATCCGAACCACTTGCCATAGCAGTCAATCTTCCCGCTCCAGCACTGGGACTCACTCCCCATCCTCTCTTCCATCCAGCACTAACCAACAGATTGACTCTCACACTCTTATCTCTCTCAACGTCTCTCTCCCCTTTGACAGTAGGCGCGGGACTGTTGGTCCGTGTGACATCCCAATCTGTTATTCTCCGCTGAGGTACTGGTCTTCCAGGTTGAAGAAAGACATTTTTGGGAGGGATCTGGGAAGTGTAAGTATCGATTGGGGGATCATGAGGTGAACGAGGATCATCGTAGATATCTCTTCGGCGGGCAGGAGGGAGTTGAGAGGGAGTATCGGTGGAAGTGTCAAGTCGAGGAGAGGGAGCTGTGGAGAAGGATAGAATTCTAATGATCAATATATATGACTGCTTAATCTCACTTGAGCCTTGTTGACTAATATCGGGAAAGGGGCTAAGCGGACGCACGAATTGAAAGCTTCAGCCAACTTGTTCATGGCTCCTTAACTGACTTGTTCCTCCTGACATCAACTCATTTTGACCTCACCGACTTTTGACCGACTCGCTCTATCGCCACTCCGCTGCCGAGTGTGGGTACATGTGCAGAGGGTTTGTTTAAATTCAGCAGTGACTTGTCAATCAGTCAAGCTCTTCGACCTGGAGTAAGTCAGTTGCGAGTTGAGTACAGGGAACATGGGAACAGGGAGAGCAGCGATGGGGGCTCCGGACCGAATACCTCGGGATAAACTGAAACAACTCAAATAAAATAAATACCATCCTGCCTTCACAGCCATGACGAGCGACGGTGTACTGATCAGTGAACACTTCAACATTGTGAACCGTCATGCTGAACATCCGTCCAGTAGTCTCTGCTCCTCTGGGTGAGATACAGCTGAATTCATCTTTGCCCCGTAAGCTGATAGATAGCGGGGTGCTGTACCATCTTCTCCGTCTTCGGGGTGATCATCCTCCTCGGTGAGTCTCTCATCTCCGTTCTACTAAGTGTCCTCAATCTTCTACCCGTACCTTGACCCCTATCAACGAATGAAATGTTGAAGATAATGGAAGGGTTTTGAAATGTTGAACTGACTATCTTCAACGGCTTGTTCATACGAGTACCAGGAGACAAAATGGCTCTGCAACATGTAGAATGTCTTGATCTTGAAGATCATCGAGGTGGTCAAATGAATGGTAGGAAGTGAAACTGACTTTATAGCATTCGGTTCTTTCTATTCTCACCATGCTGAAGCTCTTACTGCGTCCACAGAAGATCCACGAGATCCAGATTCGGTAGCTAGAACGTGTTATGCTGCTGCTGTCATTTACGCTGTTTTCGTCGGTTTCTGTGGTCTTCAAGTAGGTCACTTCTTCTCTTCACATTTACAGCTGTTGCTTGTCATCATCCACCAAGATTATTTGCTGGTGCTATTACTTCTCCACGGTCCTGGTGCATGGCGCAAGGTCTGGTACATATGGCCCAGCGAGAGGGAGGTTGAATACTACTAATAATCAGATGTTCGTACATCATCGATATCCTCGCGGAGTACAATTATAACACCGTTGATTCCATGTAGCATTTATCCTTCTCTCCCTTTTCACTTTCAAACTCTGATCAGATCGTCTCTGAATCGCAGCAGAAACAGATATTTATGCATATATCATAACTCCACTACCTCCACCTTCCCCTTCTTTTTATTCTTCCTTCGTTTCTTCGTCTCTCTTTGCTCGCCTTCACCCTCATTGCTCTTCTCTTCCACCTGGACTCCGTGCTGTTGAGTTTCCCCCACTGTACTACCTTCCGCAAGAGCTGCAGCGGCCTTTTTCATCCTCTCATTCCTCCCCATTCTCTTTCCAGGCCGTTTACCCTTATCTTCCACACCACCTTCTGTAGGTCGCTGAAGTCTCTGTGACCATCCAGAATCTTGCTCGCGCTGTCTATCCTGATTATGTCCTCTGGGCTTGGATGCGGTAGACGGTGGTTCTTCCTCTCCAGCCGCCCTTTTGGCCAGAATCTCTTTCAGCTCACGAACACGTCGACCGAGATTTTGACCTTCGAGCCCATAGCCTCCTTTACGATACGTGGCGAGTTTCTTGAGCGACATGATGGAGTTGAGCTCGGCATCGGTAGCGAGAAGAATTTCAGCTTGTGTGAGACCATAGGTCGCGGGAGCAGTCTTGGTGTATTTGAATCGAGTGGGCATTTCACCGATCTCCGAGTCAGTATCCTGTACGAATGTCATAGCTCCCCACGCCGATAGAGATTCCGACATGGGGAGGCCAGGAAGGAGGACACGATCAATGTCACTCACCTTATCCTCGTGATCAAGCTCTCGGTACGCTTTCAGAGCCTTTTTCACTTTCTCAGCTCTTGCCTCGATAGGAACATCACCATCATCATCCTCGGCGTTTCTATCCTTCTTAGAGCGCTTCTTCTCAAACGTAGGGTCGATGTACTTGGCGTCCTGGAAATTAGCTCAGTAGACTGCTTAATTGGATCCTTCAGCTCACCGCATCGACGTCTTGATTCTCCTCGGTGCTTTCCATTGGATCATCGTATTCTTCATCATCCATATCATCCCAAACGGGCTTTGAATCGTCCTCTCCCTGCTCATCAGCACGATCCTCAACTCGATTATTTAACTCACCTCTCCTTGTTGCTCTAACATTCGACCGATGACATTCTCCCATTGACTCTCATCAAAATCTCCTTCCATCAATCTTTCCACTTCTGCCCAATCCATACCTTCTCCCAGATCCCGTTTCAAACGCTCCATCTCACTCTCAATTTCCCTCCTCCTAGATCCTTTGAGTCTACGAATCTCCTCTTCTTCAGCAGCTTTCTTCTCTGCTTCTCTCGCTTTCTTCTCTGCTCGTTTTCGTTTTCTCGTATCGTCCGGTCTTCTCACTAGTGAGGGTATGTTTCGAGGATGGCTGATGATATTTGATGCTCCAGGTTCTTCGAATCGGAAATTATACTCCGTTTCGAATGCTTCTGCACGTTCGTCAAACTCGTCTTCTTCTTCCAGGGCGCCCCAGGGATGACTAGGTCCAGCGGAGTCTGGGTTTGATTGGTCGACAGGCTTTTTTTCACCGGTGATCTCATCAAAGGTGGGAATATGGTTATCGGGCTTTTCGACCCAACCTCTGTTCAATATATAGCTTCTGGTCAGCGTTGCCCATAATGAGCCGCTGCGAATCAGGGGAGGGCAAAGATGAGAATATTGGAGAAGGGAAGGGTAGTCGATAAGAAAATCACGTACTTCATCAAAAAATCCTCGTCTTGTTTTACCTTTACATTTTTGCGTTTGTTCCTCGATGATTTCAGATCAGAAACCTTTGTCTCCTGTCTCTCCTCTCCATTCTCATCCTCCTGTAACGCAAGAGCAAGAGGTTGATCACCCATCCCCAAAAGTTTTCTGACTTCTTCCTCACCCCCTCCCATCTCCAATAAGAACTTGCGATATTCATCTTGGTCTCGTTCGTGCTCCACAACTGGTCGTGGTTGGAGGACGAACCCCTCCCCATCTTCATCTTCATCGTCATCTTTGGCCAAAGCTTTGAAAGCATCCACTGTCTCAGCTCTGAGTTTCGCCTGACTCTGTACATGGGTCAGACCCTCGGGTGCTTCTTCCCTTTCACCTCGGAGGAGACTTTCACGATGATGATCAGCTAGAAGGTACGGCTGTAACTCAATCTCTACTCTGTTTGTATGTGGAATGGACATACCTTCTCACTGGTACGTTTCTCAGTGTTGGAAGGTAAATTGAGAGACCGTGCCCGTTGCTCCGCCTCTTTGAGCTCATTGGCGAGGACGTCTTCACCTTCGTAAACTCCTTGCTTATTACGTATCTTGTGAAGGGTACGGAGGATAGCCGCGTCCAGAGCCGGAGTGAGCTCATCTCCATCTTCATCCTCTTCCACTTCTGAGGACGAGTCAGATCCCGCATCTGACTCAGAGTCGGATGAGGGGGTGGGAAGGTGTTTTTTGACCTGGGTGGGAAAGGGAGGTTGACCACGATACGGTCTAGAAGGACCAGCTACAGATGGGTCAGCTACATGGACTCCAACAAGTCTTCATAGCTCACCTTTAGGCATGATGTCTACGAGTCCACTTTCAGGCTGCAAACTGGGGAGACAGGTGAATTCAGTGTAGTGCTCAAACTTTTCGACCACTCAATGATCGATGAATGCACGCCTAACAGGCCTGTCAATTTCAGGAAAGGCTCACTACGCGCCTATACATTATCGCCTGCCCGATCGATTTGGACACCTGACATTCCGTCCGATCCACCCAGTCGTGCAGTCGTCGTCTCTTTCCTTCTCTGTCTCCTGTCCTCCCTCCCCCGCCTTCCCTCATAGCTTTTTCAGCAAGAGGGTAGAGAATCTGGAGGTATCATAAACGTCATGCGATCCCTCAAACCCCTCTCCCGACCTTCAAATATGTCAAAACCCACTCGATCCCGAAGACATCTCCTCACATCTCCCTCACCCCGACAACCCCATTCCACTCGACCTGTTTTATCACCCCCATCAGCCTGGGCAACAGCTACAGAATCTGCTCATTCCATCCTTCATCCTGCACCCCCTTCCACATCCGATCCCCTCTCTGCGATCCACGCTGAGATTTCCAACCTTCAATCAACCTTGTTCAAACTGTTAGGTTCTTCACATCCTTCTTTAGACACCATCGCAAAGTATTATTTCCGTACAGAGGGAAAACATCTACGACCATTATTAGTACTTTTGATATCTCAAGCTACGAACGGACTTGGTGGATCAGGATGGGAACATGCTCGTATAGAAGCTGGAAGAAGGGGAATGGATGATGCTTTAACTTCCCGTGGAGGAGTTTTGAATGATTGGAATCCTGAAATCATGGGTCCTGAATCTACTACAACTTTTTCCGAACCTTTTCTATCTCATAAATCTTCTTCTTCCTCTTCTTTCATCAATCCTCATTCATCTCTTAAATTGGAAACGAGTCAAAGTTCAAGTGAAAATCATTGGTTGGAAAACGATACAACGATATTACCTACACAAAGAAGATTAGCAAGTATAACCGAAATGATACATGTAGCTTCATTATTACATGATGATGTGGTAGATACTTCTCCTCTTCGTCGAGGTCAACCATCTGCACCTAGTGCATTCGGAAATAAATTATCAATCCTCGCCGGAGACTTTCTATTAGGAAGAGCATCAGTCGCTTTGGCAAGATTAGGTAGTAGTGAAGTTGTGGAATTGCTTTCTACAGTCATAGCAAATCTTGTTGAAGGGGAAGTTTTACAAATGAAAGCTACCAGTTCTCCTGAGAGTATACCGAGTAAAAAAGGATTCGAAGAATATATGAGAAAGACATATTTGAAAACCGCAAGTTTGATGGCGAAATCAGCTAGGGCGGCTGTGGTATTAGGAGGATGTGGGGAGGAAGGAAGTGATTGGGTAAAAGATGTTGCTTATGCTTATGGAAGGAATTTAGGGATTGCTTTTCAGGTCAGTCATCCAACTCCCTCTCACTTCCACTACCTGAGCTGAGCTTCACCCATCCCTTCCTATCCTCTCCCTTCCTATGATGGAAATAGTGCCCAGAAGTTCAATATCGAAAATTTGTTGGACAATTTCGAAAACGAAAGTCTGAAAATTTGGTTAAGATGTGAATCAAGTTAACCTTTTAGTTAATCGATGACACTCTTGATTTTATCCCTTCTCCAACTCTTGGCAAACCATCACTAGGGGCGGACCTCCGATTAGGTTTAGCTACAGCTCCAGCATTATACGCATGGGAAAATTCTCCATCACTCGGTCCACTCATAGCTCGTCGATTCTCACAAGAAGGGGATGTTGACATGGCGAGGGAATTAGTCAACAGATCTGACGCTTTGGAAAGGACCAGAGAATTAGCTAGGAATTTCGCTAATGAAGCTAAGAGGGGAATGGAGAAATTACCAGAGAGTGAAGCTAGAGAAGCTTTGATGGAGTTATGCGAGAAAGTTGTGGAGAGGGTTAAGTGAACGTCAATCGAATCATCATTCTTCTTTTCTCACTCTATACGCCATCGACTTTTCTTTCCGGCTCGGTCGCTGGACTTCTTCTTCATCCCAGATGGGCGTCGTCTAATGGAAAGAATGTAAATGGTTAAGGTGAAATCTTAGGACAACTTTCCCAGGATGTTTTGTGAGGAATGGATGGAAAGTTTTTTGATGTTGGAGGGCAAGCAGCGATCAACTTTGGCTAGAACAATGCAAGAAGGTGGGTAGGGGAAGTGAGGTGGAAGAAATGTAAGAGGGAAGACAGGATGGATCATATCGAGACATGAAGATCTAGAAAAAATATCTATCAATCAGTAGAAAACTTGGCCAAAGAACATCACACGGCATCGCATATGCATATATCATCTCAATTTAGCCTTTTGATAACCTCTCCAACTTGATCGATTCGTGCATTCATCGATCAGTTATGGAGATTGTGAATGCTACAAACATGTTACAGATTCCATTTCGTCAGGCTACTTCTTCGTGAGCCGTACGAAATTTACACACGTCAGCTGGATACATCGAACAAGACAACAGCAGCACAACAACAGTGAAACATAATTCGACAATCATACAAGGAGCAAGATGAGTGTTTAGGATCAATAAGAAGATAAGCACCAAAACAAACAAACAATGCATACATTACGCGCTGCGTCGGACCTGTCCTTGTATGACTAAGATAGACTATTACATGGGATCCAGCCCGTTTGATCCTTTAATCCCATATGTACAGTTATTCACAATGTCACTTTATTGACAGAGATGAGATATCGTCGAGAATTCCCACTGGGCGGATTGTTTGATTGAAAGAGGAGATGATGTTTGGAGATACGAGATGAAGAGATGATGATAAGAATTAAGACAGAACCGCAAGTGTCCAATCTTTGAAATAGGCACTTTGATCTTTTGGTGATGCCCAATCGGAACCTGAACCACCCTGAGGGTTAGTGATATGTACAGAGTGAATTCGATCGTTGATCCACGAGGAGTGTGGTAGTCTAGAAGAGTAGAGTGAAGCCTTCGTACGAGAATTGTGGGGTAAATAGAAGGAAGAAGGATATATGATAAGTCGATGGAGAGTCTTAAATTGCAATCTTGAGGGGAAGCGCATGCCCGGACATTGGATAAAGGAGGGGGAGGGACTGGCGTGGAGTGCGAGGTCAGATAAAAGACAAGAAAGTGACTAACAAAGAAAGTCTGTGCCATAATCCCATAAACCTTTGTTCCCTCTTCCACAGCAATCTCTAAATTACTCAACGAAAGTACAGATTTCCCATTAACGAACAATTCCTGTTCCCCATTCTTCTGACCGACATCATTCATTTTCAATCTTTGAGCTACAGTCACCCATTGTCCAGGTGTCCAATTGAAAGAACCTCTTCCTATAGAATCACCATAATCAGGATTACAAGTTGACATTGGTGGTGTTGAACAATAACCGGTTGGTTGAGTAGCACTAGTTGGGAAATAATTATAAAATTCTCCCATTCCATTGGTACGAAACATTAATCTTGCTGAAAAACATTCACTACGACCATCTTGTCTACCTCCTGAACATGTTTTCGCTGAATCTAATGAAGTACCACCGAAGAAACCAGGCATTTTACCACCTTTATTGAAATCGAATCCATCTTCGAAAAATACCGAATAAGATAAAAGAACTTCATTAGCTGAAGTGACGTCGACATTTGAGTGTATACCCTCGGTGTAGAAATTGAATCCGGAACCGGAAAGACCGTAGATACCAGCTGGGTAAGTAGCTACGAGAGCTGTAGAACCATCTGGTGCGGTAGTGGAGGAAGGCATTTTTCCTGCGAAAAGTGGGTTGAGTGCGTCGTTGACTGTGATCAGTACATGTTGACTGATGAAGGTAAAATCTCTAGAGAAGAAAGAACAAAAGAAGAATGGAGTCGAAATATGATTCTCACAGTACGAGTACAATATGTGAGACTGATATATTGGAAGGAAGACCCGAAAGGGATGTCAAATATCAAGGAGTTACGTTCCAAGGATAAAACTCACATGACATGGCATTACCAGAATCCGTACTTGTAGTCCAATAATCCTTTGTAGATAAAGGCATGACAGCTCCCATCTTTCCAGTATTCCCCGAAGGTGTCGTAGAATTCGTAGAAGGTGTCGACGCAGGGGTAGAGGAAGTCATACTAGAACTAGTTTGTACATCTTGTACACTGAGAGATGTACTCGAGTTAGTCCGTGGTGAAGTAGAAGGAACAGGAGCGGCAAGTTTAGCATCGAAAGAAGATGATGATGGAGTAGGTGGAACTACACAAGAAGCTCTCTTTCTCCTTCTTATCATTCTCTGTGCCGTATGACCTTTCACAGAAACTTTTCGTTTTTGATGTGAATCCGAATTTGTTCCATCTCTAGCTAACATGGCAGTAGCGGCCATTGCTTCGTCGACTCGGGGGGAACGTACGAGATGGCGGGCGGTATGAGGGTTGAGATTGGTTACATGTCGAGCTTTGGGGTTGGAAGGATTTGCTAAGGTGAGAGGAAGAAGAGGGAGAAGATAATAAAGAGCGTGCATCTTGAGAGAGATGTTTTCTTGTATTCTCTATGATTGATAGAGGGGTAAAGAGGAATGCGAGAGTGGGAATGGATCGGTGCGCTGCACCCAGTGAGATGTTATTTGAACTGAACTTTTGATAGTTGGTTGATCACCAGGATCTTGTGATTCTTGAACAAGTCAAGAGAGAAGGAGTACACAAACAACTAACGATGAGAGGGTTTGGAGGATTGAGGGGAAGAGAAAAGAAAGGAAAGGAAAGGAAGGTAAGTTGAATGAGATGAGAAAAGAAGAAGAAAAGAGGGTTGGTGACAAAGTTTGTGACGGACAATTAGTACGTCAAAAAACGAAACGCAAAGGACAAAAAGGGGAAATCTCCGAATTTGGTAAATCCGTCATGGGTCACTTTCCGCGATCGGCGACGGCCCCACGTCCAGAGCCCAAACGCGTCTTGACGTGTGAGTGGCCACAGTGGGATGGCGCGTCAAAAAAGAGGGTCTGGCTGGCACGCACACACACATACTGACATACTACACACACATACTTCACAATTACAATTAAAGGTATCCTCTATCCTGACTCATGGAAAATTCTCATGGACCAAAGAATGTTTCAAAGGTTGACCGTGTGGGGTGAAAGGGACCCTTCTTTCAACTTGGCTCAAGCCTCCTTCCTCATGACACGGACAACTACCTGACTGTCACCCTCGAAAGGTCGTCGGCCGACGAGATGGTTGACATGAAATAGACGTCGGATGCAAGCAATCATGCATTTATATCACCAGATCTCACCATCACCTCATACTAAACACTAATCGGGCATCTCACGTACTACCAACCTCTCAAACCTCGCTTCTCTCCATCCATCATCTGCTAACCATCCGAACAAGGCATCTTCGTTCAATCCGAACACGCTCAACTTACCGTCCAATCCTTCTTGGTACACTTCACCGCGAAGTCGAGCTCGCTCTCGTTCACGTTCCGTGATAGCTAACGTGGCGCGATTCCGACCTTCGAGGATGGAGAGAATTTCTTCTCGGTCGGGATAGAAAAGTCTGCAGTCAGCAATGTGATCTGGTATGCTGTGAAGGATGTATCTACCTTGGCTCGAGGAATCCTATTATAGCGAGGGCAGCACGGAATATGTAGCCATCGCCATCCAGCAAGATCTGATAGTTAGCGCCCATTACCGTCGCCTATTTCTGTGTTGTAAAGCGGACGAAGACTGCCTGTGAACCGTAATGACGTCGCAATACGTTCGGCGAGAAAATGACATTGGTGTACTCACCTGATCCCACAACCTGCAACAAGCCTCAAAGGGCACTTGATCCACCAACATCGATCTGAAATAACTCTCCGGTAATCTGAGCCCTAAATTCTTACAATTCGCGAAGATCTTAGGAAACCTATCCGCCTGTAGGTTTTCGAAAACCCGGTAGAAGGCATCAATCTCGTCTTTCGTATCTGTGAAAAATGCATGGAGACATGGTCTAGAGAGGAGGTTGATCAGAGTATGAAAGGCAGTCGGAGGAGGAGATGAGACGAGTAGAGTAGCCGCGATGAGATTTATATAAGGTGCCTGAACGTCAGTGTTTCACTTGCATCTCCAAATAGAAAGGCCAGGTGTTAACAGGAGACGTAGGCGGAGATAAAGTAGATCTCGAATCAACTCACATAACCTCTTCCCTCGTCCGAACGCTGTACCACCCATGCATACAGCAGATCTCTCAAATCATCACGCATTGGACTTCCCCTGTCAAACAATCTAAGCGTCACAAGTGTGTCGTCCAGATCGGATTCTATACGATCCATGACGTCCTGCGGGAACCGACCACTGCTTATTGCTCTCCTCGCTCTTGTGAGATAAGATTTGTACACATCTTCAATCAGCATGAGCAGACCTGCAGGAATTGAATGTTTACTCACCTTTCGACAAAGCTAAAGGATTTCCCAGAGCCAAACTCCAAGCCTTGCCTCTCAGATGTCCTGGCACGCCTTCAAACCACAATGTCCGTAATTCTGGATCTCCGGTCACTTTCGCCGCACTAAAATCGGGCGTATTTAACAATGATTCCCATCGAGAAGCCGACAAAGCTAACCGCCGTTCTTTCTCCAATCTCCTATGTTCCTCCAATTTCCTCCTCTCCAATTCATGATGTCGAGATTGAGCCATCATCTCTTCCCACTGATGCAGATGTACTTGATCTTCGACCCTCTCTTTAGGTGGAAGCCAAGCCGGTCGAGTTTTTGACATGACCGTTTCTGTGTTGGTTCCGCCTTTCACTCCTAGTCCATGAGGATGTTGAGTGTCTTTGTGTGTGATGTGCAGGTCTGATTTCCTCGGGGAAGGTGGTGGAGGGGTGGTCATATCGGGTAAAGGAAATGGATGTGGGTGAGCTGGAGGAGCAGCACGAGTAGGAGTGTTAGGACCAGAATTGATTTTGGATGACATTCCACTACTTGATCGTCTGCCGATACCATTTCCGTTGATTATTCCATTAGGTGGTGAGGTCGTATAGGCATATCGTTCACCATCTTTCGTCATGCCTAATCCGTTCCAAGATAGTCTGGGGCCTTTGTTACCGTTTGGAATCGGGCCGGGAGGATGTGATGTCGGTGAGAGATGAAATGGGATTGGTGACTGGGGTGGTGTGGATTGTAAAGCGATAGTCTCGAAAGGAGCAGCATCATCGGGGTTTTCGTGCAAGGAAAGACTTGTAGCTCGTGGTAAACGTGGTTTGGCCGTGTAGAATTCAGGTTCCGTGGCATCCAAGTGTGAAGGAGTGGTGAGATGTGTGGAAGCTATCGATGATGAACGGGAACGGGGTGACTTGACGGGTCTGGTGCTTGAGGAAGAGTGAGAGGGACCGGCATGGTGGTCGTCTCGCGAGGGTGAAAGGTCGCCATTCCGTAGAGATGAGGGTTTGTTGATAGACTCGGCACTTTTAGGCGATGACTGATATGACGAGGGAGGATGAGACGGAGGGGTGTTTGGTCCGGGAAAGTTTGTGACCGGTGAAATGGTCGATGGAGGGCTTTCAGGAAGAGGTGGTAGCACACCCAGATCGCCTTCGTCGGGGAGAAATATGGGACTTTGTGCTATGGGAGATGATAGAGGGTAGTCTGTTGGCCCTTGCTGATTCGTCGGAGTCTCCGGGAGGTCTTTGTCCAAGGAGTTAGTCAAAGATACCTCTGCCAAGTCTTCCAGAGCTGCGGAGATATCTTCCCCATCTTGGCCTGAGGGGAGCATCTCGAAGGGGTCATCGGGCCGATGTTCCTGTACATCTCAGCTTTACCAAACCTCAACATATCTGAAAGATACCCACGGGAGACATGGAGACTAGTCATGAAGCGCTGAAGGAAGAGGGAGACGAGACAGATGGGTCACTTTGAATTGAGGGGGAAGATGGACAACCTCCACGCTCCGGCCATCTGCGCAGGGGAACCGCCACATCCGAATGTGTCGGGATTATGATAAATCACCGCGGTTGTTCCTGATTCAACTTACTGACGAGCCATCTGCAAAGACAAAGACGCGTCGGGTGGTTCATTCAACTTCTTGTCCTTTTCCATCTTCTTCACCCGTCAAACGTTTCTTGATTGCAATCTTCCCTCTTCTTTCTTGCCTCGGTAGTTGGGTCAACGTTTCATATCCAGGAGCTGGTCTCTTGCTTCTTTCGCTGCTGTTGGAGATCATCCTCTTCGATCCGTTCTTCTCCAACAAAACGAATTCGAAACGATCGTCCAACCTTTCTGATCACTTTTCCTTCCCAATCGATTCAAGATGCATTCACCGACCAAACAATCCGGCTGGCCCGGACAGATGGAACCTCCATCTACTGTTGAGAGACGACGAAAAGGTCGTAATGCTGATGTCATCATACCGTTCGTCTTCCTCTTGTTCTCTAAGTTCATTGGCTGATGTTAGCCTTCCTACGCCTCCTCGATCAAGACAAGCTATCCATCCACCTACACCCGATACCGTCCGTCATGTGAGAACGTCACTTAAACCATCTACAAAAGATCAAACTTCGAGCATGCTTCCCACTCCGCAGACCTTACCTCGACAAGGACGTAAACAACGATTACAAGAAGACTCTCATCCTGCAGAAGAAGAAGAGTCTGATGTACCCAGTCCTACTGGTCATACGACGTTCTTCCTTTCCTCATCCTCTACCACTAACCAAGAACATGTCATCAGACGACGTCCAGGTTTGACATTCAATCAACAAATGGGTCTTATAAATCCGCAATCTCATTCTTCAAGTAGTAACGCTTTTGGAGCCAGGATTGGTCCTGGCGTAGGTATGGGTGGATCAAGAGCTGTTGGCCATAGAAAAATAGGTCAGATCATTTCTTCCGAATCCCCAGACGTTGAAGAAAACCCTTTCCTATCATCGAACTCGACACGTCCAGGAGTGACATTTGGACTAGCATCGCCCGGACCGGTCACTTCGCATGTTCCAAGATCCGATCTGAATGAAGAAGACGCGGAAATGCGTTCCCCCTCAAGTTCACCTCTTCGACAAAAACGTAAATCACACTCCTTCTCACTCGGCGCATCGGCTTTACTTTCCCCTCCCCCAACTCAAAAGACGATTCGTCTAAAACCCTTCGTGTCATCTAGAGAAGAGATCGAACGACGAAGAAGAGAAGAAAGAAAGAGGATGATGGATGAAGATGAAAATCCTTTCCTTGCTAAACCAGGAGAGATTATCCAACCTCGTCGATCGATAACGGATGAAACATCACCGACAGTCACCTACGTTTTCAGAGGAACGAAAAAGGTATTCGCCAACCCATTCTTTTCTTCTGATAGTCGATATCCTCCAGCAGAATTAGATAGTGATCATCCGGAATACGACCCTCATCCTTGTCCCGCTCCTAAACTATTATGGCCTTCAAAGTCGAATCAAACTGATCCACCTTCTTCACCTCCTAGCGAGATCATGCGGACGCCTGTGGCGCCCAGACGGGGAAGAGATGTTCAGGTAAGGAATCATGAAGAGGCAGAGGAGGAAAGTGAGGAGGACGAAGAATTGCCTGTGAAAAGAGGCATGTTATTTGCGTCAGGTGCAGGGACGAAAAGATCTTTGGAGATGGAGCACGAGCAGGGAAAAGGAAATAAGCGATCCCGAGGATTGAAGCGATTGTGAGGGGATTGAATGAATTTTGAGGAAAAATAATATATGAAGAGGTGGATCTTGTACCTTTCATGCATACGTCTTGATGCGAGTGAAGACCTACCTGTCTTGGTCCTATAGGTTCTGTTGCCATTCGAGAACATGCTGTATAACGTGGTCATGCTGCATGTCACATAGTACAAGGTACAGTACTACGTTACTAGCTGTACGATAGACTACTCGTACATGGACCATGGACCATTAACCATCGTCAGACATTGTGTTTGGTGCACGATCTAAAATCTGACTTGTGATTGGTTCAGATTCCGCCACAAACGAATTTCTCCGTTCCCCTCCGTCTCTCCATACCATCTGCCAGAATCTCAAGATCGACAAAGTCAACTTCCAACATCCTGCAACCACACGCATACCATAATGTCAAGAATGTTAACCCCTATCCTGAGCCAAACCTCTCGATCTATCTTATCCCATCGTCTCCTTCCACGTTCCCTCCCACCATCCTCACTTAAAGCTAATTTCTCTTCCACCTCATTCCGTTTACTAGCAACACCTCAAACAGGCCCTCAAACCGTATCATCTCAACCTACCCGAACGCCGAACCCTATGGAGAGTAGCGTAAAGCAAGAATGGCCTGATTATTCTAAAGGTCCTAGTGCTTTAGATAAAGCTGCTCAATTATTTTTCTTCACTGAGATTTTGAGGGGTAAGTTTATTTGGGTTTGCTTCTGTTCCATCCCTTTCTCCCTCCTCTTCGACGTTGTGTTCTCTTTCCTTCCCTCTAGAGAGGTCGATCCACTTTGCTTCGACTTCCCTTTTCTCGCTCGATCTTCAAAGGAGTCTTGATTTGATGAGATACTGCTGTGTTGACAGGGGGTATGATGGTGTGGCTCAATATAACTCGCTACTTTGTTTATTCCACATGGCAGGAAATGAGAGGAGAGCTGGCCCAGTATCAAGAAGTCGTCAAGATGATAAATCTTGTTTAGCTGATTAAAAGGAATGTGGATCGTACTCGAACAATTCTTTAGACCTCCATATACCATAATGTATCCTTTTGAAAAAGGTCCATTGTCACCTCGTTTCAGAGGTGAACACGCTTTGAGGAGGTATCCTAATGGTGAAGAGAGATGTATCGGTGAGTTTCTTCTCTTCTGTTTTCTCCTCTTTCCTTTTCTCCCTTTTTCCTATTTTCATCTTCCCTTCCTTATCTCCTGTAACACCTCAAATATTCGTATATCACTTATCCGCTCTTTCTCCTTACCATTGTCTATCCACCTTATCATTCCACATCTCACCCGATGGAGAAAATCAAGAAATAGTAAAACCATGAGCCTTTTACATCTCCCATCAAGCTGAAACTACCGGTATAGTGAACTTACGATCAGCTTGTAAATTATGCGAAGCTATTTGCCCAGCTCAGGCAATCACCATAGAATCTGAAGCTCGAGAAGATGGGTCTCGTCGTACGACCCGATATGGTAAATGTCTTCTTACTGTCCAAACCTGTCTTTTGTGTTATTGTAAGAATCCAAGCTGACGTGAAGATATCGATATGACTAAATGTATTTACTGTGGGTTCTGTCAAGAGGCTTGTCCGGTGGATGCGATCGTAGAGAGTGAGTCATGGTTTTTACGCCCTGCCCTCCACATCCCCGCTGTAACCTACTTTGCGCGTCATATCTCTAGCTTGTGCTGTTTGCTCTGTCACTTGACCGTAATTGCTCAGTAAAATAAGAGACGCCACCGGTGAATGTGAATAGTTCCGTGCTCACACTCAGCCCAAAACGCAGAATATTCTACTGAAACCCGCGAAGAATTGCTCTACAACAAAGAAAAACTTCTCTCCAACGGTGATCGTGCAGAAGCTGAGATCGCTGCCAACCTCCAAGCTGACCACGTGAGTTTCTTTTCAGCATAACATGTTCGTTCAGCTGACTCGTCAGTTTTACCGATAATTACCCCACTTCATCAATCATGGCAGTTGGCAGTTAGGAACGACGGGTAGGAATCATACCAGACGAAGATTGAGCATAGTGGTGAATGCATTGATATGCCATGATCATTGAATTGCAAGATGCCTTTTTCTCCCCTTGACTATTTATACTTTCAAGTTCACCCCCGTCATAACTTCGCATCCAACTTCAAAGGCTCAATAGGTAAAGGCGCTTTGGAAGGTATCAAACCAGCTTTAAATTCTTGTATATCTTCAATCCACACATTCCCTTCTCTCAATTTCAACTCAACTTCTTCCCCAGTAGGTTTAAGAGCTTCGATGATGTTTTCCAATTCGGATTTCACCTCTTGTGACAAACTCTCCACTTTGGCAACTGCAGATCGAGCGAAAGTTTTGACCTTTTCCAAATCCGGTTTCGACCCGAGAAGACTTTGTAAAGCGGATTGATCAACGGCAATACCGTGTTTCCCAAATGCTGTAGTTATGGGGGCAAGTGAGGTAGCGTCGAATTTGACGCCTTGGTATTGAGATTTCATATGGACTGATATTTTGCGAGTGGAGGATGAAGAGGGATGGATGTGTGTCATGAACGTTTTGAGAAGGTCAGGTTTGTTGGTATTACGTATATTGGCGATATCCGTTTCGCCTGTACTAGTCAGCATTATGTTACAGCCACCCGATATCGACCAGTGCGTTCTCCTCTGATTGTCCACGATGACCCCAGGTCATGATCGTACCTATCCCGCTGAGATTGAGGCTGGGACAATGGGACGAGCGGAGGGAAGAGATGAATGAATGCAGAAGAGAATTGAAGATTGTAGAGATTACGTAGGAAAATCACGACTCACGCTTGCCAAACTCGTAATACCGATCAGTGATGCTACTCCAAAACCTCGACGTTTCCTCTCCCAAATTCTTCGGAGTTTCTTGTTTCTTCGAAATGATTGCTTGTTTATGTTCCTCCCATTCCGCCTCACTCATCTCTTCGATATGTCCCTTCAACCATTCAAGGAAAGCTTCTATTCGATTTTCCACATGTATCGGATCTCTTTCGGATTGTACGACGATACGATATCCCATCGTTCCCGGACCTGAAGTAGTGCTTCCCATCGTTATATAACCCAATTGTTCTTTCGTTCGGAGATGGTCGAAAAGTGGTTCTTTTGCGATTTGATGGAATATTTGCAAATGAGCTCGAAGAGGTGTATCAGATGGATCTCCAATTTGTAGACGATAATCTACAGCAGAGTTTACTTCGGCAGTGTTAGGTACAGGTAGACGATATACGAATGATGACGCTGAGCTGTTAGTAAACTTATTGCGAGAATCAGTCAGGGAGATGGACTGACAATCGGGAAGAGAGAGAGAACGTCGAGCAACTTTCTCAGCATCTGTCAGAGATCGAGGTCGAAGAACACGTTCGATCATATTTTGTATCTCTCTCGCACCTTCAGAAGAGATGTTACCATGAACGAGCATCTCAACGTATAATCTTCCAAAAGCATCTTTGGCGAAGGCTTGTACATCGGCGGCAGTGACGTCTGTTATGTCAGCTTGATATTCTCAGGGGACGAATGTCACTGACGTTGGATCTCGACTAATCTCTCGGCTGATGTCCACACATTTGGTGGACACTGGGTATAAGAAGCCCAATACGAAGCAAGGCTGTGCGGGGGATTTAAATCAAAGCTCTTCCATGAAAGCTCCAGGGCATCTTTGATCTCGTCAAACCTCTGTGGATCCACTTCAAAAGCCACGAGCTTTAGCAACATGGCCTCGGTGAGAGCAGAGAGTTTATCACTGAACCCCTGAGCGGAAACGTATAACTCATGATTGCCGCTACTGACTCCGAAACTGAGATTGGCGAGGTCAGCATCGTAGATATCTTCGGTGATCGAATCTTGGAATAATTCTGTAAGAAGCTTGGTCAGAACATACTGGCGAGGGGTCACATCGAGGATGGGTCTAAAGGCTTGTCAATGATGGTCCGTATAGATGAAAGAGGACTTACGAGGAGAGGGAGATTATCACATTAGATTTTGGAAGCCAGAATCGATCGTCACGTTTGTACCATAATCTCGACAGAGGGGTATCGCTGAGCAGCTTGGGTCGCAAAGCAGGCTAAGCGTCAACTCAGACCTTATACCTCTATCATTTCACTCACATGGTCAACGTTGAACTTTTCGACATCAAACTTCTCAGGAATGAACAGATTGGGACCTGGAAGTTTCATGGCTGAAACAGGTTTACCACCCATGGCCTAACGGATTAGCTGAGCATTGTGATACGCTGGAACTGCTCACTTCTTGAAGGAACTTGTCTGACAGCTTGATGGTCTTATACTCTGTCCCATAGATAGGCTCCTTCTGATCAAACGAGCCTTCGACACTTTTAGGCAATTCCCGACATGTGACCCCAATGAGAGCCTTGCGAGGATCAAGTAGATTTAGAGCCGCGGTGATTTCATCCGGTTTGTATTCCTCGACCAGGTAAGCGGAACTGACAATCTTTTCTCTAGGTACCGGCCTCGTCATCCAGTCGGCCAAATGGTTGACGTATGATCCGACTCGTTGTCGCTCAGCAAAGCGGAAAGTGATGTCAGCGATAGCTTTGATTTCGTCGAAAGCTTCTTTTGACGGTGGCTGAGAACGGAGAAGAGTGAAGTATTTGAAGATGGCCATCGCAGTTTCCTCGTAATGTTCTGGCATGTCAATTGATTTACAATGCAAAAGAAGGTGCTCACCTAAGCCCTCTGGAGTGAAATCGACAGCAATTTTGAAGAGGTCAAAGCCATTATCCCCGCCTGATGGACCCGCACGAAGTGTGTTGACCCAGCCCTGCTTTTTGAGATACGACAGGACAGACCCTCTGCCTTCATGCCCCAAAAAGTGACTCAGGAATTGACTCGGCTGTCATTCAGCAAAACGATCAAAACTACAACAGTCTAACTGACCTTAGACTCATAGAGATGTTGAATGTCGGGGAAAGGAATGGTAATTTCCATTCCTCGAGTTTCCGTTACAGGTTTGACGAACGTGACCTGCTGATCTGGTCAATGACTAGGTTTCAACAGGCTCTGGAGAAACTCACACCCCATTGCTCAGGACCCAGAGGATGATCCTCAAAAACGATCCTCACCCCCTCTGGACCCACCTCTGGCCAGCCCTCCGAGCGCACGGGAACCCGCTCAAAGTATTCCCTAACCCATTTCTCCAACGTGGCCACGTCATCTTTACCAGCGATGGCCAACTTCATACGACGAGCGCAGTAATTCTTCTCCCACCATTTCATCAGCTGTTGACGTGGATCTCGTCCTGCGGCTTGAGGCTGAGACCACAGCGTTTCATAGTTGCCAGTTCCGAATTTTCTATATGGGTGACCGGTTTTGGAAAGATGCTTCGAGAGTTGGTAAAACCGCCACATGTCATTTTGAAGATTTTTCTTGTGCTCAGAGTCGACGGCTTGAATTTCGCGTTCGGTGCAGGACTGCAGATCAGTATCGAAATGAGAGCATATAAGCGGCATAGAGCTGAATGACTCCATGAACCAACATATTGATATGGTAATGGACGCTCGAACTCACCTCATTGAACAGAGGTTCACTGAAGAATCCGGAGAATCGTTCGAGAGCACCTTGCAAGGCGTCGGGGGATACGTCAAAGTAGTAATTGGTAGATGTCATACCGGTTCCAGCATTAGAGCCGCCGCCATTTTTAGTCAAGAAATCTTGGTATTCGTTTTCCTTGGGGAATGACTTGGTACCCATGAACAACAGGTGTTCGCTGGTGATCAGTCTTCACACTTCCTCCTCCTCCGCTCTACTTGAAGTCTGACAACATACCCGCAATGACGCTATCAACCCGTGCAAAGCGTCCCGGCGAAGAGATGAGGCCGAGATGACAAGGATGAGGTTCACTTGAGGCAGGTACATGGTGTAAAGGACGGATGAGGAGAGAAGATCAAAACTTACCAAAAATGAGCACATCCAGGTAAATCATCAGGATCCGATAAATGTCCTACCCCAACTTCCATACTAGCCGCCGCTTTGTCGGCTTTAGGATCAGAAACAACTATAACCTCTATCCCATTCGGTAAGGTGAAATATTTGTGAGGTCGATCTTCGGTTGGAGGGAGAATGAGTTGAACTGGTCCTGACGCTTTTGGGATAGGTGGAGGAGGAGAAAAAGGAGATTCCATGGTTGGTTGAGAAGGAAGTGGGATAAAAGGTGAGAGACTGTTCAAAAGATAGGTGATCAGCGGGAGAAAGAGATATGAAGCTAACATCTAAAGGAATTTAGGTGATATACTGCATCTACGATCGGGTACTCGTCATGATTATTCGCCTTGTCGAGTAGTATGTATTCCTAGAGGATGTTTTGTGCAAGATTAAAAAGGTAATGTGATGCTCAGAGAATGTGAGTATCATGGATGAGATAGGGATAGGACCAAGTTGAAAATGACAGAAAGGAGATAGTGATTGGGATAATGACTTGAATCAAGCTAGTCAACGATTGTAGGCATAATGCACAGGTGACAATGATATTATGATGATGATGATCAGTTCATAAAGAGGAGAGACTCACCCAGTTTGCATGACACCACTAGCGAAAGTACGTCTTTGTCCAAGTAGGGAATTTAAGGATGTAGTAGTAGTAGTATCAACGACGCTGGCGTGTCGATCGTCAAGGGTATTTGTATTTGTATTCGTCACAACCGAGGTTTGGGTCAATATCGAGGGCGTCTGAAAGTTTTTCAAATGTATAGAAGGTATACGAGTAAGAGTCGAATCGATAGAAGTACGAGTCCGTGATGTACGGAAGATGGAACTCGATAATCGACGTACGGAGGGAAGAAGCATGGATGGGTAATTGACGAACTTATAGGGCACCG